TACAATATTTACAACTATATATAGAGGCATCTAATTTGGAGTACATACAAAATAGTTTTTTGTAATCCATGTAGTGAAGACAGCAGAAGCAAATATTCCCTTTAAAACATAAAACCACAACACATGTAAATAATTACCTTCATTTCACTTATAATTCAATGATAATTGTTACTAAATCAACTCTTCATTTATATAACCATGTTACATTCTGATTACTGTCCGAGCATCGTCTCACAAATAATTCCCAATTGGTAGAATACAGAACTAGGATTAATATGACTTCACACATTGTTTAGATTCGTATTACACACACAAGCATCAAAACCCTAACAATAACATTCAACAGCATCCTACATCCATCCGGCTAGCATTAGCCATTATGTAATTCAGATAAACAAGCAATTACAATTCCAATAGTCTGCGACTGATATAATTATTCCTGAATCGCTTGCAATTCACTTTCCGATCCAAGTGTGGAAATAGTAGAAATGGCCTAGCTATAGTAGGATGGAGAGTTATGACCTGACAGATAATTTCATTATTATTGATTAAGTGTAAGGGACCAGAAACATTCTCTTCTGGCAGAATGTTCCATGTGTGTTCTATCTCTCCACATGTGATATACATGTACAATCATTGATGTAGTTTATAATATCAATAGTATTTAGTACAAAGAGAAGAGATTACTACTTCCATTATTTGTGATAAACATACTACAACTTGATTTATTTATTTCAGTTTCAGAAATTTATGGGCTGGGTGTACATTTTTATAGTGATTATAAATATTGATGTGAAAATGTAACAGAAATTTTTGTACAGCGCCTTTGTAAACTTTAGTGGAAGATTTATGCTGTATAAGTTAATAAAATATCGACATTTCTAGATTTCTAAAAATTCCATTTGGACATTTTGAAATTTATGTACCAGTAACTGATTATATTGGTGTCAAACAATTCCTGATAATTCACCTATTTGTTATAACAACCAAGGTTGGAGACAAAGTATTAACTTTAAAATGCTATTGATATTTGGTATGTGTACTTTTCCAGGCCCAACTCAATTTTTTCTTAACTTCACTGTTTTTTGGAATTTTATTAATGAGATTTTAGAGATCTTTTACCTTGGAAAATCTACACTGGTACATGTAAGAAAATAAAAGTCTCTTCAATTTAACAACTAATAAAAATAAAAGACTATTATCATATAGAAAACCTAATTATGTAGCTTGTAGTAAAATGAATATGTTTATTGATAGGTGGGATAATTAATTAAATCTATTTTCTTGATTTTCTCAGACATGCTAGTTTATAAAATTTAGTGACTGCTAAAATGGTGTAACATTGAAGGCCTTAAACAAACATTATGCAAGAGTTAAATCTGCCTATTGTAGATCTTTCTTTAGGCCTGAAATGTTATCTAAATTATTAATTAGACATTAATTAACTTATCCAGATCATCAACTCTCAATGCCATCGCCTGCAATATTTAGCAGATTGGAATACATATTTTGAAAAATTATTAAACGTAAAAATGGATAATCGAGGGTTGTTTTTTACCGTACTGACTTTAATAATGATGACCAAGACTAGCCTAAAATTCAAAAGCTAATATCTCAATTTGACAGCAATTTTCAGCATATTCCATTTACGTTATCTATTTTTTAACTATTAGTTGCATGTACATATATAGCGAGAATTGTCTACTCTTTATCTAATCTCCTATAATGATCCTTTAATTATTCTTGCATTTTTAATCATAAATGGTTTAAATTTATTTATTTCAACTCTTTATCTAATCTCCTATAATGCTCCTTTAATTATTCTTGCATTTTTAATCATAAATGGTTTAAATTTATTTATTTTAAATTCTACATTCTTCAAGTCATCTATTTTGCCCTCTTTATGGTCAATCAAAAAATTCATAAAAACAAGACAGATGAAACAATTTTATTCCTCTAATTAAACAGACCAAAGGTTCTTAAATTGTAACACTTTCATGCTGTGATTTAGGGATTTAAAAATCCAAAAATTAACGAAGATTACTTAAGCTTAGAGCAAAGTAAACTCTCTAATCTAAAGTCCTCCTGAGTATGGTATTAGAGACAGGATCATTAATTCTCTTCACAACATCAAAGAGGGAAGATAGCTTGAGATTGAATTTTATATGAACACTGTACAATACTGTATATGTCAATAATTTATATAATAAGCTTGCCATTCAAGATATGCCCTCATTATCCAAGAGATGGGTGGAGAACAGGAAAAATCAATAGGGTTGATCCTTTCATTGTCCCCATATTTCACACTGAATTTTAAGAAGATAGGTTGCCCGGACTTAAAACATATGCCCACAACAGCTAAATCATCCAAGCCATCGATACAGATCGAATGATAACTTTTGTAGTTAGAATGTTCACAGGGAGTTCAACAAAGCAAAAAAAAAGGGGCCATAACTCTAGAAGTAATCTACAGAAATCACCCAATGCATATAAATTTCATACAGTTCAGATGATAAATTAAATTGATAATGTTCAACATTCAACAAAGTGAAACAAGGGCCATAACTCTAGAAGTAATTACCAGAAATTCTTGAAATTTAATAGGCTTCTTCCTTTTACTGATGGGGGGGGGTGGGTGGCTGAATGGTTAGCGTGCGCGCGCTGTATCATTAAGCCTGTCATTGAGTCGACTGACGTGGTTTCGAATCCCCGGTTGAACGTGACAAGGAGTAGGGTTGCCTGTCCAACCTCGTGGGTTTTCTCCAGGTCCTCCGGTTTCCTCCCACTGCTAAAGACCACTACGCGCAAGCGAATTATTGAAAATTAAACCATATGTTAGTCCCGAAATGACCTAGTGTGTGTCGAGTGGACGTTAAACCTCATTTCTCTCTCTCCTTTTACTGATCTCAATTATGCATATAAATTTCATACAGATTGAATGATTACTTTTGTAGTTAGAGTGTTCAACAAAGCAAAACAAGGGCCATTACTCTAATGGTAATTAACAGAAATCGCTTTAAATTCAATAGGATTCTTTGTTTTACTAATTAAGTAATGCATATAAATTTCATACAGATTGGATGATAAATTATGTCGATAATGTTTAAAAAAGTGAAACAAGGGCAGGCCATATAGAAGTAATTACCAGAAATTCTTGAAATTTATTAGGATTCTTCCTATTACAGATTGGATGATAACTTACGTCACAAGAGTTGAGAAGTTATAAACTGAAATTGCTGAAATTCAATAGTCGTCTTTGTTTTACTGAATTAAATAATACATATAAATTTCATACAAATCAGATTGTACCTTGGGTCAATAGAGCGTTCACAAGGTTCAACAAGCCAACAGTGAGACGATGTCCCCCACTGCAATCCCAAAATAAATAGATGTCACATATTAATCAATTGCACATTTATCTTATTGAAATCTATCAAGCAATCAAATTGATAATTTATACTTAGTCTAAGAAGAAAATGTTCACATTCAAACTCAGTAAAGGTTTTGAAGTACATGTACATGTACATATACCTGGTAATGAAACTACTGTATACACTAAGTCTCATCACTCTACATCAGTTAGAATCAAAGTTATTGATCAATGTTAATAAATGATCTCAGTCAAGACATCTACACCAAGTTAGAACCAAAGTTAGCTGGTTCCAAAGCCTCAACAAAATCAAATCAAAGTACTACAAACTGAAACAAGGGTCTTAACTCTGGAAGTAATTTACAGAAAATTTTGAAATTATTCGTTTTACTAATTTAAATAATGCATATAAATTTCACACAGACCAGATGATAACTTTTGTCATTCAAACGTTCACAAGGTTCACAAAGTAAAACAAGGGCCATAACTCTAGAAATAATTGACGGAATTGTTGAAATTCAATAAACCTCCGTTTCACAAATTTAAATGATGCATATAAATTTCATAAACATAGGATGATAACTTTCATCAATCGACCATTAACAAGGTGAAACAAAGTGAAACAAAGGCTATAAATTAGGGAATTATATCATAATCAACACTTAAAATATAATAATCTCGACTTTATTAATTAATGATACAGCAAATAATTAAGTTCATAATAGAACGATCACTAGAAGTCATTATTGTAAATTTCTGAAATTCGACAGGGTTCGTGGTTTCACTAATCTAAATGATGCATAAATTTCATACAGATCGGATGATAACTTTTGGCGTTAGGGCGTTCACAAGGTTCAACAAAGTGAAACTAGGGCCATAACTCTAGACGTAATTCAAATAATGCATATAAATTTCACAAAGATCGGATTATAACTTTTGGTGTTAAGAGCGTTCGCAAGGTTCAACAAAATAAAACAAGGGCCATAACTCTAGACGTAATAAACAGAAATTTCTGAAATTCAATAGGTTTCTTCTTTTTACTAATTTAAATGATGTATATAAATTCCATACAGATCGACCGATAACTTTAGATGTTCACGCATTCACAAAGCGCAACAAAGTAAAACAAGGGCCATAACTCTAGAAGTAATAAACGGAAATTGTTGAAATTCAATAGGATTCTTCTTTTTACTAATTCAAATGATGCATATAAATTTCATACAGATCGGCAGATAACTTTTGATGTTAGACCGTTCACAAGGTACAACAAAGTGAAACAAGGGACATAACTCTAGAAGTCATTAACGGAAATTGCTGAAATTCAATAGACTTCTTCGTTTCACTAATCTACATAACGCATTCAAATTTTAGAAAGATCAGATGATAAGAAGGGCCATAACTCTAGACGTAATAAATGGAAATTACTGAAATTAAATACATGTTGGCTTCTTCATCTCACTAATGTTAACAACATATATCAATTTCAAAAAACAATCAGATGATAACTTTTGGCGTTAGAGCGTTCACAAGAAATAGTGGACGACATATTGGGAAAAGGATGTCAGGACAGGGGCGACGGAATAATACATCCACATGAAAGTTTGTGAGTATAAAAATCTGCAGTACTTACCTTGGGTATTGGTTAGATGAATGAACAGGTCCTGCTGTAAGCATATTATTAGATACCCCAGGTACATGAACACTTCCTGGATACTGAAGTAAACTAAGCTGTTGTCGAGTTAATGGTCCATTTGATACAGCTAAGGATGAACCATTTACTGATGACAGACTGTTTAAGAACGGAGAAGCAGTCATCATTCCTGGGATATGTTGAGGTTGGCTGCTATAGAAATTCTGCTGTAATTGGATTGAAGATGGCTGTGCACTAGTCCTTTGAAACGTACTTGTAGATGGCATAGGGTTCATATTAATTGATACTGGCACAGCAGAATTCTTTGATTTTTTATGTCTTAATTTTCTAATTCCAATATCATTAGATGTTGAGCCATCATCTGAGTCTGAACTGTCAAACTGTGTTAAAGGACGTTTCCGTGTTGTAGATTTCATTGTCAGTCCTTGGTTACCATATATATTGTTATTAGTATTACTATTTAAAGACTGTGATGCATTTGATATCATCTGATGTGACAAACTACAACTATTTAAATTTGACATAGCTTGATGTGATGATCCACAAATATTACTATTCAAATTTGACATAGCTTGATGTGAATGTGATGAACCATTACTACTGCTTTTTAAATTTGACATAGCTTGATGTGGATGTGATGAACCACCACTGTTGCTATTTAAATTTGACATAGCTTGATGTGGATGTGATGAACCACTACTGCTGCTATTTAAATTTGACATAGCTTGATGTGGATGTGATGAACCACTACTGCTGCTACTTAAATTTGACATAGCTTGATGTGGATGTGATGAACCACTACTGCTGCTACTTAAATTTGACATAGCTTGATGTGGATGTGATGAACCACTACCACCTCTATTTAAATTTGACATAGCCTGATGTGGATGTGATGACCCACTACTACTATTATTTAAAGTTGACATAGCTTGATGTGGATGTGATGAACCACTCCCACCTCTATTTAAATTTGTCATAGCTTGATGTGATGAACCACTACTACCACTATTTAAATTTGACATAGCTTGATGTGGATGTGATGAACCACTCCCACCTCTATTTAAAGTTGACATAGCTTGATGTGGATGTGATGAACCACTACTACCACTATTTAAAGTTGACATTGCTTGATGTGGATGTGATGAACCACTACTACTACTATTTAAATTTGACATAGCTTGATGTGATAAGCCACTACTGCTACTATTATTTATGATTGATACAGCTTGCGGATGTGACAAACCACTGCTATGGTTTATATTTGATATCACATGTGATGACTGCTGATGCTGCTGATTACCAAGGCTACTACAAACAGGATAGGGCGTTTTAAGCTTTTCTCGTCTAATACTTCGGCATTTACTTGTCTCGATACGAACTTGTTGTAAATTCTTTAAATCAATGAAATAAGGCATTTGAAGTGGAGGCTGGCTCAGATCTATAAATGGAGTTCTTTGACTACAATAAACATCTTCTATTAAAGACGATACTTCAAAATCATAGGTATTCCAGAAGCCAGGATAATCACCTTCCCATTTCCAAACGATCTGATGTGAGGTAGGATTGGTCATTGGGTAAACTTTTCTTCTGATACATCTTGTTCGACCTAATACAATAAAACAAATGAAATTCAGAAAACCTGTTTTATGTATATTGAAAATCACTTAAAACTTTATATTTTATTGATAATCAAGACTTGTAATCATTTTATAATCAATTGTACAAGCTTGTATAATTTATGAAAACAAGCCAACAGTGAGGCTGATGTCCCCCCGCCGAAATCCCCAAATAAATAGATGACACATATTAATTAATCGCACATCTATTTTTTTCAAAAGTATTGAGCAATCAAACTGATTATCAACTATACACTAAGTTTCATCACTCTCTATCAGATAGAATCAAAGTTATCTTGTCCCAAAGCATCGACCAAGGAAATTGCTTAGCTTAAGCGCGATATGTTTTAGAGGCATCTTTTAGAGGCATTTAGTAACTGGATAGAGCAATAAACTATAACACATACTTATGGAAGAACAATTACTGATTTATTTGGGCGACGTTTCGAAGAGTATTCTCTCAACGTTTTCAAGCAAGTACATATATATAATTGCTCTACACATTTGTTACTGTACTTGCTTGAAAACGTTGAGAGAATACTCAGTAATTGTTCTTCCATAAGTATGTGTTATAGTTTATTGATATGTTAATCATTGAACTCAGTCAAGACGAACATCTACATCAAGTTTAAACATTCTACCTCAATTAGAAGCAGAGTTGTTATGTTCCAAAGTCTTGACCAATCAAAATGCTTATTGCTCCTTAGCCTAAGCAGACAATTCTCATCATCGAACTTAGTCAAGGTATTGATGTAATGAAACTATACACCAAGTTTCATCACTCTCAATTAATTAGAACTAAAGTTATCGTGTCCCAAAGCATCAATCAATCAAATTGCTTATCTCTACTTACCATAAGCAGAAAATGCTCATCTTCGCACTCTATCAAGGCATTGACCTCATAAACACCTACACCAAGTTTGAACATTATAGCTCAATTAGAAGGAGAGTTATTGTGTTCCAAAGTCTCGGCCAATCAAATTGCTTATCGCTCTGCTTACCCTGAGCAGAAAATGCTTATTATCGAACTTAGTCAAGGTATTGATGTAATGAAACTATATACCAAGTTTCATCACTCGTTTCATCACTCTCACTTAATTAGAACTAAAGTTATAGTGTCCCAAAGCATCAACCAACCAAATTGCTTATCTCTGCTTACCCTAAGCAGAAAATGCTCAACTTCGAACTCCATCAAGGAATTGACCTAATAAACACCTACACCAAGTTTGAACATTCTAAGTCAATTAGAAGGAGAGTTATTGTGTTCCAAAAAGTGTGACGGACAGACAGACGGAAGGACAGACAGACGGACGAACCCATTTTAACAGTCCCCTGCTTTCTTCGAAAGGCGGGGGACAAAAAGAAACATTATGTATTATACCATTAAACTCTGCTTCATGTCAGGGAGATTGGCTGACTGAATGGTTAATGAAATGTATGTGCTTTAGATCATAAGGTCTGACATTGAGTCAAGTGGCATGGTTTCGATTTCTCGTCTCTTCGTGACAAGGAGTAGGGTCACCTGTACAAACTCGTGGGTTTTCTCCAGGATATCTGGTTTCACTCCATAGCTAAAGATCCCTACGCACAAGCAAATTATTGAAATGGTTTGTGTTGAGTGGATGCTAAACCCCATTTTTTTATGATCTAGTAGTTATGTAGATATACTTAGTTTGTTCAACCTCTTTGACTCTTTCAAGTGAATATTGACAATCCCTACCTTATTCACATTCAATGATTCTTGAATAATACTGAGTTTCATTGTAAATATCAGAATCAGATATAGATCTTACACACAGAAAGGTATTATCTCTTTAGCTAAGAAATAAACAGAATTAGACCTTAAGATATTTTGCTATAATGTTTGCTAATCTTGATAATCACTAATACATGTAAATGTAAATTGAAAATTTAATGTTTAGTCTTGGTGTATGAAGTTTGTACACAATCTCAGTTAAACACCACCGATGGAACTGTACAGTCAAATCACATCAAATTATTTTTTTCTACCATCAAAGAAGCCTCTTTAAATAGATTGTGCATAAGCCTTTAGATTTGTAATACATAATGATTGTCTGAACCTAAACTAATGACAGCCCATTAATCAAATCATGGTGGCTTGGAAGAAGGGTGTGGGTGGTGGAAATGAAATGGGGTTTGACATCCTACTGATCTGCACCGACAGGACTAATGAAGACGGGCATACGCCATACAGTGTGCTATGAGTGAAATTTTGCCCAGACAGCGGCATTACAGGCTACTCTTAAATCAAATTCCAACTGTCAATGTGTACACAGTACCTCAGTTTTTCATCCCATACGAAAGACAAGGGGGAACTACACCGGAAAATCCCAATGAACTGTCTCGATCAACACAGAGATCGAACACAGGACCTCCAGGTTAGCGAGCCAATGTCTTACTCACTGAGCCACCCTAGCTTGGCTCAAGTGGAAGTGCATCGAGAGGAGCAGGAGTGAAAGCGCACCTTAAACGTGAAGGACTGTAATATTAATGATAAAGTAAAGAAATTAAGAAATTCATAAATAATTAAAGATGAGTCTTGTCTGTAAGGGACTAAGGGTAGTCTCCTGCTTTTTAATAACTAAATGTTAAGTTAAGCCCAGGCTAGAGGCGTACAGCTGTCTGATGGGTATATATATGATTAATAACCCATCCACACAATTTTAGAAATCAACATATCCACAAATATCTTTTTTAAAACTAGAGGTTTAAGTTGGGACATTTGTGCAAGAATTTCATTGTTATTCATCATTTAAATCTCCTGTGATTTTGACCAATTTTATTAATTTTTTACCGTTAAACATGCATTATGCAAGAGCTAAATCTGATTATTGCATGTCTTAATTTAGGCTTCAGATGTTATAGAAATTATAAATTAGATCTTTATTTAAACAACAAGACCAAAATCAACTCTGTAGACCCACGGATGGCTCGGCTACAGCTCGGATTTAAATAGGATTTCACTAATTGATTAAATCAAATAAGGGGTAACCTGATGAAAATACGTCAGTTAGATCGAGGCTAAATGATAGAGTGTACTTAGCGAGGCCACTGTAAAGCGTTTCGGTATGCCATTGAAAACTTTACTTGATAATCGAGATATGTAGGTGGAGTTAACGCCTGTCAATCAAACGATCAGCGAAGGTGAAGACACAATTCGCTACCATTTCTAGGCAAATATTACAACGATGATAACTATGTTCAGAATAAAGTAATTTGACTGAATTTTTCAATATATTCTTTTTTCATCATCTACTTTTGAACTGTTATAGCAAGAATGGCCAACTCTCTATGAAAATCTCCCATAATGTATCTTTAATGTTTAAAATTATATTTTGTGAATGCATCCTATTACAACATGCTGAAAATAACTCTTAATTCAACTTGACAAGACCTAATTTGTACAATACATGTCTTTTTTTTCCGCAAATTTTATTTATTGATGGGTTACTAAATTAACAGTCAAGCTGATGATATGTTTTTTATAATAAAATATCAAAATTTTATTGCTCTCTGCTTTTAATTTATGGGATGAAACCATTCATGTGATTTTGAGTTATTAATATTACAACCTGGGATGAATCATGAAACGACCTGCTCCCAATTTATTGCAGGTACCAATCTATGGATGTGACGAAAAGTATGCAGTGTAGTTTGACTGTAACAATGTTAGACCATAATTCACACTTGGACTCAGTGACTAATATAGAGCGAAGCTCTAAAGCATCGCGCGAAGCGCGGTGCTTGAGCAAAGCTCTTTTCCGGTAACACAGGAGCGTAACTGAAATTGTCAACCACAGACTGTTGATTAAAAAAAAATTCAGACCGGAACCGGATACACTGGGTAAAACAGGCAATGCGCATGTCAACTTACCAAATCTCGTCCAAGCGAGATCACGTAACTAACAAAAATAATTATATCCACCAAATCTCGCCCAAGCGAGATTACGCGCCTCATAGAACTATTTCTATGACGCGTCTAATCAATGACGTCACATATTTTTTACGTCAATGAAAATAATTCTCACACTTTTTTGTTCTTTTTTTAAAAACAGATTAATGTATAAAATTTAGATCTCAATAAAAACTAAATTATTTAATATTTTTTGTATCACTTGAGAAAATTAATTATGAAGGTTTTATATTTGACAATAATCAGCTTCGCTCTACTCAGGCAATGCCTGTTACATATTATTCTACTTTCACTTTCGAATGAATGTATAACATACCAGTGTCTAATCTGATTTGGCACATCGGGTTGGTTGAGAAATCAATTTTGTACAAACTCAAGGCAGTATCTATTACTCCCAAGCTGATAGAATTGGCTTTCCCATAATTTTGTTCTATGTAGCCAACAACATCGGAGTCATATGGGTGCCATTTGCCGTTATCTTGAAGCCATTCCCAAAAAATAACCCCAAAATTAAAAGAACTGCTGGTTGGTCTTGATAAATTCGATGTGGAAGCGGCCATATTTGTTATTATTCTATATTTAGTAACAGAAAGGTTTTTTGGCTTTACTTTAGTATTATCTGTGATGAATCAATTGTTTTTTTATTTTAAGCCATTTATAATAAAAATCACACCCACACTTTTTTCAATTACTATGAAGATACGATGAAATGAATTTCAGTTGGAAACCTTTTAGTGGAGACTATTTTCTTATTGTTTACTTCCCAGAATGCATCTGCATAGTTATTGGTTGTGAAGGAAAATGGAGGATTGTTGTCATGTTGAGAGAAGCTAGTCAGCGCAATTTATTAATCAAGATTTTCGTGAAATTTGAACAATGCAAATACATGCAAAACTATAATGAAAAGCCAAAATAATATGAAATCCATATTTACTAACTTTACAGGTAAGTTGGACTTGGGAAGTTAAGCGACGAGAAATTATAAAAATTTGAGTCAAACTCAAAAAAATGTCCAAACATTTTTTTAAAATTTTAGCTGGCAAAATATTTTTTTAGAATAGAACTAGAAGCCAATTAATACAGTTTAAAATCTAGGGTAGTCAGTTGACTGGTGACCACTGCTACGGCACTGGCACTGACAACAGGATAGAAATTAAATTATGCATTTCTTAAATTCTTTATTTATTTGCTCTGCTGAGTCTGACGTAGGCCTATCAGTATTAATGTATTATTTTTTTTATATGATAACCTAGTTTAACTGGGATATTACAGTTAAATGCTGAATGACAATCAGATGACAAGAAATTTCTGAACGCGACTCCCTTCCCAGGGCTTCTTCCTTTAGTACTACTAGTCTAGTTATAATTATATTAGTAATAGTAGACCAAGACTGTTTGATTATTTACATACCAGTAGGGCCAGGGGTTTAAGGTCACGTGACTTTAGCGTGAAATCGGTCAGCCAGATGCTGAAATATACCTCACTTCAATCTACGATTCTGAATTACTAATGTATGTAAATGCATTACTAGCAATTGTATTGGCTTTGCAATAGTTTAATATCAATCTCAATATCTGCAAAGATTCAGGCTAAAAAATTATTGAAATGTAAGCGAAATTACCGTTTGTTTACATGAGACGTTCGCAGGAAAATACCGCTCTGACGTCACGCGGCCTGAGACTTTCCATTGCTACGACTCACTTCATTGGTGAATCAGCACCTTAGTTACTGGGGGATTTTGATATAGAACCAATCAAACGATAGATAACATTTTTGTGATTATTATGCTTGTTGATACCATGTGGTCGGACAATTAGACCCGGAGAAAATGGGATTTATCTGTTTTGATGACTGAAAATTGCTCAATTTCGACTAAATATAAAAAAACTTTCTTGAGGTATCATCCAGATTATAAATATTTGACATATTATCATTCAAATTATTACGATTTTAATAAATTTTAGCTGACAATAATGTGCGGATTTCAGTTTTGAAATTGGTATTAGCGATTCTGAAGGGAAAATACCGCTTATGACGTCACTCAAATATGACTGGTATAGAGCATTTTGATTACATTATTGACGTCGATCTCGGATTTTAAAATTCCATAACTTTGGATCTAATTAGAATACTTTGATGAAATAAACAAATTTGGTTATCATTTTATGTATATTTTCACAAAATAATTTTTTTTTTTTTTTTTTCTGTTATTTGAAACTTTGACCTGAAACCCCAAATACCAGTAATTTAATGAATACAGAATAATAGACTGAGCTGATCCCCAAGGGGTAATACTATATGCCGGAAAACCCTGGAAAACTACCGAAAAACACTATGTTCTACTGAATACCGGAAAAACACTAAATACTGGAAAACACACTAAACGCCGGAAAACACCCTAAATAGGTAACCTGGAGCCTAGTCCTCTGGAAAACACCAGAAAAACCTAACCCTAACCCCCTGCACACAGAGGACCAGGCTCCGGGTTACCTAAATGTATTTAGGGTGTTTTCCAGTATTTAGTGTTTTTCCGGTGTTTTCCAGTATTCAGTATATTAACATGGTGTTTTCCGGTAATTTTTCAGTGTTTTCCAGTGTTTTACAGTATATAGTATTTCCGATCCCCCAGCTCCCAATAACAATGACATTGAAGATCAATCGAACAAGAAACTGAAATGATAAACCCAGTTTGTCTTGATACTGTTACAGTAATATATTATTTGTTATTTTCCTGTTTAAAAGTCAAGTATGATGGATATCTGCTTTGTTTATTTTGTCCAGGAAACCAAATCACTGTCAGTCGACTCATAAGTAACATTGAGGTTGATAGATATTTTTGAAGAAAGCTACATAATGTCAAAAAGAATGACATAGAGATCAAAGGATTCTTATCCAATTTGGTACACATCCAAGTTTTCCTTTTGAATAAGCTGCTGTCTATGACTATCTTTTTTTCAAGACATAGAAGCTTAGTGGGTATATTTCCTCACTATGCTAGGCAACATGAATCTTTTGTTATTTTGATGATCAGTAAAATCTGGATAAATTGCTAATTTAGGTTGCTTTTTTTTTTTCACAGATAGAAAATAGCTAATTACCTAACCCTAGATAAAGCAGGAAAAAAAACCAAGAAACAACCATGACAAGCGAGGCAGCTATTCACAAAAGGAACCTAGAAAGTTCTATTCTTTTTATGCAACAAGAACATAGTGATACACTTAAAGGATTACATGAGGAAATTCAAAATCTTCAAAAGAAATGTACAGGTAGAAAATTCTTTGAAGAGAACTTTTTTGTATTCAAACTATGAAGTGGACATATTCTGTTATATTTAGTTGACCATTGTGATTAATGATTTCATCAATACAACAATGTATCATCTTATTGAAACTGGGATAGCTTTTCATGGGGAGTTATTTTTTCAATTTGTTCATTAAGGGGAGCTCTTTTTCGGCTCTCCTCTCTCTAAAAGACAAACAACAATGACTGTTAGCATATGGTACATGTAGCAGTGTGAAATCGATAGAAACCAATGTAAACTTTTAAAATTAGCCATAACTTGATTTAGTTTTGATATGAATATTGTTTACAAAAAAATCTAAGATCCAGTATCTAAATGTATTGATATGTGTGGTACATGTAGACCAAACGACAAATTACAGATAACTTTGAAATACAGAAAAGGAGAAGATAATTAAAGCAAATTTTAAAGCCTGGGATTGTCATTTGCCTTTTTCAAACAATATCTTAAATCCACTCTTTGATTATTTAACATTTAATTTAATTAAGGAAACAAAACCAAAATATCAACAGTATATATTCTTCCAGACTGGATTCAGCGGTATAAAAAAGAAGCCCATCAAAAGATTTTAGGGAAGATTATAAGTGCCACTTTCTTGTTTTGACAAATATCCCATTTATATGGTCTCTAGAGGATGCCAAATTTTGACAAATATTTAATTTGTCATATTTTTGTAAATACTGAACAGAATAAAACCATTTTTGGACTTTTTTTTAGAGATTCATCTTTTACAATATTGAAGTTTGCAAAGGATTCAAAATCCCTCAAATGACTATCAGTGGCTTTAACTACTTGTAATATTCCATTATTTGAATTTTCCAGATTTAACTTTCCAGTTAACAATGCATGGACTCAGTATAGAAGAATCAGGTATGTATTTGTAAAATATTTTACTGGTTAACTAATTGTTAAAAACAGCCAAATAAAAAGACTGAAATGTTAGTTACCAAAGTAATTGTAGTAAAATATCAATATTTCATTAGGTTTCTTTATAAACATTCCCGAGAAATTATTGTACTTTTATAGTAGTTTATATAGGAAATTGTAGATGAGCAGCTTGGTACAGACAGTATACAACCACCAATTTTTATATGTCCATATTTTGAGGTGCAGTTATTATGCTGTCGCCCCTGTCAGTCCGTTCACATTTGTTTGTGGACACCCTACAGGTTTTCCGATTTTGATTAAACTTAGAATACTGGGGTTATATCCCAAAGATCTCAGATGGGTTTGATTTTGGCACATATCGGACCTTCACATGTGGACTGCTCTTTGTACGCAAATTATGTAAAAGTATGTGTAATACAAAGGTTGTGAATCTTGACGAGGTCACAATTTTTATCCGATTTGGATGAAACTTAAAAGATATCTTTATATCCCAAAGATCTAAGTCCCTTTCGATATTTGCACATTTCAGACCATAAATTTCTGGATTATGGCCCCTGACTGTACGAAAAATCGCTTTTGTTTTTAGCTTGTTCTCTATCCATCTCTTGCAAAATGTGGGCATATCTTGCCTGGCAACCGCTGGTTAACGAATTTGTTTCAAATTTGGTATGAAGCATTGGAGTAGATTTTCCCATTTCTCTATGACTATTGCAAAATGTAGGCGTATCTTGCATGGGATGGTTTTAAAAATTATATTTATGTTTGAATTTTACTTGCAGATGATGTCAGCAGTAAATTTAGTGAGTTGAAAAATCAACTAGATGAAAAAACAAGGTTTATCAAAATTCAAGAAACACAGTTAAGTGAAAAGGATGCAAAAATAAAAGACCTGGAACAAGCAGTAAAAGCTTACAAAAAGAAATATCTAGATGAAGCAAGGCAACAAACTCAAATAGTTAACACGTTAAAGGCAGACATTGAAACGAAATCATGTACCGTGGCATATCTGACATCAAAGTTGCATCAGATTAAAGTACAATCTAAAGTGGATCCAGTACCTGAGAACATTATACGTAGGACCGATGCTGGTCGCATTCCTGCACCTCCCAAAGAAATGCTTTCCAAACCCAGAAGAATTGCAAATGTTCGCCGAAACCCAGCAGTTGCTGGTGCAGAAACTCTATCCCTTCACCCAGTGAGACTTAGTTCAGCACGAAGTAGTAGTGGTTCTAATCGCTCAAATTCTCCAGATATTTCTTCTTTTCTCTCAAACCAAGGAGAAAAACTATATTCTCTACCCAAACCTTCCATTCTCCCTCCAATTACCACGAGTCAAGAAAATTCTTCAGTTTTAGTTCACCAAGTTGTTCACCCTAAAAAAATATATGGCCATCAACCCAGTACATCCGAAATTGCAACACTAGCTGTTGAACAGTTACCACACAGAAGGAAAAGTTGGGGTAATCCACAGGAATCTCACAGCTCAGAATATAAATAATTACAATAGATGCCGGTATCATCTATGCTGTATGTGTGGTATACGTAATTGTTATGTTTTTATTATGTTATTATTTACGTTCAACTGATATGAAAATTCATTCCAAAACCAGGCCTCAAGGACCATAAAACTATGATACGCATTGCTTGAGTTTGTTACTCACCTTATGTTACGCTCCGAATTACAAACTGCGTTGATAATGTAACAAAATTATTGTTACTTTTTGGAATTGGTTTTTTATACGCCCACATTTTCATGTGGACGTATATTGTCGTCGCCCCTGTCCGTCCGGACGTCCGTCCACAATTTGTTTGTGGACTCTCTACAGGTCACAATTCTTGTCCGATTTTGACGAAACTTGAAATATAGCTTTATCCCCAAAAAATCTCGGCTGCTTTCGATATTGGCATGTATCGGATCGAAACTTCATGGATTATGGCCCCTGTTTGTACAAGGAATCACGTTTTTAGCTTGTGGACCCTATAGAGGTCACAATTTTTATCCGATTTTGTTGAAACTTGAAATGTAAGTTTATAACCCAAAGATCTCAGTTCCTTTCGATATTCGCGCATATCAGACTGTAACTTCCTGAATTGTGGCCCCTGTTTGTACGAAAAATCGCGTTTTTAGCTTGTGGACCCTATAGAAGTCATAATTTTTATCCCATTTAAAAAAACGTATTATTATATCACCGTTACACCCTAAGGACGACTGAGTTCGAATTTCGTGAAAATCGGCCCAAAATTGACAGACAAAATGGCCGCCGTTCGTTCTCAAATAGTGTAAAAATATGGTATATCAAGGTTGTGGACCCTATAGAGGTCACAATTTTTATCCGATTTTGTTGAAACTTGAAATGTAAGTTTATAACCCAAAGATCTTGGTTCCTTTCGATATTCGCGCATATCGGACTGTAACTTCCTGAATTATGGCCCCTGATTGTACAAAAAATCGCGTTTTTAGCTTGTGTACCCTGTAGAAGTCATAATTTTTATCCAATTTAAAAACCCGTATTATTATATCACCGTTACACCCTAAGGAAGACAGAGTTTGAATATCGTGAAAGTCGGCCCAAAATTGACAGACAAAATGGCCGCCGTTCGTTCTCAAATAGCGTAAAAATATGGTATATCAAGGTTGTGGACCCTATAGAGGTCACAATTTTTATCCGATTTTGTTGAAACTTGAAATGTAAGTTTATAACCCAAAGATCTTGGTTCCTTTCGATATTCGCGCATATCGGTCCGTAACTTCCTGAATTATGGTCCCTGATTGTATAAAAAATTGCGTTTTTAGCTTGTGGACCCGATAGAGATCATAATTTTTATCCGATTTAAAAAAACGTATTATTATATCACCGTTACACCCTACGGACGACGGAGTTCGAATTTCGTGAAAATCGGCCCAAAATTGACAGACAAAATATCTGCCGTTTGTTCTCAGATAGCGTAACAATATGGTATATCAAGGTTGTGGACTCTAAAGAGGTCACAATTTTTATCCGATTTTGTTGAAACTTGAAATGTAAGTTTATAACCCAAAGATCTCAGTTCCTTTCGATATTCGCGTATATCGGACCTTAACTTCCTGAATTATGGTCCCTGATTGTAGGAAAAATCGCGTTTTTAGCTTGTGGACCCTATATAGGTCATAATTTTTATCAGATTTAAAAAAAACGTATTATTATGTCACCGTTACACCCTTAGGACGACAGAGTTCGAATTTCGTGAAAATTGGCCCAAAATGGCCGCCGTTCGTTCTCAAATAGCGTAAAAATATGGTATATCAAGGTTGTGGACCCTATAGAGGTCACAATTTTGATCCGATTTTGATGAAACTTGAAATACATATTTATAACCCAAAGATCTTGGTTCCTTTCGATATTCGCACATATTGGATCATAACTTCCTGAATTATGGCCCTTGATTGTACGAAAAAATCACTTCTTTTTTTGAGCTTGTTCTCTGTCCATCTCTTGCAAAATGTGGGCGTATCTTGCATGGCAACCGCTTGTTTACATTAGCAACAAGGGATTGAAATTTAAGTAGAATTTGAATTGAGATTTAAAAGAAAAAAATTATGCCCTTAGGATCTATTACAAAAATATGAATTATGCAAGCCTAATAAATAATACCAATCCAGTTATATGTAATTTATTTGTTAGATGGAGGGAATTGGGACCCCCCCCCCCCCCAAAAAAAAACAGAATGTTTATTTAAGTTTTGTATTGTCATAAAATGTAGCCTTAGAGTTATGTGGATGACGCACTCCATTGGGCTGAAATGATTTAATGATAGCATACATTATACATCTCCAATTCAAGTGACCAGAATGATAGAACATGTTCCTACTTATTCCATGTCTTGCTGTGGCACAAAGAGGGCACACCCAGTTTGCAAGGGATTGTTATCAACCAGTTTGTAAAAATTGATTGATTTCTAAAAGCCTATATTACCAGGTATTCTAAAGTAGTACTTGCAGTAAGTTTATAAAATAAAATAAACATTAATTAAGTATGTTTTCTTAGATTTTAAGTCTGTTAGTATTGTAATATAAAACCTGACAATTGCCTTCTTAATATGGCAAGAATAAATCTGATAAATGTGTGTGAGGGGTGATAATTGTATTATTATAGCTGAAACATGAGGAAACCTGTTCTCATTATTTATTTTTTGCTGCTTTGTTTAATTTGTGAAAGAAAAATTGTTTAACTGATCAACGGGAACAGCATTTTTTCTTTGCTGATCAAAACATGAATACCGGTACAGGGTTAAAATGGCATTTTTAACAATTGAGACAAAGAATGTTTGTTGTACTTGTAGTATAATAAATAGTATATGAAGAGCTTTTATCAAATATGATGCCAGTGATTTTAAAAACAATATTTTATGTAGTAATGATTTTAAATAAGTGAAGACTGGAGTAACAGTTAGAAAAGAGCTCTTCATAATTATGTTATATGAGATGTCTTCAAGTATTAAGGTTGTTTAGTGTGATGTATTAGTCTCATATATGTTGTATTATGAATTGTAAGAGTGTTAGTGATATAGGTATATGTTAGTGATATAAGTATATGTATATGTTAGTGATATAAGTATATGTATATGTTAGTGATATGTACATGTTAGTGATATAAGTATATTATACATTATGTATGTGTTAGTGATGTGTACATGTTAGTGATATAAGTATATATGTTAGTGATCTGTACATGTTAGTGATATGTACAAGTTAGTGATATGTACAAGTTAGTGATAGATGGTTAGTGCATCTAAGTATTGGAAAGCTGGAAATATGTATTTATTTGAAGTGTATACCTATGATTTTTAATCAAAACGATGTAAAATGAGGTTGGGAAAACAGGACTGTATTAATTCCCCTGCTCAAAAATGTGTTGGCTTGAAATGTTTCCTTCTATTCTTCCATTTCAGCCCAGTTTTCAATCATTATCTGTAGCTTAAACCGTGGCCAATTACATTGTAAAGACCATATGTTGTGCTCTCAAATGATAACAACATAAGTTTGTTTTCAAGACATATATAAGATTCTTAGTCTGTCATGTTATGAAGTATTATTTAAAACTAACTAATATAGATTGTATATAGAAATGAAATATGGCTGAGAGTGTTGTTCTGACATGCATTAAGTCAACAATAAATTATTGTGTATTTCTGTGAAGTGTGAAATGAAATATATTTTGACATTCTGTGGCACCATTTTGAGATAAATGTACATGTATACTTAATGCATTGTGGAATTGATGTTAGTCATCAGGGTATTGACCATTGTCAAGGGTGTGGCTTGTTACAGTTTATACGATTTGAAGTAGCATAAAAGTATTATATCTTAATGTGACTGATCGGTCATTGCATTAATTTATTTTGTTTCACAATATATAATATATTCCAGTTTTCCATTGTAAGTAAATGTGATAAAAAAAGATGTACAGTATATTGTTTTTTGTTTTTATTTCCGTAGTGAATGTAACTGTATTTATTCATTCATTATATTATAATTTATTTAATTAAATCCAGAAAATTATTTTTATGATCATCCCGTCCATTTTAAAATTTATGTATTAACAGGGTTGAATAATTTTTAGAAGCTATTAATATAAGATAAACATCTTTTATAAACACATAATTATTAAACAATGAAATATCTAGATCAAGAACATAGAATTTTTACATATTATTTTTAATTTATATTTTGAATTATGCTTTTCTGTTAATAAATACATTCTAATCATAGAATAGATGATTTTTGTTGTATTATTTTTTGTCAATCAAATAAAAAAATTTGAAAGTTTCTATATGACACATGATATATAAAAAACATCTGGATGGTATATTGCTATCCTTTTCCAGCCTTGAGGAATTCATGCATTGTTCTAAAAATTTATATCGCTAAATTCTACTTGAAAATAGTGTTGAATTATTATAAATTTGTGTCAGATATGGTGAGGAATAATTCCTTTTTTGAAAAATAATCACTGTGAAAAATAAAAGGTAAGGGTTCAAAGCCTGAGAACAGAGATGGGGAAGAGCAGTATTTTAACATATTTTCATATTGCAGCTATATACGAAGGGATTGGAACTGACAGTGGACATTGTCCAATCAGGGACAGTTCCTAAAGGAACTAGGGTTAATGGAGGCCAGTTCCTAAAGGAACTAGGGTTAATGAAGACCAGTTCCTAAAGGAACTAGGGTTAATGAAGGCCAGTTAAGATTTTATGGCTAGCCCGTAAATTGGTGTAGAAAAAATCAAAATGATCACCCCCATCTTTGCAACATTTTTATCAGATACTGATAAACAATATTGAAATCGATGGGGATTGAATAACTAGTTTGTGTATGTAACTCTGGTCTTACTCCACGGGGAAAATGGATTATCTCCCTTTAATTTCTTCGGTGGTAGAAAACAGAATTAGTGTTCTAAACAATGGCTGCCCCCATGCCTAATTTTTCAGTTGGGGAAACAAGCCGAGATAAATTAAAGAATGATCCCAAATTAAGGCCAGAAGACGTACAGAACTTTTCTTTTATAATAAATAATATTATTGGAGAAAAGAAACATAGACAAAATGCATTCCTTCCACTTGGCACTGTACCTGGAATGGGTAAATCTAGAGAAGAAGTTTTTATTGCCAGTATATTTGAGAGTTGTGCTTTCAAAGCTACAGCAAGTTGTGTAATTGGTGAGAATTTTTAAGTTTAAATGAAAAATGTATTTTGAGTGCCCAGTGTTATTTTCTAAAATTACTAAAAAGATAATTGAATACAATGAATGGGAAATATTGCCTGAGTAGAGCGAAGCTGATGTGATTGTAGTTCAGCTCTAAACGTAGGTCTCATTTTACACTCGGCCTGTACATATTATAATTATGTACGTTCAGAAACCGCCCTATTGAATCCTTGCCGAAAAAGTATTGGCCCCCAGTCAATTTTATTAGGCAACTTTTTACTGTGCAAGCTTTTACTTCTAAATGGTCGTGTGCACGCCTGAACAATCAATGTAAAAGAACTTTTTAGCGTGAAAAATAAGACCTTGCTTACCTCGCTATGGTCAGTATGTGCGACAAAACATGCTGTTAAAAATACGTCCCGTTCTGCTAAATGGCTTGGCAGAAGCCATTGGAATCTAAATAGAGTGTAACACACAAATTTACATAACTCGGCCATATATGACGAAATTAAATTCTTTAGAGCTTTGCTCTATATTAATTTTATAGTGCAGGACAGTTTATCAACCACTAATCCTGTCCACCACTGGCACCAGTGCTTTGGTCTTTGGTCTATTAGCTCGAGTTCTTTTATTGTCTCAGGGGTCAAGTGGATAAGACGCTGGCTCGCTAGTCTGGAGGTCGGTTGTACGATCCCTGCATTGGCCGAGAAAGTCCATCCAGATTTTCCAGCATGGTTTCCTCTTGTCAGTGATACTGGAAGGCGGGTCTGACAAGGACAGGTGTCTAGTCGTTCGGATGGGACGAAAAACCAAGGTCCTGTGTACAAATTGGCGTGCACGTAAAAAATCCCTTGGCAGTTGGAATTCGATATAAGAATAGGCCCTAGCGCCGCTGCCCGGGCAAAATTTCCCTCATAGCACACTGTATGGCATATGCCTGTCTTCATGAGTCCAGTTTAGGAGCAAAACAGTAAGCCATTAAACACCATTTCATTTCATTTCATTTTATTGTCTCAAGGCCAGTTCTAAGTTTGCTGGTATTCCAGGCAATCATAATTTTACGGGGGCCTTATTGCATTTTTGCACCTCTACCACTTCCTATGATGGTCGAGACATAAAATTTGAAAGGTGACAACACTACAGATTTCCTCATTGCTTCCCCCCAAGGTCACTATTTTGTTTATTCACTATTAAGACGCAAATATCAAGACACTAAAATGGCTTCCTGGTTACTACTCAATGAGCTTCCGCGCCATCACACCAGTTAATAGATAATAATGATAAAAAATTTAGTTAGGGTTGCAGCTGCCCGTTATACCAGTCATGGACTGATAGTCCATTTGTCAATGGTCTTTGAGTTAGATAGAAGGTTGGAAGGACTGTAAATCTGAGTTGAATAATCAAACATTCCCATATTCCTAGTCATTCTATTATTTTGATTGTCCCTTAGTTACATGTACGGCAGTCCATTTTCCAGTCTGGTCTCCCATTGTCAGTGGTGCAGGACAGAGGACTGGGCTTGGAAGATGAATCTAGTAGCCCAGTTGAGACAATAAATGTGGGCCACTCTGTAATGTGCACCTAAAAGAACTCTTGACAGTTGGAATTCGAAGCTAATTTAGGCTGCCCCACAATAAAGAAATATCTCAAAATTCTCGACAATTAAGTTTAACTTAGTTTCACACATTTATCATTACTAAATAAATGGTCATGTTGTATTTAACAAGTTATAACCATTTAAACATCAATAAAAAATACAGACTGAAAAGGTAAACGACAAGCAGCCATTATATCCGGGCATCTTTGCGTGCAAAATAAGGTTACATGCCCTTGGTTTGAAATCAGTTGAGCTAAATCAGTCTATCAACAGGTCTTTGCCAGATGGACAGGCCTGGATAATCAAGACAATTTCTATGAAACATTACAGTAAGCTTAAAGTTAGGTTCACACCAACGGCGCTTTGATGGCGCTTTAAAGTGGCGTGCAAAGTGGCACCAAAGCGTAACAAAGTTCGACTAAAGCGTTAGGGTCGTAATAGATCGTTGGAAAGCTTTGTGCAAAGCGAGACATTCGGCAAGAGTGCCAACAAATTTTAAGACTGTTTCAAAATTTTGGGTGCTCTGTCACGAAAGTGCCGAGAGCGTATCAAAGCGTAATAAAGTTCAGCAAAGTTTGACTCAAAGCGTAGGAAAGCTTAACAGAGCTTTGTTTAAAGCGGGAACCCCAGTCTTCACGGTCTGTCACCACTTGACACGCTTTGTTAAGATGTCTCAAGATTTGCTACGATCTGGCATGAAGATCTGACATGCTTTGTAACGCTTTCCCACGAATTGAGACGCTTTAATCAAGGATTGACACGCTTTGCTAGGCTTTGTTACGCTTGGCAAGCTTCCTCACGCTCTCTCACGCTCTCCTACGATACCCAAGCTCTGTCTCCAGCACTGCGACTTGAGTACCACTCATTGCATTGTTTCAGAAAAAGTATCCTGAACCTGTAAAACAACACAAAGATAGGACCCAAGAGAGGTAGAGGTGCAGCAAAGATGAATAATAAGATGAATAATAATCATAGCATCTTCCAAAGTACATATAATAACATAATAATTTCAAATTTCCAAGTCAATATTACAAAATAATGTTCATAACACACTAGTTTTCATTCTCAGTCTTGCGGGCTCTCTTTCTCTCAGCCATTTTTTGCTGCCAGTCAACAGCACCCACTGGAGAGAGAAAGTAGTCTTTGAGATGTTCTCTCTGACGTCTGGCATCCACAGTGGGGGGGGGGGGGCTCTTGCAGGTGGCTGTGGAACATCTTCCCATTGAGGTTCATGTCTCCAGGCCCCTGGTATGATAATGTGCTCTTCATCCTCGTGATCCACCTCATTGGCTGCCATCACCACCCTCTGCCTCAGCAGGTTGTGCAGCACCACAGCAGTCTCCACCAAATGTCTCTGCCTTCTGTTCCAGTGTTCCCAGCAGGCACCTGAACCTGTTTGCCAGGATGCCAAAGTCATTCTCCACCACTTTTCTACCCCTTGAGATCCTGTAGTTGTAGATTCTTTGCTCATCTGTCATCCCTCTTCTACTGTATGGCTTCATCATGTAGCTCTTCAGGGCAAAAGCATCATCAACCAGGATGAAGTATGGAATATCTGGCTCAGTTTCCCCAGGGAGAGGGCATGATGGGGGCAGCCCTATGGACCCATCTGCTAGGCATTCAAAGAGCTCAGAGTCTATGAATATCTGGGAGTCAGACGTGTGTCCTTTACCTCCCAGCTCAATCCAGATGAACTTGTACTGTGCATCTACCAAGGCCAGCATTGGTATGGAGAAGGACCCCTTGTAGTTGTGGTAGAGACTGCCTGTGTTTGCTAGCTTCTTGATGGCTATATGTCTTCCATCCAAGGCACCAACTGTATGGGGGACATGCCACCTCTGTTCAAACTGCTGGGCAAGGTTTCTCCATGCTTCAGGGGAGGTAGGTGGGTTGAAGACCTCATCTTTATACGCCTGTACAATGGCCATGCACACTTCCGGAATCAGCTCTGATATGGTGGAGATACCACATCGGAATCCATATGCCAGTGACCTGTAGTTGTCCCCAGTGGACAGATGTCTCAAAGTGATTGCCAGCAGCTTGATGCCAGCAGACAGGGGTGTCTGTAGTTAGTCTGCTGCTTCTGGATGACTGGTTCATCGAACACCTGAAGGCAGCAGGGTCTTCTAATCTGAGTTGTGTATCCAGGAGGCTAGTGTACTGACCATACTGTTGTCTTCTTTCTTCAGTGAGCCATGGCCTGGTCCAGCAGCTCCTGATGAATAGTCTTCTCCCTTCTGCTGGTAGATCAACCTCCCCTTATCTTTGCTGTTCTTCCTCTGCCTCAAGGGCTAGGATGTATTTATACAGTAGGGAGACAAACATCATGTCTTGTTCAGATAGATTATGCTCTGGTACATCTGGAACTTCTGGATCTTGTAGTTCTGCCATCGTGTTGGAGTCAAAGATGCAATGATTTTGTAGATCTGCTCTGGATCAAAAGCGGCATTAAATTTTCCAATGCGTAACACAGCTTAACAATGCACAACAGAGCTTGATAATTGTATCCGAGCGTGATTTAAAGCGTCATAATCACATCAAAGCGTAATAAAGCGTGATTTAAAGCGTAACAAGGCCTGATCAAATCGGGAAATAATTCGTCCCTGAAAGCGTAACCAATTCGTATCAGAGCTTATCAGAGCTTATCAGAGCGTAACATTACTTAGGAGATCGTGATGTTTTTGGAAAAGTAAACAAAAATGAAGCCGCTTTGCTCGGCGATTTAAAGCGCGACATTCGCCGTTGGTGTGAACTAGACTTAATCAAAAAATCTAATTTAGTAACTTTGCAAGTTAGGCAACTCAACAATTGTTTTGAGAAACTTGTAAAAGGAAAATACATTTACTACTAGTATTCCATTTTTGCCTAACTAGCAAGCTTCGGAGATATTAATTGTACTAAACCAAAAGATGTCATCAACAATAGATTTTTCTCAGATTTAATAGTTGATATATGTGTAGAAAATTTCATGTGCGATGGCAATTTATAGCCTAATACTAATAGAATATACTCTGGATTACCGGTATACATGTGGTCCATGTCTACCCTGTAATTACTTGGTAACTTATCATTTGAGCATGAACATTTGCTGTGGTGAGTTCAACTTTTAATAGTGCAAATTGTGACTGCATGGGGCACCCTAGATAAGTATTTCCCGCACAGTCACAGAACATGACAGATGTCTGTCTTCATTAGCCCATTGGTGCAGAAGTTGAACCCCATTTCATTTATATATACAACTCATTGTAAACTCATTGTGTATTGATCTCACCAGACTAGATGATAATCTGTGTTAATGGTTTTTCACAGTTTGATCACTGTAATTGAAAGAATTGACAATCAGATTCTCGAAAATTTGACCAACCTTCAAGGAATTTGACATTGTTTTTGTCTTCCACCTATAGAGGACTAATGCAATGGATCATACATCTGTCTGTCATCTGAACGTCCATTACACTTCTTGAGATACAGTATTTTTATTGGTTGATCTGAAGATCAGGAACTAAAATTGAGGTATCAGTATTCAAGATAGAGATAGAAATGAGAGCAAAATCAGAATTACAAGCACAACAAAAAATAATACACACTTACAAAATAAAGTACATGAATGTAAAATGGTTCTGTGCTAGTAAAATTCTTAAAAAATATATGGGTTTTTGAAAGTATAAACAGTTGTGCAAGGTTTAATACAGTAAGGTCACCTCATTACTATTAATTATGAGTAAGATGTTAAACCCCATTTCATTTCATTATTATTATGAAAAACTAATTTATTTCAGTTTATTTCAACTTGAGGGCTTTGTGTAGTCTAATATAGTACACTAACTATATGTATTTATAGCAAACAAGAAGGTTTCCCCAACCTAGATCAGTAATTTGAATAAATTATGACCTCGTGAAATCAGTCACGTGATTTGCAGTAAACAATTACGGCTGCCTCCAGCAACAGTTTTACACTGGATGACCCATTGACGTCATAGTAGGAATTCCCTCTGTAACGTGATTATATGTCACGACTGGAACATCACTGCATTTCTTTTTTTGATGGTTGAAGACTACCGTTTTTGAATGCATAAAATGATTTTGAGTGCGGTGGAGTAGTTCAATGAAGTAAATATTTACTTTTAAATCTGAATTAAATCACAAAATCTTGTTTGAAGGTAAATAATGAACAAAGATTTTAAAATACTCTGAAGTGATACTTTTGGCGCCAAAATGTTGCTTATAACCTCTACTTTAGATCTACTGTAGTGATTATCGATATCTCTTTTTACCATGAACTTATAGAATTTCCAAGAAAACTCATCATTTTTTGGTGTTTCCATAGATACCAAACAAACCCGGTCTATAAACCAAAATCTGAAAGGTAGATTTCCTGGACTTGCATTTAGCATAATTGTTCATGCCAAATTTGATGAAAATCCATGTAGGCATAACTGAGAAAATTAGACTTTTGTTGTCATCAGCACCCTTTATTCTTTTGGGCCAAGTTTGGAACATAGTTGCTAAATAAAATTGGTATTTTTTGGGTGATTAATATGTACATGTAGTTTATCACCCCAAATAACAAAATATGTCCTATCTTATGAACAAAACACCCTTAATTCAAGGAAGCAGAAGGTGTTTTGCGATGTACATCTTCTTATCATTTTGTTTGTCTCCCTTTTAGACATTGCATAAATAATTCATTTTCTCATAATTACTGGATTGTTGTTAAAATAGTTTTAGGATGTATAATTATTTGGTAATGGGTGATAGTGTCGGCCATCACATTCAGTATAGTTTCTGTAAATTTTCTCATGAAGCCATCATGGTGACACTAAATGAAAGTATTAAGTTGATCAGTTTGTGCTGGTGTTAAATCAACAGGTGGGATATAAACACAAATATTTACATAATTTTAAGCTGGGTAAAAACTGAGATGCAATTAGATTTTTAGTCAGTTCATTTATAACTGCTTAAACTCTTAGTTAGATAAACTTCCAAAGGGAAAAAAAATCAGGCTGTTAATTGTCTTATACTCTCTGCACTGGATAAGAGTAGGTGATAGTGCCGCTGCCCGGGCAAAATTTCCCTCATAGCACACTGTATGGCGTATGCCCGTCTTCATTAGCCCAGTATAGGAGCAGAACAGTAGGACGTTAAAACCCATTTCATTTCATTTCATTTCTCTGCACTGGATAACTGAAATAAATACCGTATAGCATACAGAATTAGTACTGGGTATTGCAACTGCAATCACAATACGATATGTATTGTGATTCAGGTGCTAAGATATCACGATTCATAACCAGGTCAATATTTACCAAGAAAACAACAGGATATTTTTGGTCCTGCCAATGTTGAAGAAATAAAACTGTTTTATAATTAAGAGTGACAGGTTACTTAATGAAGTGACAAAAAAAAACCTTAAAAAAAGAATAATTGGTACATCAATGCAGCGTCTCGCGATTCAATACGCAAATTGTGACACGTTGAAGATTCAACAATATAATATATACTATTCAAAAAAAGTAGGGGATATTTGATTTTTAAGTGTTATTAAAGTCACCTAATGAAACTGACGAAGAAACAAATGACAAAATGAAATGAAGTTCACATTCATCGATTTATTCCAAATGATCGTTAGACTAAGTAAGGCACAGACTGACCATTATACGGGTAAAATGATACCCGGGGTCAAACAGCAAAGTTACCACAGCATCACAACCAAGTCAGTAACGGGTAAATCCTCCTCTGTTTGCCAAACAAGCATTGATCCGACGTGGCATACTCCTAATGAGACGTCTAAGGTCATTTTGGTCCAGATTGTCCCATTCCTGTTGCAACGCAGCAGCAAGTTCTTGGACATTGGCAGGACGTTGTTGACGTTGACGTAACCTCTGTCCAAGCATGTCCCAGACATGCTCGATGGGGGAGAGGTCAGGACTCAGTGCTGGCCAAGGTAATGTGGTGATGTTCTGTTGTTGGAGGTAACCTGTAACGATCCTGGCCCTGTGACATCTTGCGTTGTCGTGCAAATCTTGGGTTGGACCCCCATGATGATCCCAAGCATCACCTGCATTCCATGCGGTAGCTATTGGTGCGTTTGGGCGTCACATGTAACTGGAAATGTTTCTTCTGTTAGGTTCTATAGTGACTTTTTTCGTAGTCATTTGCATATTTTAGTATTATGCCCCCAAAATCAAATATCCCCTACTTTTTTTGAATAGTATATCATGCCAGCACTATAAAGGATACAATACAAAACACGGTTATTGGTTTAAATACTTTGAATACCATAAAACATAAGAAATCTGGAATCCTCTACCGATACATGATTACTTATACAGCACTCTTATAATTTATTATCGGGGATCACAGTGGCTAATTGGGTAAGATGCTGGCTCGCTAGCCTGGCGGTCGGGTGTTCGATTCCAGCATTGGCCGAGAAAGTTCATCCAGATTTTCCGGCGTGGTACCCCCTTGTCAATGATGCAGGACGGAGGGCCTGACAAGGACAGCTTTTTAGTTGTTTGAATGGGACAGAAAACCAAGGTCCCATGTACACATTGGCGTACACATAAAAGATCGCTTGACAGTTGGAATTGGATATAAGAGTAGGCTGTAGTGCCGCTGTCCGGGCAAAATTTCCCTTATAGTACACTGTATGCCCGTCTTCATTAGCCCAGTTCGAAGCAAAACAGTAGGACGTTAAACCCCATTTCATTTCATTTATAATCTATTATCATTAGCTTACTGGTCATTCTATGTACAAGCATCAGTCCACTAATTCAAATTCGTAATAATTTTTTTTTTTTTTCAAATTGTGTGAGAAGCATTACACAACTATACATTCCTAAGGTATCTCTCTGAAAACTTTCTGAACTCGATAGAGGCTACAAATTTTTAACAGATTTATTTGAAATTTGGTGGGAAGCATTGAGGTCACAATGCTTCACCAATTACCCCCCTTTTCTGTAAATCATTTGAATGTAATGGAGCCTACAGTTGTAAACAGATTTCTATTCAAATTCAGTGTGAAGCATTGGGAGGGTGTGCCCTTCTCCATCCACCTTATGGACTAATTTGGGTTATCTTGCATGGCAACCGCTTGCTTGATGTCAATCTTGCCATCAACCCATCTGTCTCTACGCCTTGAACTCTTTTGGCATCAAAATACTTATGAGTTTGTTTTATTTTATTGTTTTTCTTTTGTAGGCTTTGCATTAGGTGGAGCTTTTGGTTTGTTTACTGCAGGTGTTGATCCAATGTCAACTATATCTCCTGAAACACCCACAACTCGTATGGTTCTGAAAGAAATGAAGCTACGGTTTCTGTCTTATGGCAAAAATTTTGCTTTAGTTGGGGCCATGTTTGCGGGTACAGAATGTTTATTAGAAACAGTAAGTAATCCCTTTGTTTTCTGTTTCTCCTTAATTATTCAAACATGCATTTCTAAAAAATTAATGAACTTCCCTTGAGTAAAACTTACATATGTGCATTTCTGATTGAACTTTTTAAGTCTGTCTTCTTGATAAAGTGCAGGCAAGATCAGACTAAGTGATACAGTTGGGGATAAAAAAACACCAAATCCTCCAAAAATAATGCACAAGTAATAATCCCAAAGCAACAAACATGACAAGACTATATCAGAAATTGAGTAGTTTTAATCCAGGAGGATTGTCCCTGGAATGTATCCTGGATTAAAGCCACTCTATTTTTCACACACTTTTGTCATGTTTGTTGCTTGGAGATTATTATTCATTATTCTGTCTTCCAATAATGTTTTTTGTTTTTTTTTTAAATTTTACATTTTGATCAAAATTTTTTACCTATATTTGTTTGGAATTGTTTATGTAATATCTACAAGAGTTTTCAAGAGATATTGTTTACTTTGCCTCTAAAGACTGCAATTATCATCTGTGGACAATATTAATCATAGAGAGAGAGAAAGAGAAATGGGGTTTAACGTCCACTCAACACAAACTAGGTCATTTTGGTACTAACATATGGTTTTAATTTTATTTACATAATTCGCTTGCGCGTAGGGGTCTTTAGCATTGGAAGGAAACCGGAGAAAACCCACGAGGTTGGGCAGGCGACCCTAATTAATCATAGAAGAGGCTTGTTTATTTTTATATTTATATGCATAGATTTTAATGAGTTGTAGATTGCCATCACTTGAGCCGATTGTCGGCCTGTCATTATATTTTTTGTTAGCACAATAGGGGTTATAGTAATCCGCATATCTTTTATAGTTATCAACCTCATTAAAATGAAGAAGTCTTTTTTTTTTAACATTTTTTTGAGTTATCCCCCCTTGATATGAAATCTTGTTAGCACTCTATTTATAGTCTGCAATTATAAACCTACATGTATTTTTCTGAAATTTTACTTTGGTTGTTTATACTATTGAAATGAAGACCTCAAATTATTTTTGACAATTTTCAATAATTTTGTTGCAATATATTAAAACTTGGCGTTTTCATTTGGGCCTCAAGAGGAACGTATTTGAAATTAAGAATGTTTCAGTCATAAGTCGGATTAATGAATTCTTATGAAAGTGATACTCAACAGAATTCTCAAAGTAATTTTTTAACACTTAGTGGGTGTTTATCAAATTTCAAAATTTTTGGATCATAAATTTTAAATCGATTTTGCAGAATCGTCTTTCCATTTATTCAGAAGAATGCAATTATGATCATCAGATCCCTATGAAACTTAGATAGGCTGTATGAAGATTTTCATCATGAACAAGGCTAATGATTTTCATTGATAGGTTTTAAATCTAAAGATTTACAGCTATTAACTTTTATCAGTGATATATATATGTAGCTTATAGCTTTTATTTAGAGGAAGATTCAATTTCAGTGATTCTAGCACATATAATCTGAAATCATGCACAGTTCATCATATACAGAAATCGATTATTTGTGTAGCGGTATAGTTATATGATTTACTTATTCATTTCTGTAACTATGTTATAAATGATATAGCTGGAGGCCTACTACTGTTATTTAAATATAAAAAAAATTGTCTGAAATTCTAATCGGCTAAGCTGTAAATAATACAGACAAACTTGAACCAGTATGTGTGATTGTGTGTACTTGAATTAGAAAAAAAAGAGACTATGTTTTTACACTCCAATGTTTATTGATTTAACATGTCAATGTTTATTGTGGATATATATTGTTGTCACCTCTGCCTGTTGTCAATCAGTCCTTTGTTTGTCGCAAGACTTTTTAAAAGAAATTTTCAGGAATTGCTTATTTTGTCATCATGAGAAAGAATCCTGTAAAGTTCAGATTTTTTTTATTATATGGACTAAGCCTAGATATTGCTTCCCAAGTTTTTATGGTGAATGAATGTAGTGCCTCTATTTATAGCAGTTCTCTGTTGGGCTCTTTATGGATATAAAGATTAAGATATCAAACTCGGAGCACTCTTCTAATTGTCCCCCGCCTTTCAAAGAAAGCAGGGGACTATTAGAATGGGTTCGTCCGTCTGTCTGTCTGTCTGTGTGTCTGTCTGTCCGTCACACTTTTTGGGACACAATAACTCTCCTTCTAATTGACCTAGAATGTTCAAACTTGGTGTAGGTGTTTATTAGGTCAATGCCTTGATGGAGTTCGAAGATGAGCATTTTCTGCTTAGGGTAAGCAGAAATAAGCAATTTGATTGGTTGATGCTTTGCGACACAATAACTTTAGTTCTAATTAAGTGAGAGTGATGAAACTTGGTGTATAGTTTCATTACATCAATACCTTGACTAAGTTCGATAATGAGCATTTTCTGCTCAGGGTAAGCAGAGCGATAAGCAATTTGATTGGCCGAGACTTTGGAACACAATAACTCTCCTTCTAATTGAGGTAAAATGTTTAAACTTGGCGTAGGTGTTTATTAGGTCAATGCCTTGATGGAGTATGAAGATGAGCATTTTCTGCTTAGGGTAAGTAGAGATAAGCAATTTGATTGGTTGATGCTTTGGGACACGATAACTTTAGTTCCAATTAAGTGAAAGTGATGAAACTTGGTGTATAGTTTCATTACATAAATACCTTGACTAAGTTCGATAATGAGCATTTTCTGCTGAGGGTAAGCAGAATGATAATCAATTTGATTGGCCGAGACTTTGGAACACAATAACTCTCCTTCTAATTGAGCTAGAATGTTCAAACTTGGTGTAGGTGTTTATGAGGTCAATGCCTTGATAGAGTGCGAAGATGAGCATTTTCTGCTTATGGTAAGTAAAGATAAGCAATTTGATTGGTTGATGCTTTGGGACATGATAACTTTAGTTCTAATTAAGTGAGAGTGATGAAACTTGGTGTATAGTTTCATTACATCAATACCTTGCCTAAGTTTGATGATGAGAATTGTCTGCTTAGGCTAAGGAGCAATAAGCATTTTGATTGGTCAAGACTTTGGAACATAAAAACTCTGCTTCTAACTTGATGTTGATGTTCGTCTTGACCGAATTCAATGATTAACATATCGAGCTAAAGCTAAGCAGAGATAAGCAATTTCCTTGGTCGACGCTTTGGGACAAGATAACTTTGATTCTATCTGATAGAGAGTGATGAAACTTAGTGTATAGTTGATAATCAGTTTGATTGCTCGATATTTTGAAAAAAATAGATGTGCGATTAATTAATATGTGTCATCTATTTATTTGGGGATTTCGGCGGGGGACATCAGCCCCACTGTTGGCTTGTTTATCATCATATGGTTACCGGTCATTACATGTACATGTACAAGTACCATTGTTATGGAATAAATTACCAGTTCAAATTCGTAATGTCACTGCTATTGCTACTTTTAAAACTAAACTAAAGACATATTTATTTAAAAAGGATTTTAACAATTTTTATTTATATATTTTATCAAGTATGCTCTTTGTTATCTTGTTATATTATGTAAATGTAATATTGTCTTGCTCTATAATATGTCATTGTAAAGTGCACTTGAGCACATTTATATGGCAAGTTAAGTGTTATAGAAATGTGTAATAATAATAATCTCCATGTAACATTCCAATTTACAAAAGCTTGTGAACACGATGCTTGACAAAATCTTGGTGAAATTGTTGATTATATTGTTACTGTAGACATCTACCCAGGATCTATCTCTCCTGTTTAGGTTCACATTTATGAAATCTTTTGAACTGCATACAAAACAGAATTAACAGACTTATTTCAAACCTGATGAGGTTATTGGAGAATTCAGAACCTATGGAATTTCAAATTTCGGGATCTGGACTAAGTCTAATAATTGCTCCCCCAGATTTAGATCTATTTATGGCAATTCCCCCTTTTACCCCCTTTTGCATGGTATTTATTGTTGAGGAGAATTGGGGAAGAGTGTTTGAATTACATTTTCTGTCAGGTTTTGATGAATAGTCATGACTTTGAGAAAGAAGGCACAGCAAGTAAACAAGATGAGCTAGGGAAATCGCCTAAGAAAATGAAAGTCGGTGGTGTCCTTTGAATGGGTGTTGCAAAAAAATCAAGCTAATCAACACCTTAAAATATTTTTATCAAATGATTATGACATTTTGGACTCTTTTTGGTTATAGAGATAAAGATCATTGGAATGTTAAAAAAAAAATGTTAGATGCAAAGGAATGGCATTGGTTTAACATTGTAGTCAACTGGGAGAGGATTTCAAGTCTGAGCAGTTCTAAATTTTTCAGTTCACTTTTTGTTTTTAAAGCTTAGGGTAGAGTGCTCTGTGGGATTTGTTGGCATTACTTTTAGAGCCAACAGAGAGAACTTTCCTGCTGGTGAGTGCACTGCGGTGTGTAGAGGTCAAGACACTTTAAATGTAGAAATGTTGACATCATTATTTGAGGTTTTATTTCTGGAGAGTGGTGTTTATGAGTTTTGAAATATCTTTTACAGCATAGAGGAAAATCAGAATTATTAAATGGAACATTATCTGGTGGCATTGTTGGCGGAGTTCTAGGATTGAGAGGTAATAATAAGCTACACTAGACATTGCTAAATCTTAAGTCAAATTCACAAACACCTCCATCTATTGGTTTTGCTATACTTAATAACATGTCAGCATAACAACATTGCTTTTGCATTCAATTTGAATTGTTTCTTCACGTATATATGAATAAGGTACATTCTATGCTCCATTTCCTATGTTCTTTGGAGAAGATACCCCGGCCCTTGTCAGTAGTTATTTTCATGGAACAAGAAACAGGTCTTGTGTACACGTTGCTGTGCACATAAAAGAACCCTTGACAGTTGGAATTCAGTTGTTGTCCAGACAACATTTCCCTCATAGCACACTTTACAATGTATGCCTATCTTCATTAGTTTGATAGGTGAAGAAAAGTAGGATGTTTTAAAAACCACATTTCATTCATTCATTCCAATGGGTTTTTTTAATTATCTTGGTTGACAATACAGTCCAAGGTTCCACTGCCAGTTACTTCTCTGTCATCTATGTCAGACTTCCTGTCTGCATGTGAATGAATGAAATAAAACCATGTTAGTCTGAAATTGAGTAGAAATTAAACCTCATTTCGCTCTCTTTTTATGTTGCATGATCAGTATATTCCAACAAGAAATCTTATATTAAGAAAGATATTTTATGTACATGATCCTTGTAGAAGGACTTTTATTGACTTGTTGTGTATCAATTTGTTGTGTATCACTATCAAAGCATTCTTGGTATGATTGATTTGCAAATTATGTAAAGAAAATAGAATATAGAACTGTTCTAATTTGGTAATTTTGTTTGAATTTTCAGCTGGTCTTAAAGCAGGTTTACTTGGTGCTGCCGGGTTTGCTTTGTTCTCTACAGCTATAGATTATTATTTACGGCATTGATGTTTTATATAGAGACTAGAGCAGAATAGACTATAGATATTTATGTGTTAAACCAGACATAAGCATCTGGTAAAAATGATTGATAACTGTGTATTGGAGTAAGAAGGGACTACAGTTCTAAAGTTATGACTTCTAACTTAAAACATATTTCACCCAATTTGGTCATTCATAGAATTTTTTCTATGGTTATCAAAGCCTGTATAAATGAAGAGACATAGAGCTTTAAGGAGCTATCTAAACATTTGCTTTATCTATAGACAAAAGCTTATCAAAGATCTACAAAATGCTTGTTCTGTTTGAGCCTCAAATATTGAACTATTATTAATTGAACTGGAAATAAACAGTACACAATTCTATGGAATACAACTAGTGTTTATTACTAAGGAACCTTTTGACTAGGATTCTCTAGTTTTTTTCTAATAGAATCATATTTAAAACATCCTTCAGTAATTGTATTCCATAGAATTGATTCCTGTGTCACTCCACTCAACACGAATTCATAAAAATATAAAATAGCGGACAATTAGCGACTACTTTCATTTCATTGTAGATTTCAGTTGCAAAATTTAAAGTGATTTCAAGGTTGAAGTAAAATAAAACTATAGCAGATTGTTATGTATATAAATGTTTACTAGAATTAAAACCATTTTATTTAAATCATTTAATAAAAATATATATATCTTTTTATTGTTTTTCGCCTTTTTTTATATGTCCCACTATTAATTTGGAAGTATATTGTTATCACCTCTGTCTGACAGTTTCAGCCGGGAGCCTCACACAAGCTTAATCCGGCCCTGAGTGTAGTCCAACCAAAATTAAAAATTAAACCAGAATGAAATAACTCTCAAATTTTGATTAGAATATATGTGATTAATGCCCTCCCTCCAGGTCTCTTTATTATTTTTTTATACTGAAGGATGCTATTAAAGTTGTCCATTATATTGAATATATTCTCACCATTAGCTTAATACAATATAAATACAATATGATCATCAGACTGATCTATATTGTCTATATATTAGTTTCCTCAATACCCGTGGTTATGTCAACAAAATTATTATAAATTATTTGTCCTTTTTTTTCATGTGAAGAATTAAATTCGCCTTTAGATGTTCTAATTTTTTATTTTATTGAATTCTTTATATCGATGTTTAGTTGTTTTTATCACTTGCCAATTCTAGATAAATTCACCCCCGAGACAAAAAAGAGAAAAGCTTTGATCTTTAGACTTCAGAAAGCACGTTTTTGGAAAATTTACTATTTTAAGACATTAGAGATTGGACGCTCCAATAAATACACATGGTTAACAGTTTAATCTAAGACAATAAAAGGAAACTTTGTTGTCCCGCCATGTTCAGGCTATGTACAAGAAAGTGAGATTTCCTCTTGGCGGTTTATTCCGCTAAATATGGTCACATTATGTGTTGGTGAATTTAGAGTGACGATTGAACATTGGTTCCAATCAATATCTAGTTATTGTAGTTCATTAGGGTGCGAAATAACTTAAGACGTTTGAATACCATTATATGACATGCACCAGACTTAAAGTGGGAAATCTGTCTATTCAAGGTCATAGGAAAATAAACGAGTTATTTATTAAAAATTGACATATTTTGTTATAGAAATCTTAACAGGTTTTTCAAGCCTTTAAAACAAACAGACGATTAAAGAGATATGTTCTACCTACTGTTTACATAACTATCGTTGAACACGACCGGAAAACTATATCTGTTAATGAAGCTAACTTACTAATTTAAATTTAAATATACCATCATTACCCATACACCCGTCACTTGATATGAAGAAAGTGTATTTTTGTCATATAAAACTAAAGCGCATCAGTTTGACTATGTGCGATCTAGCTTCATCGGCAAGAACAATCGTTTGCCAAACCTGTCCGGCAATAATAAATGAAAAGGGACTTTCTGAGAAGTTAGTCTAGATACAATGTTTCGCCCTCTTTAAATATTGAAGCAATTCCAGGTTTCGCAGTAATGTTCTGTGCCATTTTACCATTTTATTGTCCAAGACAGATAAACATTATCTAGTAGTTAACTATCTGCCTACTCATTTCTTTCTTTATCTCCTGAATAGTCGTAACGACTGTCGTTTAACCAGTTCGTAGACTTGATTAATGAACTCAACACGATGACCACTGCTTAATAACTTTCCATTTATCCTGTACATAATGAAATCATAACCGTTTTATAGAATGATTCCGTTGTTAGTTTCAATCATCTCTATAGTAAAAGTCGGAATCTAGCTTCAAAGAATATAAACCGTTTGCCACCTTGAAGTCAAATGTAGCTCGATCCAATTCCGAAAAAAAGAGCAGGAATAAAAGATGATAGTTATAAAAAATGCACATAAAACGCATAGAATTGATAGCACATGGGATATCCTTTTAGGTTTCGATTATTAAGATTCGTGGTCTTAAAGTCGTTTGGACTTCGACTGTATTGCCCAAACGATTTTTGTGCGGTTCATAAAAAAACACATTATTTTAACATTATGCACGGTTTTCTATAAAGAATCCCAACTATCCGAGATTTTTCAATCCTAACATTTTTCCTTTCTTCATGGAAAGGGCCGAATGGTTAGCACGTGCGCGCTGTATAGTACGGCCTGTCATTGAATCAACTGGAGGGGCTTCGATTCCCCGGTTGTACGTGACAAGGAGTAGGGTCGCCTACACGCAAGCGAATTATTGACTGTATTGCCCAAACGATTTTTGTGCGGTTCATAAAAAAACACATTATTTTAACATTATGCACGGTTTTCTATAAAGAATCCCAACTATCCGAGATTTTTCAATCCTAACATTTTTCCTTTCTTCATGGAAAGGGCCGAATGGTTAGCACGTGCGCGCTGTATAGTACGGCCTGTCATTGAATCAACTGGAGGGGTTTCGATTCCCCGGTTGTACGTGACAAGGAGTAGGGTCGCCTACACGCAAGCGAATTATTGAAATAAAATTGAACCATGTGTTAGTCCCGAAATGACCTAGTTTGTGTCGAGTGGACGTTAAACCCCATTTCTCCCTCTCTCTCTCTTTCTTCATGGGAAATAAATACTACTGTTGATACTAACCCCTTTAGCACACAGGTGTTCTAAATTTTAGCAACTGTCCCACACCACAATGATTCATTTAATTATGCTGTGTAGGCATGCGACGGGCGTAACTGTAATTAATTTACTAGGACATAATTTATTAAATGAACAGACGCAACAGGTACACTTCTTAAAGATTTATATAATTATTATGTAGGGATGCCAAGAGCCTAACTTTTTGCAGTTAATTTTCAGAATAATAAAGTCCTAATGATTTTACTATCAATTTATTACATGAACATATTTTATATAATGTAATGCAATGAGACTTTTATTTATTTTACAGACAGATATAAGTGATAAATTAAACTATGATATGAGTATAATTAGCGATAATAAATTTATCGTCTACCTAATTTATAACCTGGCATTGTCCATGAATATCGTTTTTGAGTATCTTCTGGCGAATAACCTGGAAATTCTATATAGTCACTGACATCCACACGATCCATATCGTCTGCTGTGTTGCTTCTTTTACCCAATTTATAACCACCATTTAAAACCGATCCCAGTGCACGCTTTCCTAAAACACTTGTTCCAAACAATCTACCAAATGGGCGCTTGTGTAATTCCTGTGATGGTGTATTAACTGCTTCATGAAGAGGCGATCGCTTGCCGGTAGAAAATCTTGGTCCAAACATACGCCCAAATGGTCGCTTTGACTTTTCTTGCAGTGGTATCCGTATAGATTCCTGTAAAGGTGATCGCTTCCCCAAAGAGGAACCTGGTCCAAACATACGACCGAACGGTCGCTTTGCCATTTCTTGTGATGGGTTGTCCACGGTTTGTTGCCCATCTGATCGTTTGCCGGTAGAAAATCTCGGACCAAACATTCGACCAAAGGGACGTTTTGATTTAGAAAGAATTTGACTGTATAATCTCCAGTTATAGGGTCTTCTGGGTTTTGATGAGCCAAAGAGTCTACCAAATGGTCGTTTGGACCAGGATGGGCCAAATAATCGACCAAAAGGACGTTTAGCAATCACCAAATTTTCAGCATCTTCTAATCCTTGAGTCTCCGCATTCAACATGTCTTCTGAGTTTGGATATGACAATTCTCCATCTGTAATAAATAAAATAAAATGGTCTAGGAACGAATAGGGTTTGGACAAATAGAGATTTACAGGAAACAATGATGTACTTAGTGATATAAAAGTGAAGTTGAAATTCAGTATACAATTTTTTCGAAAGGGTGATTGATCGTGATCAGTCAATCTGTTTTATTTTAAAACCTCTTGGAAATAAGCTATAAATCTATGACCGATACTATATTTTCAGTTAATGATAGTACAGGTATATACATTAGTCAAGACCATTTAATGTTCCAGGCAAACCCGAAATCGGACTTTTCTGTGAATTTTTTTTATGGATTATGGGCATAGTCAGAGTTATCTGATTTCATACACCCTATGTAACTATAATATTCAAGTAGATTACACATGTATAAAAGGTACCATGGTATTAAAGAAAATTTATGGATTTATTGATAGGATTGGTATTAGTTTGTTGGTAACCTCCTTCAGCAAAAAAATGTTTATGGAAATACGATGACTAAACTTGAAGAGATGATATTTAATCAATAATATATAGAATATCATAAAATATAGGGTTACTATCCTAATTCATATTGACCTGACACTATTTTAAATGTCTATGGTTACGTGATTACTCTTTTTTCGAATTTCAACTACCAAGAGTTATTATAATGAGCTACGTTGGTACACTCAGTAAGGGGACTGGCTTCCTAACCAGGTGGTCCCGGTATTGGACCTGAACGTTACTTGGGGTTTTCCGGTCTGGTTTCTGATTGTCAAAGCTTGCTTGACAAAGAACAGTGTCTATTCGTTGGGATGGTAAAACAAATCGAGGTCCCCAGTACAAATTGGTGTGCAAGAAAAAGAACTCTTGGTAGTTGGAATTCGATGAAGAGTAGCTTCAACTATAGCGGTGATCAAGATGGGTCCCCCGCCTCCCTACCCGGGGACTAGAAATTGTTTAGAAAATGGTGCTTTCTAGAGTATATCCTAAGTACCAAGCCGTCAAAGACTGCTTTGTTTACTAATTCATCATTAACAATAACTTTTTAGGGGTCCCAGAGCCAACCATACTCGCAGGCCCCTTCCCAGTCCATCCCTTCCGGTTGATGCAGAAGAGTAGGACTAAACTTCATTTCATGTCTATTTACGTGCAGTGGCAATTTTTCCCACCCACACAATTCCAGCAATCAAACCGGAGGAATTTTCCACGAATTTATATAAGCATGAACAATACATATTTTATAATGTCAAAGATCTACACAGCGCTTAGAGGAATCATTTATAAACAGTAGCCTACATGAACATATGACAGGTCATCTAAAATGTCAAAGTGAATTAAGATATAGGTGAACGAACACTCCACACAACAGTATTCCTCTCGTAGATGAGCCCATTGGCAACTTATATAAGGATTAGATAAGCGATCCTAAAGGCACTTGTCGTTATGACATAATTAGGACTTTTATTTTTGATGCGTGCTTTTTGAGACGTGTCAGTATTCGTTCCTATCCTTTTCTATAAATACGAGCTTTTTAAGCCCCGTGCGGATGTTTCAAAAGGCTTTCTTCCCCCATGGTAACAAGCCACTATGAAGAATAATGTCACATCTATGGGGGCGAACGATCTCTCATAAAATACCATTTCTAAATATGTACCAGTGCAACCAATCTTAATGTGACCTAAAGCCACAATAAGATCATACGTACACAATCAAAGGTTCTCTTTACAATCATATTGGTAAAAAAATAATCAAATGGACCAATTTGTTTCCATTGATTTTTTAAAAGATGTCTTCTGATATAATTTCCGCAATGATCAATACATTTTCTTTTTGTACTCTGGTATCCCTAATTAGATTGAAATAACAGTACTTATAAAACAAAAGTACATATTATGCATATTTTTCATTTTTGGAATGCAAACCTGTTGTCATTTCATGAAAGATTTCCGAAATAGACAAATGATTAACTATTCCTTTATCGTGTTGGCAGGCAACGATTACACGCCCACCAGTTTTGCGCGATTCTGAATTTCGATGGAGCTTACTCTTGGTACTTCCTAAAGAATCCCCAGCAAGATCGAAAATAAAGTCCCAAAAACTGGAGACAGGACAATTCGCAAACTCTGAAAACAAATCTCAAAAACTACAGAATTCCCTCTGAAAAAGGCCTCCAGCAAGTTTGATCTGCACAGGAACGACGACAGTATTCTCCCACATCTTTGGTCAAGTGAAACACATACACATTCTGCCTCAATTATTCCCTTTTCCCAGTTTTGATAGCATGGGTGGATCTAGTTGGGGCGCACCCGGCGCACTCCCGCCCCCTATCTACATCAAAGAGGCGCACCGGCCCACACATGTGGGCCGACTCAATTATGTACGAGTAACAGATCGTAATGTACAGACCACTGGAAATGGCATTTTCGGGCTTCTAGTTTTCGAAATTTTCCGGGGATAGATCTCTGGATCCGTCCTTGGATAGATGCCCTTTCCATAGACGCCCATTAAAAAGTTGTTTTGTTTGTGTATTTGATTAATTCAGAAGCTCGTGTCAGTGTTTTTTCTTCTTCTTATGTAATCCGTACAATACAGTATACAGTTTTAACTAGCACTTACCTTCAAAACAAGAAATATGTCCATATAACAAAGCACAGATTGATAGAACACATAATATATTTCTTAATATCAGATCCATTTTCTACAAAATAAGAGAAGAATTATATTCGCCAGTCTGTAACATTTGGCAAAACGACGATTTCAATTTAAACGATTATTTTTAATTTTCTAAAATATTATCCATAGCCCCGGTAACTTAAGAAAAGGTATGGAATGAGGTTAAACGGTTACGAGTGAGCAGAAACCTTTTGCCAGGACACTGGTTACGGGTCCGCACAACCACCTGGGCCCTTTGGTAATTTAGGACGGATTTTATTTTAGCACGCTCTATATGTTTTCTACACCAGTCGCTATTTAGACGGTCCCCCAGTGCATGGAAACAAGTTTATCTCACGACACTGCAGTAATCTGATCCGGTTTTGTGGGTTTGTGTTTTGATTTTTACTGAATCTTTGGAAGAAAACAAATCTTCGAAGGGATTTTCCACAATACATGTAATTGAAAACTTAACAGAGTTATATTTATTGACGTGGCCTGCCGATCTTGGTCAGCTTAAAAATACTATTTTCTTTAATAACAGTGGTTCACAGTGTCGGAATTAGACTTGTGTGTTTGATATAAAACTACACATAAAATTTTGGTTTGGTCCCTTTGATTAGTGAGACCCCAGTTGCGTCTTGTTCAGCTTTTGCCCGTACCGTCGCTATTATAAAACGAGGAGGACCTGGCAAGAAACAGTGTCTAGTCGTTCGGATGGTACGAAAAACCGAGGTCCCGTGTACACGTTGGCGTGTATGTAAAAGAACCCTTGACAGTTGAAATTCTAAATAAGAGTAAGCAGCTGCGCTGTTGTTCCTGCAAGATTTCCTTCACAGCACAGTGCATAGCGTATGCCCGTTTTAATTAGCAAGGTTGTTACAGAACATTTAATACGTTTAACCCCATTCCAATTTATAACAAATACAATTTTATACAAATCAGTTCCATAAGCAAATAAATCGTCTCTTAAAACTGAAGTGAAAGTAAATATTTCCAGAATAAAAATCGTATTTTTGTGTGTATGACAAAAAGTTAATGCATAATATTGATAAAATCCTTATACGGCATTTAGTAACTGAACATATGATATAATACACAAATTTATATGGACAAGAGGAGCTTGTTGAAACGTAGTGTGAAATAAACCCAGTGATTGTTTTCCATATAAATTTGTGTTTTATATCATATTGATAGACAAAATAGGGTAATTATAGTCAATAAAAAGATGAATTGATTATGTCATCGCAAAAATAAACAATAAAATTAAATTTAAAAAGTTCTGATCTTTTTAGAATTATGATCGTAATTATTTACAGTTTTAAAAGTGAGAAGAAAATCCAAACTTTACCTTTATATGGCAGCGGCGGCAAATTGTCCTCGGTGCAGTAGTAATATGTGAAGGTTGAGAAAGTGTTGTCTTTTATAGTAATCTTGTCGTGAAACTCATCAATTGAGGAAGCACAACCTACCCTGGCACCAATCAATCGACATGAAGAACCTAACGTCAATGATGACGACCTTCTTACGACCAGTCAGGTTTTTAGTCGTATTTTAAGTCATGTCATCTAAATTTAATTAACACCGTCTTTAATTTGGATGCATAGATTAACACTTTCTAAACAGAAATCAATGAAGCTAATAGTGGTTAATCGCTCTAATTGTACATTATTGTATAAAAATGGCAGATGGTTGTGCCCAATTTTCACCTTGTCTTTTTTCTTTTTTTTTTTTTTGTTCATTTTATTGAAATTCAATGGACACGTACATTAAAAAAAAGAACTCACAAATAAAAAAAAACACACACACAAGAAAAAAAAGAAAAAAAAAGAAACAAACATATAAGCCATGAAAACTTGAAGGCTCTGAAGTTTTGCTTAGAATATAACTAAGCTTGTTTTCAAAGGCTTTGCTACTGGGGAATGGGTTGTCCAATTTCTGTTAAATAATTTTTAGAGTAAATGTTGGTTTGGGCAGTTTGTATTTAAATATGACAATATGTTTGTAGCTTAGAAAAGAAAACCCACCTTTGTATTCTGTGTGCTCGTAATACCCGTTTTTACTTATATTATATTAGTTTAAATCTCCCAAATAAGCAATATTCGGGTGTGGGATTAATATCTGCGGTCGACTTGTTAATTAACACACATATTATATTTATCCTTTCGTTATTGCCCCCTTTAAATGTTCTAATTGATATCAATGATACGTGCTAAATGTGTAAATTATCAATATGTATCATTACCCTCTGAATTGTTTATAACGGACATAACAAAAAATAAAACAGTGATATTCTAAAATTCATTTTCGCAATGGATATAATATTTGGCAGACAGATATCTAGCTGTACCAAAATTACGTGTTTTCAATTTCACAAGACCTAGCCTCAAAGAAAGCAAGGACTGGCTATCTGGACTTATTTCGAGTTCGAGCGTTTAACTCCAAAACAAACATTTTTAATTTTATTTTTATTTTTTTTATTATAAAAGCATATTTTTCAAAGAAAACCGAAACACTAATTGGTTTTCAGATTTGTACATAATGTCTTTGTATGATTTTATTTCTTAATGAGAAAATCCTTACACTCTCTCCCAAAATAATATGTTGATCTATAGTATTACGTAGGCCTACATGGTTACACCATCACAACGGAATTTAACCTCTGAATACGCTATGACATATCAAATCACGTTGATGGTCATTTAAAGGCAGGGGATAGAAACATCATGAATAGTTTTACATATGGATGTATCGGTTAATCACCGGCTGATAAATTTGTTCTGCAGAATTACTTCCAATTCAAAGAACCGAGAGACTTCTTGGTATTTCTTCTTTCTGCTGATGTTATATTTAACCTCTGACCGTCTGAAGCTTTGGATAATTTGTGATAAAGTTGTCACATTTGGCCGTAAATAAAAGATATTAATCTTGAAAGTAGGCGTTTATTATTTGTCCAACACGTTTTTATGTCTGGCGGGAAATACACCTCAAAAGAAAGTGCGCAAAAGAACATTAAGCTACCAAGAAGAAATAGACAAGAATTGACAACAGTCTACCTTAAAAATGAAAATGAGACTTTATTGATATTGTTTAGAAGGATATTCTTAGGGACGTATTAATCAACATACAACTTGCATATAACTTAAGCAATGGCGACGAGTATTATCAGCTCATAAATAATAACAGAACACTCAATACATGTATACTGCTTAATCAAGAATATTTAAAATTTGACCCATGAAGTGTTAGGGACTGTCGTAAAATTTCAATACTTAAAGATACATTATGTGAGATTAGATAAAAAACATAGTCTCGATTATCCATGTCATGATTAAATCATGAATGAAAGCTGAGGAGCAAATCGGACCATTATCTAATAAATATCGCAGGCTAGCGCTGACATCGAGAGTTGATTATGGTCTGGATAAGTTAATTAATGTCTAATTAATAATTTAGATAACATTTCGGGCCCAACGAAAGACCTGCAATAGACAGATTAAGCTCTTGCATAATGTATGTGTAATTGCTACCAAATGAATAACTCGCAGATATATTTTCGTTGAAATATTTCCGTTCGTGATTCAATATTAAATACCCGACATTTAATTTATCATTTTCTATCCGCAGTGTCGTTCCACACTAACAGAACACAGTTTTTATGGGATACAATCACTAGTTTATTCTAAAAGCACGACGTTTCGACAAGTATCCTCTTATCGTTATTAAGCACAAATGACAATTTAGTTCGTTCATTCTTGGTGTTTAACGTCTGCTTCCATATAAGTGATATCGCAGACAAGACATAGGAGAGCCGAAGCTGATTCCTGTTTTTTAGAATATGATTTTGCAATCTTTCCATTTGGCCTTAGGCCATGGATTTGGTTTATCCCTTTATTTAATACAAAACATATCGTTTGGTAGATGATCTCGTCTGCTTCTGGATTGGTAGATGTCATCGTTTGGGGTTAGTGTTTAGGTGCCAGGCCCGTCTTTTAGTACAACCAAAGATGGCTTAATAGTTAAATTATGTTGTGCATCTTAATAACATCATCATATGCCCTGGGGATGTAGAGCCCTAAGTCCCTATTGAGTTCAGGTGAATGTCTTCTGATATTTATAGCTTCTAGGATCTTCCTGGTTTTCTTGTTCTGTTGGTTGGCGGTTAGTATCTGGACCTCATTCCATTCCACACGTATTCAAAATAGTCAATGCCACATACGTTAAGATAATAATGTTTTTGTGTTCATAATAGTGAGAAATCATATTGTCAGGAAATCCGTACATTCCTTTTTTAGACAACAGAATATATATTTTATTTTTCAGTATAAACCGAAACCAGGCGAAGATGGTATTCTTGCGGCAATACCCGTCTTCTTTAGCACGGATTGTAACAGAAAAATGTTGAGTTAAACTCAATTTCATTTCATTCAAAAAAACAAAAAAAACAATGCCTCTTCTTGATATCATTAGTAAGAAGGGTTTAACAATAGGCTATGCAGCGCTGACGGGAATTTCCCCCGGATAAAATAAATGTGTTTACAGCTTGACCACATATAACATTTTAATATCGCCTAATTGAAGACATATTCTCTGTTATAACATATAAGATACTGAATGCATCCCTGTTTCACTGAATGCATTACATGTAATAGCAATAATCAGACAGATGATTACAATGTTTTAGTGCTGTGCATCTAATTATCTACTGTAATTCATTAGTCTGTAGAAACAATATATGATATAGATGCATTGCCCCTCCATATTTATGCATAAAACTTTATTTTCTGTTAAATTTAAAAAGAAATTATGGTGGCCATAGGGATCAGTTTCGGGGCCAATAAGCTTTACAATACAGTTCCATTGAAATACAAAGAAGAAATTTGATAGAAAAGTTCCTGCACCATGCTGAGGAGTGTAAAGAATAACGATGAATAACAAATCATCAAATGTAATGACACAATATATCATCTAAACAAAATATTGTGATAATATATGTTATATTTATGAGGTGGAGGTGTTAAATCTGTTAATGAATGGAAATGTACTATAAATGACCAATCTGATCAATAATCCATGAACATTACTAAAAGGTTGATCCCCTTGCACATGAATAGTAATCCTGTCTTTGCTGGTGATGTTGTGAAATCGTGTGGGGCTATACATTTCAGTAACATTGCCCATGCTGGTTGTTATTGCATGTACATAAAACCCACCCTACTTGTCTATGGTTTCTACAAACACTGGCATAAACTAGCAAAAGTGTGCAATAAGGTTGAAAATGTCTTAGTTATTGCACTGTTAAGCTCTACCAAATCCATTAAAGAGAGAAATGGGATTTAATGTCCACTCGACACAAACTAGGTGATTTCTGGACTAACATATGGTTCAATTTTATTTAAACAATTTGCTTGCGTGTAGGGGTCTTTATCAGTGGGAAGAAACTGGCGACCCTTCTCCTTGTCATATACAACTGAGGAATTGAAACCACGACAGTTGACAACTGAGGAATTGAAACCACGACAGTTGACTCAATGACAGACCTTATGATACAACGCGCACATGCTAACCACTTGGCCACCCCATTAGAGCAAAAATTATCTGCTTGTTTTATGAAAAGAACAAGAGAAGATTATCCATTCATGTTACAAGCACTTTTTAGATAAAGATAGAAATAACATGATCAAGCAGTCGTATATATTATTTATTCAACTTCAATTTGAAATAAATAATCATTCTTTCATATATTCATAACAAAAAATAAACATTTCATAAATATATCATAAATAAATTATATCATGGACGGGTTGTTAAATGAAATGCTGGATGGAATTATATAAATGAAATGGTTTTAAATTAAGAATGTATTATTATTTACAATTGAGCACTTATTAGCCAAGGTTTATCACATCATATTATAATGATCACACCAAGGAATATAAATATATAAGTGCCCGTATTTACAAATTCAATTATGGGCAAAAACAATAATTAAAAATATCACAGTTTAACTCAAGAAAAATCAAAATATCTTTACTAAAAATTAATGTTTAAAATTTAAAAAAAAAAATACTTTCCAGGCAAGTTTTCAATTTAGGATGATTGGAAATAGATTACAATACTTTTGAAAATGCTGTTGGTACTTAACTTGTTTGAGACAGTTTAACTTAAAGGAGCTAAATCGCTAATATTTTGACCTAGAAATTGGCACACGTATAATAATGTAATATGAATTTATATAAACTGTTTTACATTCAATCGTGTCCGTTTTACTGTGAATTGTCATCAGTTATGTTCGGCGAAATACGCCAGAAGTCTTAACCGTAAGTCAGTTTCTAGCGTCTGGTTACACTGATATTATTTATTGCGCATGCTCTCCAAATAAGAACATGATATCACCGTTTGACATGACTTGTGGAATATGTCTAGCCTCATTTTTTGAGCACCTTGTTACAAATGGCGCTGAAACGCATTATGGTACACGATTCGTGTACCAATGGTAAAATGTTTATTTTGTCTTAAATATTGGATATCAGAAGCCCATCTTTTCCAGGTAAGATCACAACACCAATGCTGATTTAAATTGCAAAATAATTCGTGTTTTCAATGTCGAAGATTTTGGATGATATTGAGTTACGGACTTAGCTACTTTAAGCAAAATGAAAAAAAGGAATTCTGATCAAATATCTGGTATACAATTATGTTTAAAATTTTCAAGATAATTTTATGATTAAGAACCTGCAACAAATCTATCAGTATAAATCTATTTAAAAAATACAGTAATGTGTAAAAATTGTAATATTTCTACTATTTAAAATGTGCAACAATGCTATTGGTAATTATATACTTGACAAATGCTGTTTAATAATTAACATTCAATCTTAGATTTATGAAAATATTTAGAATGCTTCTGGGCAATACTGATGAAATACTTGGAAAATAGTTGTTTAATAAAATGTTTGTTTGGCACCATTTAAATAATTTTAAGTTTAATAAAAATAAAAAAAAATCCAATTGCTTTCCAATGTAAGAAATATTGCTTTAAAAATATCTGTAATTTTTGGGAAAGTTACCTGTAATCTTTTTCAATTCAATTTTTCATAATATATTATTTATATGCAATTTTCAATTATTAAAAATTAATGTTTTGGATGAATAAAATCTGTAGTTTAAATAAGTAATTAAACCTGTATTCTAAGCACAGTATAAAACACAAAATATAACACTAACTTTCAAAATATAATGGTTTATAAATGATACAATATATAGATCAAGTTGTATGTTTTATCTAGAGTTTAATCTGTGTTGAGAATAAGACAGGCACCTTGTAACACCCAGTGACTGTTGTGTTCAGTTGTTGCTAAATCAGCCTCAAAAACTAAACCAACACCCATAGCATTTCTTCTCTGTGATGTCACATATACTGGTGTTCGTAATGTATTCTGTAAAAAAAGAAAAGAGATAAGGATTAAATTCTGGCTATTTAAATAAATATTTCTTTTCCTTCCAAATATAAGACCCCAAACTGTGCCTTGAATGATCCGGTAATGAGACAACTATAGCTTCCAAAGGGTTTTTATAACTAAGTGCAATATTATGATTTCATTAAAATAGAAATGAAATTTAACATAATGGGATCTACCTGGGCTAATGAAGATGGGCATAAGCCACACAGTTTGCTATGTGGTAAGTTTTGCACAGGCAGTGGAAAAAGATCTTTTACGTACACGCCAATGTGTAGGCAGGATCTCAATTTTTCACCCCATCCAAATGACTAGACACTGTTCCTTGTTAGGTCCTTCATACCACAACACTGACAAGGTGTAATCACATCAGAAGATCCAGTAATGAGACAACCATAGCTTCCAAATGTATTTATAACAAAGTGTAATATTAAGATATCAATAAAATAGACAATAACAATACCTGTAATTTAAGACGATGTGATTCTATTGGTATAATCTTTAAAACAGGTAATTCTTGTATCAGTTGTTTGGGTTTTTGACGAATCAGACAAAGTTCCTTTGTATCCCAGGCTGCACCTTCCAGATACAAACCAGTTACAAAACAACCTGAAAATATACATAATAGGTAATAATTTTATATCATAAACATTTCATAACTTCAAAATAACATTACAAGTTAGATGAGGTTTTTACGTCTCATTATTTTGAAAGCAATGTGCAGTAATTATTATATTGTGGAATAGAGAAAAGAGAGATAGGGATTGGTATATTTTTATTTTAAAAGTTTGCTTGTGTACAGTGGTCTTTACAAATGGAAGAAAAACCATGACGTTTGGCAAGCGACACTACTTGATATTTTATCTAGCAAGTGCATGATCTAACTCCTGTCACTTGCATTGATGAATGACCTTGTGATCTACACAGCACGTGCTAGACCACATGATCACTCATGTAACTTATAGAAGGGAAGATTATTGTTTTATCAATTTCAAAGTTTCTAGTTCTTGGTTATAAATGAATTAAATAATGATGTTAACACTGAGAGTAAGTGGATTATATTTTGAACACTAACCTGAATGAGCTCGTTCTGTAACATCATCAGCAGTTTGATATTGTGTAACAGATGTATATAATGTAGATTTATCAAGTGGCCAGCCATTCTTACGACATGTTGCTTGTACTAAAGCTGTTAGATATGACTCAGGTATATGTAAACCTGATAACCACATTACTGGTGGTTCACTTTCATTTACCTGGAAATAAAGAAAAATTAGGATATATCAGATAGATGACATCACAAATCAAATATTATTAGATAGATGACATCACAGGTCAGATATTACAGATAGATGATATCACAGGTCAGATATTATAGATAGATGACATCACAGGTCAGATATTATAGATAGATGACATCACAGTGCAGGCATTATTGATGGATATCACAGGCCAGATGTTATAGATAGATGACATCACAGGTCAGATATTACAGATAGATGACCTCACAGGTCAGATATTATAGATAGATGACATCACAAGTCAGATATTATTGATAGATGATATCACAGGCCAGATATTATAGATAGATGGCATCGTAGATCAGACATAACAGATAGATGACATCACCAATCAGACATTATTGATAGATGATATTACAAGTCATAACATTATAGATAGATGATATATGTTATAGATAGATAAGATGTTTATTGTATCAAAACGTCCATTAAGGGCAGCATGCATGCATACCGGTATACACTTAGACATCGTCATATACATTTAATAATACATACTAAATATAGGCAACACATACAACACATGATTTCTTTATATTATTCTCTTTATTTAGCAAATGTACATGATTTATTTGGCGTTTCGATGTTAAATTATCGATTGCAGCTGACCAAGACAATTTTTCATTTTTAGAGGACATATTTTTATCATCAGTATAGGCTGCTGATAGCAGAGGAAATATTTGTTTCATCATGACATCGTTTAGCCTTTTATGATACATAAGCATGCAGGTATAAGTGTCTAGCGTTAGTGGGAAGATTCCTAGTTCCACAATATATCCAAGGTTGGTTGACTTAAGTTGTTTGCATATTTTTATAATTAATTGGTTTAGACTCTTTAGACTAATTTTGTCCCATTTTTCAACTGCAAATTTTTTGCTGTGCAACAATTCAGCTCCCCATATATCAGAAGCATAAGTTACTATTTGTTTGATAATGGCCTGGTACAGTTTATTGTCCCCCGCCTTTCGAAGAAAGCAGGGGACTATTAAAATGGGTTCGTCCGTCTGTCTGTCTGTCTGTCCGTCTGTCTGTCTGTCCGTCTGTCTGTCCGTCTGTCCGTCTGTCTGTCCGTCACACTTTTTGGAACACAATAACTCTCTTCCTAATTGAGCTAGAATGTTCAAACTTGGTGTATGTGTTTATTAGGTCAATGCCTTGATGGAGTTCGAAGATGAGCATTTTCCGCTTAGGGTAAGCAGAGATAAGCAATTTGATTGGTTGATGCTTTGGGACACGATAACTCTCTTCCTAATTGGGCTAGAATGTTCAAACTTGGTGTATGTGTTTATTAGGTCAATGCCTTGATGGAGTTCGAAGATGAGCATTTTCCGCTTAGGGTAAGCAGAGATAAGCAATTTGATTGGTTGATGCTTTGGGACACGATAACTTTTAATTGAGCTAGAATGTTCAAACTTGGTGTATGTGTTGATTAGGTCAATGCCTTGATGGAGTTCGAAGATGAGCATTTGCTGCTTAGGGTAAGCAGAGATAAGCAATTTGATTGGTTGATACTTTGGGGCACGATAACTCTCTTCCTAATTGAGCTAGAATGTTCAAACTTGGTGTATGTGTTGATTAGGTCAATGCCTTGATGGAGTTCGAAGATGAGCATTTTCCGCTTAGGGTAAGCAGAGATAAGCAATTTGATTGGTTGATGCTTTGGGACCTGATAACTTTAGTTCTAATTAAAAGGGAGAGTGAGGACACTTGGTGTATAGCTTTATTATATCAATACCTTGACTAAGTCTCGATAATGAGCATTTTCTGCTTAGGGTAAGCAGAGCGATAAGCAATTTGATTGGCCGAGACTTTGGAACACATTAACTCCTTTTCTAATTGAGCTAGAATGTTCAAACTTGGTGTAGGTGTTTATTAGGTTAATGTCTTGATGGAGTTCGAAGATGAGCATTTTGTGCTTAGGTTAAGCAGAGATAAGCAATTTGATTGGTCGAGACTTTAGAACACAATAACTCTCATTCTAGTTGAGTTAGAATGTTCACACTTGGCATAGGTGGCTATTAGGTGAATGCCTTGATGGAGTGTGAAGATGAGAATTTTTTGCTTAGAGTAAGCAGGGATAAGCAATTTGATTGGTTGATGCTTTGGGACACGATAACTTTAGATCTAATTAAGTGAGAGTGAGGACACTTGGTGTATAGCTTTATTATATCATTACCTTGACTAAGTTTGATAATGAGTATTTTCTGCTGTCATGTCATGGCTGAGTTCAATTATTAACATTGGTCGATGCTTTGGGTCAAGATAACTTTGATTCTATCTGATAGAGAGTGCTGAAACTTAGTGTATAATTTGATTGCTCGATACTTTTGAAAAAAATAAATGTGCGATTAATTAACGTGTCATCTATTTATTTTGGGATTTCGGCGGGGGACATCAGCCTCACTGTTGGCTTGTTTATTTCTGATACTGTACCAGGCTCTTTTCCCCCCAAGTCTGACATGGCCTGTTTAAAACTAGAGTTATTGGATATACACCCAGATACACACGTATTTATATTTTCCATGTTATGAATTCCAATATGGAACCTTTCATAATTTTATTTCTTATTATTAGAGAAGAGCATTATTTTTAATTTATCTGTGTTTACGTCTAATTTCAGCAAAGAGAAGGTGACAAATTTTGGTATTATCTAGAGTGGGTGCATCATTATCAGAATTGGTCAAATAAGTGTGAAGATCATTAATATAAATATTGAAGAGGGTTGGACTTAGAACACAGCCTTGTTTTACACCCATTTTTGAAACTATTGAGTCAGAAAGCCCATCGGTAGTTTTGATGCGATACAAGTTGTTTTTATACATTGAGTATATGAGGTTAAATACATTACCAGAGAGGTTATGTTTTAGAAATTTCAGAAATAGACCTTTTTGCCAGATATTGTCAAAAGCTTTGGAGGAATCCACAAAACATTTATGTTTGTTTATTAAGGTTTTCAGAATAAAAACATTGTCCACCCACTGTTCTGTGGTTTTGTCTTACACTGCACTGAGCTATGTCAATATGGAAAGAAAACTTAGGCAACTCACAAGGGCAATTTACCCCTATAGTTGTTTGTGTCAAGTTTGTCTCCTTTTTTATAAATTGGTATGATAAAAGATTCACTCCATGATTGACCAGGTTTTGAACTCTTTAATGAATGTACCTGACTTAAGTATTAGATTAAAGAGTTTAAAAAACTGGTCAATCATATATTCATCGGATGTAATTAGCATTTCATTTAAATTTAGATCTGGGCCATTGGCTTTTTTCTTCTAATTTTTTTTTAAAGCTGTGGATATCTCTTCAACTGATATTGCTTGATTTATTTTACAATTTATTAAAATGGAGGAGTTTATGTATTCTATTACATAAGTAGGTCAGATTTTATAGACGTGCGAGGTCACAATCAGTAATTATAGATGAATAAAACCAAAGATCAGATATTATAGATAGATGACATACCAGATTATGTGTTCTATGATATAAGCAGGTCTGATCACAGATATTATAGATAAATGACATCACAGATTACACATTATAGAAAAGTGACATTGTAAGCCAGAAGTTATAGACTGATCGCATGTTAGATAAGATAATATAGATCTATTATGTCATAGATTAAGTTAGATAGACATCACCATAGATCAGATATTATAGAAAGATGACTAAGTTCAAGGTTCACTTACCCAGAAATTATACTGTTTATATCTTCTCTCAAAGTGAATCATCCAATTTCCTAGTGATTTCAATGTATCAGGTGCCAAGCGTCTCCATATCGCAGGAATTTGTCCATTGAATAATGCTCTGGCCACTTCATCTAATTCACTGCTCATTCCAACTTCACCAGCCAAAGCCTGTTGTAGAACAAATAAAAGTATTGACACCATGAATTATTCCTCCACAAATGTATGTATCTGAGACATTCAATCAAAGCACAGTGTTGTTCAATTAAAAGTGTTTGTGAGAAATACCATCTCTTTGGGGTAAAGATTCAATCAGATAAGAGACCTTCCTGACTTTCCGAGAATAAAATACAATCATCTTAAATCAAAAAGTTCTCAATCTTTAGTATTCACTCTATAGTATGTGTTGCTACATATGTCAATCAAAAGATGCATGCATGTCAAGTAATAACAAAAAATAAAATTTTATTCATGTGTCATGTTTTTATCAAATGAAGATATCTCTTTGATCAATTAGTTAAGATCTTTGGACAAAAAATAATACTTCAGGCAATAAAACAAAGACAACACACAATAAAATAATATCTTAAATAAAACATCTCATTATCATTACTAGATAAAGACAAGGACACTAGACAATGTGGGAGAAGTAGGTTTATGTATAATTCATGAAAATAAGCAAAAGCAGTGAGGTTGAAGAAAATCACAAAATGCATGCATTGATTCGTACAATTATTCTAATCGGTTTACCACTGTCTGGCAATTCCAATTTGAATTTAATTATAACTTGAATTAATGTTTTTTTGATTGTTACATGTACAGCTAGATTGATGTATGAAAAATTATGAACAATGGTTAGTGAAATACTTTGGTTTAATATACTATAAAAAAAGATTATTATAAAAGTATGCAAAACAAAGACGAAGGCCGCCAGGGCACACAATCATTTTATCATCTTTTTAGATCTGTTTTTTTTTTTGCTTTGATAGATTATACAAAATCTATCTATAAATAATATATTGAGTTAATTATATAAATAATTAAAGGAATGAAGGTAACATTTTCCATTGTTGTGCAATAACCAATTTTGTCATAATCTTTTTTTAAGACTTCTGCATTTAAATAAGGCTTTATAACGGGTTAATTATAAAGACAATTTCTGCAATCCTATTTAAATATTTTGCTGATAAGACTAGAACAAAAAAAAATTTTGATCGTAATAGAACTTTCTTAAAGGACAATATTGGTGTCAGTCATTTTCACATATATGATAGAGCTGGTTAAACATGTTCCAAATATAATTTTAACACAGAGATATCATTGCTACGATAGATGTGTTATGAAGATTTCAAGAAATGGAAGTGACGAACGCAAAAGGAAAACACAAGTTATCCTTCTATATAACTGAATGAAATGGCAATTGATAACATCGATATGAGCAAATATCGAAAGGAACTGAGATCCTGTGTTATAAACTTACATTTCAAGTTTCAACAAAATCGGATAAAAATTGTGACCTCTATAGGGTCCACAACCTTGATATACCATATTTTTACGCTATTTGAGAACGAATGGCGGCCATTTTGTCTGTCAATTTTGGGCCGATTTTCACGAAATTCGAACTCAACCTTCCTTGGGGTGTAACGGTGATATAATAATACGTTTTTTTTAAATCGGATAAAAATTATGACCTCTATAGGGTCCACAAGCTAAAAACGTGATTTTTCGTACAATCAGGGGCCATAATCCATGAAGTTTCGATCCGATACATGCCAATATCGAAAGCAGCCGAGATCTTTTGGGGATAAACCTATATTTCAAGTTTCGTCAAAATCGGATAAGAATTGTGACCTGTAGAGAGTCCACAAACAATTGTGGACGGACGGACAGGGGCGACGGCATAATACATCCACATGAAAATGTGGGCGTATAAAAAAGTAATTGATCATAATGTCACTAGATAAGGGGAAATGGGGGAGAGAGAGAAATGGGGTTCAACGTCTTCTCGACACAAACTAGGTCATTTGGGGACAAATGAAATGAAATGAAATGGGGTTTAATGTCCTACTGTTCCGCTCCCCATTTGGGGACAACCATATGGTTTAATTTTATTTCAATAATTCGCTTGCGCGTAGGGGTCTTTAGCAGTGGGAGGAAACCGGAGGACCCGGAGAAAACCAACGAGGTTGGACAGGCGACCCAACTCCTTGTCACGTACAACGGGAGATTCGACACCACGCCAGTTGACTCAATGACAGGCCTTATGATACAGCTAACCATTCGGTCGTCCAACCCCCCAGGGAAAAATGGAAAAATAGAAATAGTCCATACATATTCCCTTGTTTTTAATCATTCTATACTTAATAAGAACATGGTAATGCACAGACATTTCTATTTTTCTCGTTTTCTCTTATCCAGTAAAAGTTAATTATTTTCATAACGCATCCATCGTAGCAATTATCTCTGTGTTAAAATTATATGTTGAACCAGTTCCATCACATATGTAATAATGACTGACACCAATATTGTCCTTTAAAACTAAGGAAATAGTCATGCCATTGATTGTATCTAGAATCTGCAAAGAAAATCTTTTTCATCTAGTGGATACTATTGCATAAGTAAAAAAAATTCTGTCCATGTAGGCCTATGTAATATTGTAATACTTACTCTTTTCAGTGTACCTAATGATCTCCTCATTCTAATAATAAGTTTATCAAATCTTTCCAATTCTTGTAATAATACAACAGTTGTAGGTGAAATTTCTAAACCAAACTTCTTTCGGATTTTATCTAAATCGAATTCTTCAGGTAAACGATTTAGAACATCTGTTGCTATTTTATCTATAAATTCTTCACGGCTGATTCCACCACCAGTTTCACCTGATAAAATAGAAACAAATTTCATCGTAATATATCACTCCTCTACTATTCATCATCAAATTAATACTCAACATTTAATATCCCATTCACTAACTGTGGATGTGTTAACAATACATTTTTCCTGCTCAAGAAACCGATTCCATATCTTGAATTGGCCACACTTTAAAAACCAGTATTGTTGAACCAAAAAGTGACATGGAATTAATGAAAATGGTTTGAATCATTATGATCACTGCCATACAGAAATGACATTAATATAACATTAATTTGAATATTTCTTCTTCAATCATTATGTAATGGAAGGATGTCCGTATGATACATTCCTGTGAATCAGCATCGGAGTTCTTCACATACTATCATCTCTAGATGCCAAATTTCAAATACTTGGCAGTAATGAATTCAAAATCATGAACAATGAAAAGCTGGAGATGTTTTATATTTCTCATCTGAGGTGTTCACACAGCCAGAGAGAGAGAGAGAGAGAGAGAGAAATGGGATTTAATGTCCACTCAACACAAACACTAGGTCATTTCTGGGCTTACATCTGGTTCATTTCCATTTCAATAATGCTCTTGCACGTAGGATAGGAGTCTTCTTGAAGTGGGAGGAAACCAGAGGACTTGGAGACACCCACAAGGTTGGACAGGCGGTCCAACTCCTTGTCACGTACAAGCAAGGAATCGAAACCATGCCACTTGACTCAATGACAGACCTTATGATACAACACACACCTGTTAACCATTCACCGCCCCCCCCCAATCCCCCACACTCCTTTCACAAAGCCAACAATTTTTATTGTACTATTGCATTCAAGGATTAACACTCTTGATTTAATGGTAAACATTTTAATTACCTGTTTGAGGTTGTAATTCTACTAAATGTGACCACATATCTCTAGCAGCCTGTGTATAATAACCTATCTCAGCATTTGGATGTAAACCAAACACTTCTGGTGTATTGGCCAATGGTAGTGATTCAATATAGTCTGAAATAAACATAATTTTATGAATGATAAGAATTCATCATACAAGAACTATTCTTGTAAAACATTTTCTCTGATCGATATTTTATACTTTTCTTTATTTTTCTATACAGAATTTAGCATATGATATTAATTAGAAGAGATAAAGAATAAAGAATATTTAAGAATATTCACATAACTTAAGATTTTGAAGTTCTCACTTTAGATCGCACCAATTGTATTTAAGAATAGAGAACATGTGAAACAATAAATGCCCCACCCTTTCATTAGGAACCAGTGGCACAATCATGGTTTATACCATATCATTAATGCCCATGACTAAAAAAGGCAACCCAATAACATTTGGGAGACAATCACATGTTATTGGACATCAAAGATGACATCAACAACAATGGTTATACCATAAATAACACATATCTCTACCAAAAAAGTATAGTCAACTAAAGAATAAAAAACTTTCATTCATAATTATATACTCTATATATTAGATAAGAAATGTTGACTTTCGTTCTTACCAACATAGTTATCTCTGGGTCCATTCTCTGGTATTTTATAATCAACCTCTTCATTATGATAGAAATGGAAGGGTTGGAAAGTATCAAAGATAAAATCTCCCATATATTCATCCATATATGTTCTTAATACACGACGATCAAAATCATCAATTGCTCGGCCACCATACATAACCTATTGAAATACAAAAACTTTTGTAAATATATCATAAAATATTTTGTTTAATAACAGAACTCATAAAAAGACTCTTTCACAAAATACATGAATTCCGTTTTCATTCTAGAACAGGAATTCCCCAAAGCAAATGCCTTCCTAATTTCAACATGTCATCTTCCAATCACATACAGGAACTAAAGATTTTCCCCCCATATTTTATTGTTTTCAATCAACTGCCATAATGAAAACTTACCTTTTTAATAAGAAATACACTTCTTAAAGATACATTATGGGAGATAAGATAGAGAGCTGCAGCTCTTAATAGTTAAAAGCTAGATAATGTAAAGGGAATTTGCTGAAAATTTCAGTTAAATTGACCCACTCTGAACAGAGAATTTAGCGATTGAATTTTTGGCCTAGCCTCAATCATCATCACTAAATTCGGTACGATAAAAAACATAATCTCAATTATCCATTTCATGATTAAATCATGAATGAAAGTTGAGTAGCAAATCAGATCCTAATCCAGTAAATATCGCAGGCTAGCAATGACATCGAGATTTGATTATGGTCTGGATAAGTTAATTAATGTCTAATTAATAATTTAGATAACATTTCAGGCCTAAAGAAAGACCTGCAATTGGCAGATTTAGCTCTTGCATAATGTATGTTTAAGAACAAAAAATTATGTTCTAACAATAGCAACAATTTAACTTTTTTTATTCAAAGTGCTGTAAAAGAAAACTTACTTCTCCTATGAGATATTTTAAACTAGCCCATGGTATCTTAACTTCTCCCTGCTCCTCAGATTTAGTCAGGTACGTGTTTAATATCTGCATACACACACGGAAATCAGATTCGTTAAAATCATATGATACATTCCATCCGATTTTACCATACTTTCTTCTCTCTTGTACCACAGCATGGAAGAATGCCAGACCAAATACAAGAGATGTAAAGGCAGGATGCGTACATTCTGATAAAGCTGTAGCAGGAATCTTGTGATATGTACTACGTAGATTTAATTTCAAACCATTGGGCGGCTCAGTTACAACCTAAAAATATAAAAAAATGTACAGGGTATGAATGAAAGGCACATTATACTTTTCCATTTTTTGTATATATCCATGTTCTTGATCATGGTCATTCTGTGTAATTGTTCAAAGTAAAATAATACTAAGTGGCGAAAATCTATTTATTTGTCACCCATTGAAGGTTTTTATGGAGCTAAATATATTTAGATCCAAATAATGTGTGGAAATGGATTGATTAGTGATGACTTATTGTTAATTTTTTGTTTGGAATGATTGAGCTGAAGTTGTTTTGTTTACTATTTTAGTTTTATTTTTGGTTTTAACCGTTGACTGTTAGACATATATTTAGTTGTATCTTTCAGATAATCAGATTAATTTCAACTGATAACCAAATAAATCCAATTTTAGAAACTGGTTGATTTTTACAAGATTAGAGAAGTGATGAATTCGAGTAAATTAAATAACATCATTTGAAGTAATATTACATACCTTGAGTGAACGCTGAAGTATACCAATAGGGAATCTTGGTGTCGGATCAGTTGTCAACCAAAGACGGAAATCGGGATGTGGTTTATTCAACTTTTCTAGATGTTTTTCTAATTCACGTAACCAATTTACTAACAGATGACAATTCTGTAACATCAACCATTGACCACGTGCTATTGCTGTTTCTAAAAGTTGGAGAGCAACCTGAAACAAAATCAGAATTAGTCAATTGTTGACACCATTATAGCATCTTTCAGAACAACATAAGCGATTAGTGTACATTGTGTAATTTTTGCTGATTGTTTGCATGGGTTATCCTTAAGATTCAGATCATTCATGACATAATTCATTTTTTATTTCAATTGGCCTTAATATTTCTGTTTCTTAGAATAATATTAATAAATAAATATCTGTTCCCCATTTCTGTTTGTCTGAATAAAGAAATTTGTTTCAATTAAAACAAAAAATGTTTATTTCTACTTGTTCAGAATTCTAAATGGTAGGTTTTGTTTATGTTAAAATCAAATTTGTAAACAGCAAGAAATCTCTTTTTGTTTCTATATACATAGCCCTGCAAAGATTTTATATTGAAAATGTAAGATGCATAACAAAAACAATTCTTATAATAATTAAAACCTATAATTAAAACCTATAATTAAAACCTATTTTCCTATTTTTCAGTTTCACAACGGTCTGCACAAAGTGAAAGAGTTTAAAAATTTCAGAGAAACTCATTTACCTGTTCTTGCCCTTGTCCCATGGATAAAAATTTCAGCTTATTTGTTCCAAATTCCAGTCTTTCTGCTAGTTTCATCAAATCGCTTGCAGGATCCGACCCAGGACTCAATATAAACACTATTGGCGACATCGGCGTACTCTGTTCAAATATACTCTCAAAACTAATAATAGGTGGTGTTACATACTTCTCTCCCATCACCTGAGTAACATATTCGGTTACTGCCCTATAGATACGATCTATACGGAAACAACGTAATAGTTTTAATCGTTGAAAGGGTGATAAAACTTCTTCATATCTTCCCGGGAAAGGTTGAGATTCTGGAGTATCATGATCATACCACTGAAATGAACAAATATATCAAATTCCTCTTTCAGAAGTTTCTTACTATTAAAGGAATCTTGAAAAAATTTTATTGAGGAGGAAAAAGTGAGAATTGTGTTGGTGTTAGTGGTGTCCTTAGATATCTAAGTAGAAACATAGTCTTAATTATCAGAGTAGAAAACATAGCCTTAGCCATCTGAGTAGAAAATTTTCAAAAAATAGTCAATAATCAAATATATACAAAATCTTTATGTTTACCTCTTTCCAAACCTTCTCATTCTTTTCTATATCATCTAATAGAGTTCCAAATTTATCTGAAAATTCTGTAGCCAAGCGAGTGCAGTCCTCCCACCCTGCATCCGGCAGCCAACCAAAAGGTTTCTTTCGCTTGCTCTTCTCTAAAGCAATATTACCCTGAAATTAGATTTTAAGATACTGTAGGCTTCTTCATTTTGCATAACTTTCAAGCATTTAAAATTTGATCTTCAGGGTAGTAACACATACACTATTTAAGTAATATTGGAGCATTAATTCATAATATATGACAAGTCTATTATTCCACAGACATATATATCGTATATACACTATCATTGGACTATAACATCACTATACAATTACTAAGGCAGGTGTCTCATATAAATGTTATCTTATTGTAATATGCTTTATATTTAGGTAAAGGAAACGACTTTATAAGTTGTAAAACTTGGGTTTCATCCTATTGTCATTCAATGAACAATAAAATATGTTTAAACTAAACTAAACTATAAGCTTATAGTGACATTTATTCTTAAAATGTACTGAAGAGGGGTTTAACATCTTACTTTTCTGCACCAGAGAGAGAGAGAAATGGGGTTTAACGTCCACTCGACACAAACTAGTTTTCTGCACCAACCGGGATAATAAAGACAGGCATACACCATACAGTGTACTCTTCTTTTAATTCCAACAGACAAGGGTTCTTTTCTAAGAACATAGTATAGAGTACATTGGTCGATGTTGTCCCAGGTATTTATTCATGAAATACAAATTCTTGATAAAAGGTAAATATTAGAAATGTCTTACCTTGATGAAGAAGTCCAGTTCATCTTGAACAACATTATTTTGATCTTGTTCTAATTTAATGGTAATTTGTAGTGAGAAGAGTAGTTTGTGTTTCTCAAATATACCTAGCAAAAATAAATAAATAACATTAATAAATACTTATAATATCAATTGGACATTTTTAAAATTAACCATAGAAGTTACAAGTCTTATAGTAGGGATTAATATTTTACACACTGATGCTTTAATCTAACTTAATTATCTTGATGAAGGCATCACTTAGAAATACCATTCTACCATGTATTATACACCTCAGAGTTTATCATTCAGTAAATCTACCCTAACTGCTGTATTAAGACTTAAGTTCACTTCAGGTTGAATTTTCCTACTTTCTGTTAAAGCTACAAGGTATTTCTAGTCACTGTTGTCTTAATCTTTTTATATAATATCCTTTATATTTGTTACATATTAATCGATTGGTTGTTAAAGTACATATTAACCAATAGTAATTTGACACAGAAAATATTGTGTAGTCAAGCTAGGCTTGTTTCAAAAGTCAAATTTAAGAAGCAGACTGAAAAACATTTAAGATAATTTGCCCTAAAGATACATTATGTAAGATTTAGATAAAGAACTAGCCATTCTTGCTATAATAGTTCGAAAGAAGATGATGTAAAATGAATAATTTGAAAATTTCATTCAAATTACTCTATTGCAAGCGAAGACATTAGCCTTTGAAGGTTTGACAGACGTGTGCAATAATTTCAACCACTGTACTGGTTGATCGAAGCTAAGTCTCGGTCTTCCATATTTGATTAAATCAAAGTATCGCTGAACCATTCTAATCTATTTAATATCGGAGAAATCTGATGCCATCGAGAGTTGATTAAGGCCTGGATCAGTTAATTAATGTCTAATTAATACTTTAAAAAACATTTCAGGCCTAAAGAAAGACCTGCAATAGGCAGATTTAGCTCTTGCATAATGCATGTTTAAACTTATGTAAAATATTTCCATTCTAACTAAAATATTAATTTTACAAAAACTGACACAAGGCAATGCCTAAAGAGAAGTACATAATTACAGTCTATCCTAAATGTTCTTGACTACCATATAATGAATTAATAAAGTTTGTTCTTACCAGTACATCCATAATTATAGACGTTATGTGTTAGAGTTTCCATGATATTCTTTAACCTCTTGTGTAATATTGAGTCTGGTAAACTCTTTTTCAGAGAAAATTCAAATACATCAAGATATGAAGCTAAGGAATACTGGTACATTGTATTGACTAGCGACATTTCCGCCAAGACGAAAAACAAGATGGCTCCACGCTTAGCTGCAGGTCGATATCCATCACGAAGTTTCTCGATATCGATTGCTGTTTTAGCTCCTAATTTTAATTTTTCTGATACCTACAACAAAATAAAATAGAAGAATTAAAATTTCATTTAAATAAGTGTAAAAAAGCATGTGTATTGTTGGGGGAAACACCGAAACCTATTTGTATCAACTTTAACATTTTCATAACAACAAGATCTCAAGATTTCAATGCTTGTAAAAACTAAACCAAACCAAAACAACCAATTCAACATTTTGTAAATTTCAGATAATCAATCTGAATTAAAGCAAACTGAAAATGGACATTTTAAAGTATTGCCAAAGAATCTTTACAACATTGGACACAAAAATTTACCTCTGAGGCTTTTGTCTTTGTTTCTTCCAGCGTTTCGACCAACTCAACGTTATCCAACATGTTACCCTGGGATGTAGCCAGTTCTCGTAATAACGAATCTTCTAAATCTTTTAACAGACGTTTATTAACACTGGTTTCTTGAATTAATCTTTCACGTTGTTCTTCTAACTCTTTACGTTCAAACTTAACGATAACACTCAGTAACTGATCTTCTAAACCCTAATGACAAAAGAAAATGTATGTTTTAGAAACAATAAAATAAAACCAAGTATGAACAATCAAAGAAAAGGAAATTAACATATGCTATCTTTTGTTATGATCTATGTTAACATGTGTAATGTGTAATAGAATTTTGTCCAGTCAATGCCATTTCCATCTAATCTTCTTCAAATTTCAACTGCCAAAGAGATCATTTAATAAGTTACAACTTCATACTAAAATGTACAACAGATCTATTTTAGTTGTATACTTTTAAAGACATAATGAGAAAATTCATAAATAAAAGTTTGTACCTTTAATGTTACTGTATAGTTAATAACCATAGATTTGCCAAAAATATTTGGTCCATATTTCGGGTTCGATAATTTAGTATTGAGATAAAGACGGAAGTTGGGATCGTAATCCACCTCTTTATCTCCTAACATAACAAACTCACGACCTTGAGCACCTGTAAATAATAGCACAAGACTTGAACTAGATCAGATTTAAAACTAATACAAATAATCAAATGTAACTAGCAATTACATATCACACCAATTTGATCATCTTCTCCGGGAATACCTATAAAAACTTCCCTTCTTATTTTTCAGGGAAAAAGACTAATTTAAAAACATAAAGTATTTGGTTGTGCTGTTTAAAAGCTTTTAGTTACAAAATTCTAAGTTTTGAAATTTTAAACAAACATATTCTTGTGATCCAAGTTGCTATTTATTTTTCAAGACAGCTGAAAAACAGATAATCAAATTGGTCCGGCCTTATCTAATTATGTCCTGTTATTGTTTGTTGTGCAGTTTTCAAAACTGTATTAATCCCATTCTACACACAGAGATCCATCTACTTCATACTTCGAGAATAAATCTCTGTCCTGAATTAGTATATTGTTTTGTAATGGGGTTCTATTGTTCTATACTCCGTTTCACATCTGCCATACTCCAAAGACTAAATAAACCTATTCAATTCTATTAAATGGCGGGGGAAACAGAATAAATACTTCTCAAAATTCTTGAAACATACTTAGTGTTTTCGATTAAAATTGTCGATTTAGGACTTAAAATCTCGGTCAACTAGCTTAGTGTCTGTTCTTAAGCGGAGCTAACTGTAGACAGGCAGCCTAAGTTTAGTATGTATTAATCCATGTCAGTCTATATGTTATGATCCTTGGTCAACGAAAACAACATAATATTATGTAAAGGCTTACCTTTTATATTTCTTTCTAGTACATTGTCTATGACTGGATCTATATATTCATCGACATCTTGAAATAAGAATGGGAAGCCATATTTGATGGCTAATTCCAGTTGTTTTAAGAAATCTGGATCATTAAAGGTACACACCTAGTGATAAATAAAGACTATACTGTAACTATTGTAAGTATGTGGAAAGATAGAGATTTCATACATTTTAATAGAAATGAAATGAATGGGGTTTAACGTCCTACTGTTCTGCTCTGACTGGGCTAATGAAGACAGCATTTTAATAGAAAAACAGGGATTCAATTTTATTTCAGTAATTCACTAGGGGTCTTTGGTCAGTGAGAGGAAACAGGAGAAAACCTGAAGAAAACCCACGAGGTTGGACAGGTGACAGACATATTTGGTGTCAGCTTACTATTTGTAGGTGATATGTACATTTATAACATCCAACTTTATCATATGTTATAATACATAATTATTATATAGTTGTTTGGTATTGTATTTAGTTTATTGTTGTTATTGTGCTTGTATATCAGTTTTGTATTCTGCCTTATTATAAAACAACAACAGATATATTTTCTTATTGATGGTAGCTTCCAGGAACAACACCACACAAGTGATATCATTTTTCTCAGAAAATTAAGAAATATCAAAGAGTTATATAACTACATTCCATATCTTACTTTCAGATTGTTTTGTTCTTCTTTCTTTTTAATCCACTTCAAGGCCTGTTGTTGTGGATCAATGCACATTGGGAATCTACTCGCTCTGGTGGTCAATATACCGTTCTGTATGGACAGCTCATCTGGTGGTAAACCTTCAGATGTCCATTTACTAATCTCTACGTCATTGGTCAACAAGTCTTCTAATTTAAAAGGCTGACTCAGTGGAATTTCTCTTTCCAACAAATCAGCTTGCCATTCTTTATAGACTAGATCAACACGGAACTCCCAGCTGAAGGCACCAACATAACTCAGGAAAGCTGAGTTTAGCAGACAATCTCCCAGCAGACGCACTCTTTTCTTCTTCAATTCTTCTAAATCTTGAGTCCATCTGAGAACATAGAAATTGAAAAATATTCAAATGATTTAAAATTCTGAACAAAACCTCTGAAAATACTTTTATTTACTTGAGAAATGAAGAAATACAACCTCTTTCTAAAGATTTAACTTGATCTATGACATCATTGAACTATGACGTCATTTTCATTGTGATGTCATTTGACTATGATGTCACAATGGACCTTGTTACTTTGATAAAGAAAAGGTAAGAATTTAGTCTGTTTCAGCCAATTATATTGATTTTTACCTGACGTTTTCAGATCCAAGACCAGAAATGAGTTTATCAGCAGCTCTCAATCGACGTTCCATAATTTCAGCTTCCTCTTGTAATGCTTTTTTCTCTGCCATAGCTTCTTCGTATTTCTGATTGAGTTTAGATAACTCAGCTTCTAGTGCACTAATTTCTTTGGTAATTTTATCTAAATCTCTTTTAGCTTGATGGAATGTTCTTTCTAATTTAGCTACCTATAAAACACAGATTTATTCGTTATAAATCAAATGAATTTTGGGTAGGCCACTCCAATTTTATTTTCTGTTTTGATAAATAAATAGCGACATGAATTCCGTGAAATATGTTGTTTAAATTTCAAAACTAACAAATTTGGTACTAAAAACCTTTAACAATTCCCCCTCCCCCAACCCCACAAAGAACTGAAAATCAATTTGGTGTGGCCTTATTATATGTTCCAAGGTTACAGTACTCTACAACTTTAGCTCAAAATATAACATAACTTAAAGACTATTTAAAAAAACAAAAACACAAAGGTGGCGCATACCAAAGACAAAATATATAAATAGTTTTAAAAGAATATTTCAATATGTTTTAAAGGTAAATTTAATTTGTGTGAGGAATATAAAAATAGATTTTAAAAAAAAAGAGTTCAAAGTTCAAATTGTATTTAAAACATTTTTTAAAAAAAGAGCTCCTCAATTACCAAACAGAATTGCTGTTATTTGGTTAACTTAAAATTCTATAATGAGATATTATCTTTAATTACACCCATTATCTAATGTAATTTATTAGTTGTCATTCAAAGAATAAATGACCTTTTCCACGTCAATTTGTTCTAGTCTGGGGTAAAAGGTTAGTCAGGAAGATAACTTGAAAATTACCTTCTCTCTCTTTGGTTTAATCTCCCTAGCAACAGAACAATAACCCATGACAGCCTCCACAAACTTGAGTAGACCAGCACCAGCTCTACTGATGGCTTTCATCTCGGCATTTGTTAAATCAATTTCTTTCAATAATCCTAAATAAATAAAATAAAATAAAATAAATAATTGCAGGGATTGCCAACCGCTACTTTGCCAGGTTACTCAGGTGATTAACTAACATGTCATAACGAGCAATATTTTTTGCTATACTGTAGCAAGTATGAAGAAATACGCCAAGCCCATTTATACCCAGCCTTCTCGGCAAATCCTAAGATTTCCTACAATTTTATTAATCTCTTTACACCACCAAAATTGATTGCCAAGGCAGTGGCCTTACATGTGTTTTTGGCTTTTGATAAGAGCTAAATCAAATTTGGTGGCAACTACATGTAACTGAAACCCCTTCCATTCACTTGATTTGATATTTGTTTATTTGGTGCAATGTCCATTTTCTGTCTTGTCCGCAGGTTTATCTTGTAGATTTTTGTTTTGCGTGTAGTGCGGTCCTCCTGCACTTACTATTTGATATACATGTACTGTTGTACATGTAGTATACTGTTTGTATGAATGTATTGAGTTGTCTATGTAATATGTATTATTGAATGTATATGACTATGTCTAAGTGTATATGTATGCATGCTGTCCTTCATGGACGTTTTGATGCAATAAACATCTTATCTATCTTATCTTATCTAACAATGCAAAAATATTTTAACACTCAATGATTTGTGTAAAATTATTGTATTCTTTGCCATAGATTTTTGAGAATTTAAAAACCTAAATGCAGATTAGGAATTATACCTAATAAATCTCTTTCCTCAATTCTAATAAAGGCAATTACATCTAAAAAAATACTACAAATTCTAACAAAGATAGTATCCTTATTTGAAACTTTTACTTTTAGTATTCTGTACCTAGCAATGGAACTATCAACTATAGAACTATAAAACTTCTCTGAAGATTCTCTTTTCTTATTTCCAATATTATGAACAAGAAATCATTCAAAAGAAAGAACAATATAAAATGAATTCCTCACCTTTTACAGCACCTGTTTGTTTTGGGGTAATACTGTCAACATCCATTTCTGTTAGAGATTTTAAGAAGTTAGCTTCTGACATCATTCCTTTAGCCGACTTCCATGACACTTCTCTGATACCTCTCATCACAACAATACATTCACAAACAGTCTGTACAGCTTTCGGTGGTTTGGCAAATGATCTGAAAATGAAAAATTATATATTGATGGTTGATATAATAATGGTTGATTAGGAAGTCATGCTTAAGGCAGGGTATGCTGATTTATCTTTCAAGAACACTCCCAAAACACATTTCTATTTGGTAAGTTTGTATAGCTAAATAATTTCTGTACTCCTGTATTACAATGTTCAGTTATATACCATAAAAGTATGAAAGTGTGGCCTAGGGCCTGTTGTATAAATTTCTTGAAAGATGAGACCGATGAACAGCTAATAATGGCTATCTAGTGACATACCGAATTTCAGTGACGTCAGACTTTTCAAGATCTTCAAGAGCAAGTCGAGCTGCTTCTAGAGCTGGTAAAGCTTCAGCTAATGCATCTTCTGCTTCTTTCTATTAGTGAAAAATATAAATTAATATAAAATATAATTTAAATTCAAACATTTGAAATACAGGACAAAAGTCATAAGATTTATTAATCTTTAGAAATTGAAACCTATTATAACATTTATATAGTACCATCAAACAAATGTGTTTAGGACTTTAGGACAAATAAAGCATTGATCCTCATAGAGCAAGATATTATCATTTAAACCAATTCTCTACCATTTAATGCACTAACATGAATCACTATGCAAATACTTATAGTGACTATTAAATCAAAAAGTAAAAATCCTCCAAACAGGAACAGAGCCAATTCTACTAACTCCCTTTACCGAAGAGAATGTGAAATCTTTACCTTTTCCACAACAATAATTTTACTTTGTTCGGCTATTTCTTTTCCTTTAGCTTCAGCAAATGTTTTTTTCTCAGTGGCTTGTTTCGTACCAATAGCAATTTCTTCCAGGAGTTCTTGGCAAGCTGCAGTTTTCTCTCGCACAGCTACTTCCTGCACAGCAAGTTTTTCACTGAGTACAGCCAACATGTCACTTGCATCTGCAATCTTCTGTAGACCACCAGCTAAACGTTCACACTAGAAAATACAATTCAAACCTTCTAACCTTCATGAAACTTTATTCCAAACAATTATTTCCGATTGAAGTATGGCATATTTGGGATATATGGAAAATAGAGATACTCAATCATGCTAGAAAAATACTGGATTCCCTGGAAAACATTCATAGGGAGCTCACACGTCAAGAATGTAAGTGTGTCACTAACTGGCAGTCTGCCTGCTCGAGTGACATTAGGAGCACTTCTTTTGTGTTGATCTAATGGCTTACGGTTGTGAGAGCAGTGAGAAAAAAAAAAATGTAGAGCAAACTGTACAATAAAACAGCTGAAAAAATATTTATAAAACAAATTAAGGCAAATTTTCTATGAGCTATAAAATATAACATATAATCACCTGTGACAGTATATATTGATCTTTTTCATCCAGTAATTTCAGGTAAGTACTGATAAAATCAAGGTAATTTTTAGGTGTGACATAATTATTACGTCGTAATCTCTGTAAGAACATTTGACTGTAATGACCGACGCTACTGTGTACCAGTACAATATGTGAGACTAGATTTTCTCTGTGATCATCAGGAATCAAATTATTCTGAAACAAAACATTAAAAAATTCAATGTTGTGAAAAACTGGGTAAAACAAAATAAGCTGTGATAAGCTGCAGTTATTTGGCAACTGAAAACACAACATGCTACAATATGGCCAACTCAACATTTGGGACACAGTCATATGCAGTAGACTTTTAAAATAAAACATAAATCTTGCATTTATATATTGCAACATTTAAAATTGAAATCTGCTATGCACTTATACAGAAGTTTTAAAGAAAATAATCTTAAACATCCAGCACTTAGGGGAGCCATGGTGACTCAGTGAGTCAGTTGAGAAAGTTCCCCGGAATTTTCCAGCATAGTTTCCCCTTGTCAGTGAGTGCAGGAGAAAGGGCCAGGCAACAAGAGTGTCTATTATATTCCTTCATATGGTACGGAAAACTAGGGTCCTGTGTGTGAATCAAAAAGAACCCTTAACAGTTGGAATTCGAAATAACTGTAGGCCATAGTGCTGCTGTCCAGGCAAACTTTTCCTCATATCACATTTTATGGAGTATGCCTGTCTTCATTAGCCCAGTCTGTGCAAAAAAGAAGGACATTAAACCCGATTTGATTTTATCAAGTACTTACATCAGGAGATATAAATACACTAGCTACAGCATATAAAGCTTGTTCTGGCCATGGGAAGAACCAATCAATACTAGCATTATTAACCATTCCTAAAATAAAATATTATAACCATCTAGAAAAAAAAGGTTGACTTACAAATTCATAATCAAAACAATTTCAAAGTTATCCTAGGTAACTTTTAATTTAAATTAATGATATCTGTCGTTTTCTTCAAATCCATAAGAATTGTTGATATTTTTAAAAATATGTAGCTACATTTAACTCACCTGGGAAATTTCTACATCTTGTTCGTAGCGTATCCCCAACAGGTGACATGGCCATTACTACATGGAGATTATTGGCACATTTATTAACAAAATACTGCCAAATACTCTCTCTAGCATGAGCGGCTCCATTCTTTAATGCTTCATCACGAATCTACAAAGAATAATAAAACACTGAATCAACATTTATTATTAAGTTTATTTATAAATATCTGAATGACAGACGGTATCATTAATATTATATTTCAGATCAGATTTCACATTGCAACAGCAAAGCAACCAGTAAATGCTACCAACTGATATTCAATTTTTTTCCTCATGCATGATTCCAAAATTTAGTAGAATTTCAAGGATCAAAAAAGCCATTTCCTAGTTTATCCTTGATTACTCAAAAGCTACTTACACCACCAATAATGGCTTCCTTTTCATCATCAGCATATAAAGCTGGTACCATACCAGATGTTAACATATTGTTAATTAACTCCAGAAATCCTGGAAATAAAATATAGATTTTCTCAAATAAAAATAAACAAACAAATACCGCATTAGGTTCTTAGATAATTATGTCACTTAAAAAGGGAGGCATGAAACATAGATCAAGAATAAAAACAGTGTCACTAATAAACCCTGATAAATGTTACTGACAATCATAACATAAATGATACTGGATAATCATACATGCCTATAAATTGAAATGAAATGAAATGGGGTTTAATGGGTTCTGCTCCGAACTGGGCTAATGAAGACGTGCTACGAGGGAAATTTTGCCCTGACAGAGGCACTATGGTCTACTCTTATATCGAATTCCAACAGCCAAGGAATCTTTTACGTGCATGCCAATATCTACATGGGATCTCGTTTTTTTGTCACATCCGAACAACTAGACAACTGTCCTTGTCAGGCCCTCTGTCCTGCATCACTGACAAGTGGGGAATCATGCTGGAAAATCTGGATGAACTTTCTCGGCCAATGCAGGGATTGAACACCCGACCTCCAGGCTAGCGAGCCAGCGTCTTACCCACTTAGCCACCATGACCCCCCTACGTGCCTATAAACATGATGAGATAGACATAGTGCCTTGAAATTTGAAAATATAACAAATCTACTAACCGTCTTCTACAACATGTTGATCTGTGAACAGGAAAGAAACTTTCTTGTTTTCTGTGCCCAGCATGTTATAAAGAACCTTTAAATCATCACGGAATGAATTTTCATTGTAGCCACGGCTGAGAGTTATCTCAAATACCTCACATCCAGCCGTAAAACTAGCCAATCGACATAAACTCTGTTTACCGCTACCACCAACACCAACCAATAGAGAGTTACCTCGATCCATTCTCAATACACGATGTATTCTAGTTAGATGTTCTAAAGCATCATCAAAGAGAACCAGTTTCATTGGAGTATGTGATTCATTGTATTCCTCCAATATCTGTCAAAACAAAATATTTTAAATGGTTGAATTACAAAATAAACTGGTCCATATAATTATTTTTCATCTAAATTTTAGACAAGCATAGAAAAAGGTCACAATTCACAGATATTGTCAGACAATTTCTCTAGGATAAAAATGTCAGGTACAACCTTGATTGTGTCGATCATTTTGACAGGTATAGCTCAAAATTGTTATTTTCAGGCTTGTTTTTGGATGAAGTGGGATATTTTTTTATCTGTTTCATAAGAAGTCTCAGTTCTTCAAAATCATTAGCAGTAGATAGAGAGGAACGAGGTTTAACATCCACTTGACACAAACTATGTAGGAGGAAACTGGAGAAAAACTACAAGGTTGGACAGACAACGCTACTCCCTGTAACACATTCAAGTGGCAAATCGAAACCATGCCACTTGACTCAATGGAAAGATTCCAGCACATTTGTTAAACCAATAGGCCACCACCCCACATAGCAGTAGAGAAGTGAATATAGTTTTCTTGCAAATGAATGAACTTTGCACCGCATTAACCCCTCCTCTCTATCAAATCACAAGAAAATCTGTATTTCTTTGTCTGAGAATTCTGTTTTAGCTGTGCTTGTTGTCTATGTAATATCCTTTGTAAAGTGCTATAGAGCAGTCAAGCTGACTGAATGTTCAGCACTCGAGAAAATGATTATTATTATCATTATCTTGGAAGAGTTAACTTGAACAAGCAATTAGGTCACTGGGATGAATTTTGTTTTATCTACAATAAAGAATAAGTAATTTCATTAGTATGAAAATCTCACCTCTTGAAACAAAGCTTTACTAGCATCATAATCTTGTATATCTTCATACAAACGAGGTTCACTTTCTTCCAGAGCTGTACGATAATCACCAAATAAACTGGGATCACGTGTTATATAGTCAACACTGGTCTTAAAATTCTCTTCTAATAAACCTTTGATAGCTTTCTACAAAGTAAAAATACAATATTTACATGCTGTAATTAATCTTTACTTCAATTATAAATTATAGTACCACTGCCAGCAGGTATTTTTTAATCAAGAGAAATACAATGTAATCCAATATCATTTAGTCTCAGATTTCTATAGTTTATGATAATCTGTAAACCATTTTTGTTCTTTTTCCAGTTCTATGAAAAACATACATCTTTTTGTTATTCATAACTGACCGTTTTTAACAAACCGCTTTATATCATTTAAACATTTCTTCTTTAAATCATTTAAATATTGTTCTTTTTTATTAAAAACAACCAACTTTAAATAATTATTGTTCTTTTTTCAATTCTATGAAAAAAAAAGGGGTTTTAATTTGTAATTTGTAACGTGTTGTTTTTATCAACAAGATAAACCTTAACTAGAAGTTGAAAGAAATAAACAACAAATATCTAATCAAATGAATGGATCTGGGGGACAGCCGTAAGCATCCCCTGCACTGAGTCTAACTTACATTTACAATCTCTTTATCCTGTTCATTAATCAGTCGATCTCCTATAACACGTAAACATTCATTTCTCCACAATCGAAGAAATTGATCGGGTTTCTGGAATCTATCGGGTGTTGTCAGACATAAACCGTTATAAATACGAGACAGATCACGTAAGTTAAAGATGTAGTGAAACTTTGATGGTGTAGGAGGCAGCTCTTTCACAATCATTCTACAGAAAAATAAAGAGATTTACGTTTATTCATAAGTAGTCCATACGGTAATACTAAGAGTCCAGAAAATGAAGGACAGAAGTGTAAGAAAGAATGTCTTGCATTCTTGCACCAACCAGGCCAATGAAGGTTGGTCGGAAATTTTGCCTTTATTTCCAGCTGTCCTGAAAGTGTTGCACTCCCTGACCTGCACCACTTACAAGGAAGAAACCAGGCGGGAAAATCCGAACAAACTTAGCTCCAATTCCGTAAACAAGTAAAGGGTTATGGTTGGCTTCTATCCAATCCAATAAGTTGTAACATTATTAAAGATACATTATGTAAGATTTAGATAAAGAGCTAGCCATTCTTGCTATAATAGTTTGAAAATAGATAATGTAAAATGAATAATTTGAAAATTTCATTCAAATTACTCTATTGCGAGCGAAGATATTAGCCTTTGAAGGTTTGACAAGCATTTGTGCAATAATTTCAACCGCCATACTGGTTGTTCGAAGCTAAGTCTCGCTCCTCCATTTTTAGCTTAAATCAAAATATGGCTGAACTGTTCTAATCTATTTAATATCGCAGAATTCCGATGCCATCGAGAGATGATTATGGCCTGGATAAGTTAATTAATGTCTAATTAATAATTTAGAAAACATTTCAGGCCTAAAGAAAGACCTTCAATAGGCAGATTTAGCTCTTGCATAATGTATGTTTAACAAAATAAATCTTATTGAAAATCTTACCCATATAAACTCATGGTCATCTTGGTTATAATAGAAACTATATCTTGTATTTCTTTAGGGAAACCTAGCGTATGTCCATGTAATATAGAATAATAAATACTGTATAATGATTCATCACTAGGGAACGTCATGTTGAAAACACTGAACAAAGAGACAAATCGTGGATCTGTTTCATTTCTTCCTCCACCAGCTTTACCCATGGCAGCAATATAACCAATGTCTTTCATGTTCTTCCAGTTTAAATCTTTACCTCTATCATAGATACCACCACGTTCTAACAGTAGTTTTAATAGAGCTATAGGTTGTTGGGTTCCGTATGTATCAACCTACATATAATAAAATAATAAATTAAATACTTCTTACCAAAGAATTATGAAATAATCATATATGGCGTTTCGGCTACATGAGAGAAAATGACTTCATGATTTCAAGTTATTAAGTTGAGATTTCAAGTTACTAAGTTGAGATTTCAAGATACTAAGTTGAAATTATGGTGAAAAATAGAAAAGAGCATGGGCCTATTTGTCTTCTGTAAAGAATAATGCTACTATGGAGTTTAAAATGTTACAAATATTATACAAACAATAATAATACAAAACCTAACCTGAGGCATGTTCATATCATCAACAAATATAATAAGCCTCTTTCCCATTGGTGGACCGTATGTGTCTTTAGTTCTTTTCTCAACATTAGCTTCCAAATTACGTTGAACGTCCAACGATGTTGTTCGACTGGAGAAGTTCATGTTTAATAATAACTAAAATATAAATCAAAATATTTCATCTTTACAAATACGATACTATAAGTATAATCGATATAGTCTAAAATTGTAACAGGTATCTTGTATAAGGCAGGGTATGCTTTCTTTCTCTAACATCTGATATCTTGGTTCATTTCATACAGTTGAGAAAGAGACCCAAATCTTTTATACAACTAACAATTTCTGTTCTTTTGTAATCTGTAGCATTTACTTATTATTGATATCAGAGAATTTTCCATATGATGAGTTCTCTAGTTACTTGATTTCAAATTCATCCACAGGCTTATAACCACTGGTAGAGATTGATCAAGTTGAATTTTTAAAGACAATTTTATATTTAAAAAAAAAGATTCTAAAAACAAAATAAATTAGAATTTGTAAAAATGAGCTTACATGTGCTTCTTGATCCATTCCACGAAGGAAGTTAGCTGTCGTAGCAGACTTGGATGTACCTGTCTCCCCGATCAAGACTACAGGACGTTTTATTTCCACCATTAGTTTAATCAGCCATGTTGTTCTCACAGTATCAATAGTTGGGACCAGGATTTCATTATATTTAATCTCTGGATCATGGATATATTTTGGAACTAATTTTGACCATGGTACCCATTTCTTCTGCTCACCATCCCAGAAATACTCATAAAGAAGCGAATTTTGAGGTAATTCACCTGGTAAAAAATGTATATAGCTATACTTAAATGAAACCAAGTAGAAGTACAAAGTCAACAAAAAGGGGAAAATTATGATGATTAAATCCCTTTAAAACATTTCTCAAAAATTTCAGTTTCTTTAGGAAATCATATTCATTAATAATAATTATAATAGTTAGTTATTATATTGCATACAATTCCATCAAAGTTAATGCTCAAGATGCATTTAGCTCTCCACTCATCACTAGACAAAATTACAACTAATGTTAATAAGCAGTCAAAAGAAGATGACTGCTTCTTAAAACAGCCAAGAGATTTTGAATTCTTTATGGTCAAGGGTAATGAATTCCATAGGTTTTATTGTTGGTACAGTGTATGAGAAGCATCTATGACCAAAAGACTTTAGTTGGAGACCTCAAGAAGTAGTTCATGTTGGGATTGAAGATCATTTATTAACAGTATTTAGGATTTTGTATCTTTGGTTTAAAGATATTACCTGGTCCTGCCATTTTGTCATCCTGATTCATGGTTAAAGATGCTAAATATTTAGCATAAGTATCAAACTTAGTTCGACCATCTTCTAACAGACCAGCACCAATAGACCAGTATAGAGCTTGCAGGAAGAATGCTTCTAATTCATCAGGTTCAGATATCTCTTTTTCTAACAGAGCGTTTAACATCATACTTAATTGTGTCACCTGAAATTAATTTCAATATTTCCATTAGCAAGATAAATGGAATGAAATGTGCTTTAACATCTTAAAAACTGTAGTTAGATCATTTTGAGACTAACATATGGTTGTTTTAACCTAAAAGTCCTGATATGCCATTTTAGCATCATAGAATCACTTGAATCAACAATATTGTGAAAGATGAATCCAATCAAAAATCATGACACAAATCAAAGAGGACGGACATTTTTAACTCTGGGTCAAAGTTTGTCTGGTCTGGAGTTTTTACCAGCAGAGTATTGGTATACACATTTTTAGCTGCCTGGAGAAGACATAAGCCTTCAGTATTAGTGTATCATTCAAACAGCAGGTAGAATACATTCCAACATAAAATACAACATGGTTAGAAAATTTTGATTAAGAAGAGCAAGAAAAGAATATATTTTGACATTTAGGACAGAATATATTTGGACATAAGAACAGAAGATACATGGACATTTAGAAGAACAGATTATAGTTTGACATTTAGAATAACAGAATATAATTTGACATCATTTAGAATATATTTTGACATTTAGAATAACAGAATATATTTTGACATTTAAAATAACAGAATATATTTTGACATTTATTTTTCTGTCATTACTTACCATATTAAGATTAGTGAGTGGAACAATCGTTTTTAATTTTTCTTGTTGCTTGCCTTCCACCATTCCCTCTACGACCATATCAATAAGATTAGGTACATATTTCTCATATAAACGATTTAATTCATCTTTTTCCTGTTTACTACCAGTTCGCATGCTGACCCATTTATCCCAGTAGGGTTTATAACCCAGATTTTTAGGATCAACGTAAACCATACCACATCTAGATATAGTAGCAGGTGAGGCATATTGAAGATCATATACCTGTAGTAATATATATAATATCACAAGAATTACTAAATAATGTATTACCGAACTATTTCAAGTGAAAACTAATACTATTTATGGAATGTAGCTAGTCGATGAGTAGAGAGAGAAAAGGGTTTTAGCATTCAACTTGACATAACTTGGAACCAACATAAAGTACAGTTTTATTTTAATGATTCACTTGCAGGTATGGGTCTTTAGCAGTGGGAGAAAACCGAAGAATAGGATTTAACTTCTCTTTGACAAATTACCTTGGTCATGTTGAAACCGACAAGAGTGAAGGATTGTCAACAACATGGTTGATGCAGGGGGTGATCATGATGCCCTTAATACACTTTATCCTTAGGACAAGGTATAATTGCAAATTTCAAATGGCCATGCTGAGTAAAAATGTATGAAAGGATTTCCGATTTAACACATGGAATGATTCTCTCCTAACTTCAGAAATTATCTTTGTTTAAAGGAGCTAAATCGCTAATATTTGGGACCCAGAAATTGACCCAAATGGGTCGCAACACATATAATAATGTAATCTGATTGTATATAAACTGATTTACATTCAATTGTTTCCATTTTCACTCCTAATTTCAAGTCAGTTATGTCCAGCGAAATATGGCATGAGTCTCAACCGAATGGCAATTTCTAGCGTCTGGTTATTCCAGTCTATTGCGCATGCTCTCCAGATAAGATATAGCGTCACCGATTGACATAAGTTGTGGAATATGTCTAGCCTCGTTCTTTCTGGTCACTTGTTACAAATGATGCTGAAACGCACTATGGTACAGGATTCGTGTACCAATGGTAAAATGTTTATTTTGTCTTAAATATTGGATATCAGAAACCTACCTACCTTTTCTCAGTAAGATCACAACATCAATGTTGATTTGAATTGACAATTTGTGTATTTAATGTGTAAGACTTTGGATGATATTGAGTTAGAGACTTAGCTACTTTAAGCATATTTATCTTGAGAAATAACATGCATAATGTAATCAATCCGATTAACATAAATTATTTTACCTCAAACAACAGTGCACAGTGTTTCTGTAATCTGATACGTTCGCCATTAGCCAGAGTCATCAAACGATTATCATCCATAACAGAGTTCATGTTTTCTACCCACAATGCATCAACATCACCGTCAAACACAATATATTTCTTTTCATTTTTATCTGTTGGTTTGTTGATTTCACGGAAAATGTTGGAGAGTAATCCATCTGTCCAATCTCTTGTAGCAGGATCCAGAATACCATAGAGTTCTATAACACTACGATCTTTAGGGTTGATGGTGAACAATTTAGTCTGAATACCCAATCTAAAAAGAATTTTCATACCATTACTAACTATTTTTAAAACATATGTATGAGACATTCCGAAAAACTCAGTACTAAGTTTTATTAATGTTGTGGGAGTTAAATCAATTCATAATAAAATTTATTTTAATTATGGTTTATTATTATTATCATAGAAATATAATATATATTTATTTTGTGATCAGTTGTTTAATTTTAAAATGTTGAGACATTGAAAATAAAAAAATTATAAATAAGTGAGTAACAATTATATTTAGAAATACAATATGCAAAAAATAACGAAAGACTTACTTGGATTGTGCTTGTGAGAGTGTATTAATGACAACCGATTTACCACCTCCTGTAGGTCCTACTATCATAGTTGTATGTCTAGTTAACATAGTTTCATACATCTGGACTACTTTATCAACCTATGACATTAATACAGTTAGTTTAATTTTATGTGAAATCATTTTATAGTCACTTATTATTAAAACCAGTATTCTGGCATGCCCTTAATGCAAATATTTTCTAAAAGAAATGATTGTACAATATTCTATTCATGTATGAAAGAAGATATAAATGAGACCATAATCTGATCAAAAAAATATTAAACTTCTGTCTAATCTTCCTTAAAATATAATGGCAAGAAAGATATGTCCACATTAAAATAGTGATTTTGGTGGCCAAAACCAGAAATTTGGGGTCCGATAGGCGCAAGTATTGAAAGGAATCCAGACCTTTGGGATATAAACATATATTATAAACTTCATCAAAATCGGATAAAAATTGTGACCTCTAGAGCGCCCACAACCGTCAGTAGGATATAGCAGTGATATGTTTGAACAGCTTTTAAAATCGGATAAAAATTGTGACTCCTAGAATGTCCACCAGCTAAAAATGTGATTTTTTTTGTATAATCCACAAAGTTATGGTCAGATACCGAGATCTTTGGGATATAAACTTATATGTCAAGTTTTGTCAAAATCAGACAAAAATTGTAACCTGTAAGTGTCCACAAACAAAATCTGTACGTACAGACAGGGGCGACAACAATATGTGTCCATATGAAAATGTGGGCATATAAAAAGGTGCTTTCCATCAAGGGAGATAATTTGCTCTCTCTCTCTGCTCAAATAAAGGGGAGACAATTTGCTCTCCAGCAAATTAATAATCTGTGATAATAAACTGCAAAAAATACCTGCTGAGGTAGTTCAACATAATTGTTTTCTCTAATTACTGCTTCTACAGCATCATTAAAATTAGGATAACGAACTCGAGGACAATCCAATCCAGGGAACAGATCTCCAATTAAACCCAAGAACAGTGGAACATCTTCAAACACAAATTTAGGTAGATTCATATCTCTTAGAGCTCTCATCAATACAACATCCTGTCAATATAAGATATTGTCAACTGTAAATAATGTGCTTTCATAAATAGTTTTCAAACTCAGCCATTGTTTACATACAGATTAATTTCACTTTGAGATGCATCAAAAATTGTTATTTTTATAGAGAGATGTAAACATCTGATATCACTTCTGATTCCAGGACTTCATATAGCCAACAAAGTGTCACTTGTTCTGTCTGTTGTGCAGTCTTCCTGAAACTTATGTTATTCTTAATACAATTTATTGCCAGGAAACTAAGAAATAAATCTTAAAATATAGACATAATTTTTACCTCATGTAAATCTGGTGAGCCTCTCTTTAATTCTCCAGCCATTACAAGTACAGATTTCAGAGCACGAAGACCAAAATCATAATGATATTGTTTAGATAACTGTTCTTTAGCTAGTTTATATAGTACTGTCATTTTTTTAGCTAATACCTACAACAAATTCAAAAACAAAAAACAATTAAATCATAAGAACCTGATTTTACATGAGTTACAATAGTTTAATATAAAACATTATGAAAACAGTTTTGAAAAATATTAAAATGCATACATTTGAAATTATAAACGTATTTGAATAAGTTTTGAAACCCACCTTAGCAAGCAAGAAACCTTCCGAAAACAACATAATTTCACAAATCTGTTGTAAATCAGGTACAATTACTACAACTGGTCTAAACAGGGCTTTTACTGATTCTGGTAGCTCTGTACGTCCAGCATAGCCAGGGTTCATGGTAATAAATATTCCCACACGACAATCCAGATTAATCTCTTGGCCTTCAAACTGTAAAATAAAGCAATAAAGTTTTGTTTAAAATTCATGTCTAATACATAGAAAGTTATTTTCAATTCAGTTCTAAAATCCATCTTTCACAGCATTTCACTTTTCTGCTCGTTCCCAGATAATGAAGACCTGCTATGAGCTAAATTTGCCCGGGCAGCAGTGTTTCATCATACTCCAGGGATTCCTTTGTTGTAAGTTAAAGAGAAGTGTCAACATTCACTCCTGGTAGGATATGCTCTAAATTTCAGAACACTTGATACTAATTTCATTATATTTGATGCACCAACACAATGACCACTGATGATTATATAAAAATGGTTGACATGCCATCTAACGCTTAAAAATAAATCATTACTTGTCAATCATACTCTTGGTAAAATAATATTGTTAATAATCTTTCGAAGTCATAAACAAAATTAGATTACTGAACATCAATTCTGTTCTAGTTTTTAAATCCAAACACAAAAATAATGTTATTAATTTTTAGAAGAAGTAAAGAGCACAACTTACATGAAATCTTTTAAGTTTGAGTAGTAAACCATTTTGAATAGTTTTAAGCTGTGTTGAGATAACAGATAATACAGATACATCAATACGATTAAACTCATCAAAACAACCCCATGCACCACACTGACATAAACCAGAAAATATCTTTCCTACAGCCTGAAAATAACAAAAATCAATCAAAAGTCATCTGCATTTATCTTGGACAATATCCAAATTTTCATGGCAATATCACTGCTATATATATATAGGGTACAATCATGATCTTAAAAAACAATTCAATTGGTGCCAGACCAAAAGTCCAAACTTTCAATTGGTAGGTTACTGGAGAGCAATAATAAGTAAGAAAGTATATGGGTGCACTGTTTTCCTACCTTGAAGTCCATGCCCTCTCCACAATTTGTAACAACACACAATAAACCAAGAGCTTTGGCTAAATCTTTAGTAGTCTCTGTTTTACCAGTACCAGCAGGTCCAGCTGGGGCACCACCAAGATTCATGGATAAGGCCTGAAAATAATCGTTGTCAAATTACATATCAGTAATGATACTAATTTACAATAACGCACAGATAAAATACTAAAATGATATTACTTTCATAATTCTCTTTTCATTTTCATTACTTCAATTTGAACCTCTCACAAATTGAGTTTGAGATAGATACTTTTCATTTAAAGTCAAAAACCGAATTTGCGGGTTGTGCATAAGACAGATCTACTTTTCCTTTGTAGAACACCAGATACCACTTATGTATATTAGAAATATTATCAACCAGATTTACCTGTGTCAATGTAAGGTAAATTCTGTCAGTTAAAGGTGTAATAACAAGCCGACCATTCAAACCCATATATTCATAACCATAACCAAATTCTCCTGTACACTGTCGAATTAATAACTCATCCGGTTCCTTCTCCCAATAAAATCTCAGTTGACTTTCCCATTCGAATTCTCTTGCATCCATAATACTTTGGGAAAAAAACAACAAATCATTTAAATGAAGAGAGAGAGAGAGAGAGAGAGAGAGAGGGGTTTAATGTCCAGGAAACCTGAGGACTTGGAGAAAACCCACAGGGAATCGAAACCACGCCACTTGATTGAATGGCAGACCTTGTTATCTAATGTGCACGGATTAAACTATTTGGCAATGGAATCCCCCTCATTTAAAGTATAGATTATAGTTAAACTATAAAAATGGTTTAACACTAGATCTGGCTTGAAAACTTGACATAATAGATTAACTGCACATTTTAATACAATCAAAACTTTATTTTTTCAGTATTCCTCCAGAGGATCTTTTTTTATTTTATCATTTCTAGGTGTATTTGAAAAGAGAATTTCTGATTTTCTATGTCTGAATTCAGATATACAATTGTTTCGGAATGAAGGCTACCAAAGTACTTAAACTGAGGAGGAAAGTTAATGAAAAGTTACCTGTCTCGAACAAATCCATCAATAATATCTCTGGCATGTACATCAATAATCAACACAGAATTAAACTTCATTCGATCATTTTTAGATAATGGTGATCGAACCTACAAAACAAAAATAACACAATTGTTAAGATTTTATATTAACACACTAATCTTAGATTTTGTTGATCTTCAACATCAATCATCAATTTTGTGAATTCCTTGAGTAATTCCGTAACAGATTTATCTCAAGAAATTTGGTGAATATTGGTATAATGGATGTGAAAAATAAATCAAATGATGCCAGTTTATTTTTTAAATTTAAACAACTTGAAAGTACAGAACCTACCTGAACAACCAGATCATCAATCTGTTGATGTAATTGTTTCGCATAATCTTTTAAAGCTGTTTTCTTTCCTTTTTTAACTTTACGGAAAACATCTTCCACTTCCCACGTCCACCAAATCTGATTACCAGCTAAACATACCATACCCTGATAGTTCATCATCCAATCAACTCTAGATGAACAGAATTTGGAATAATTATATATCATAATTCTGGTTGTTACTGTCTTCATCTAATACTGATGACTATTTCAGTATATACTATTATTAGCGAACACAATGAATTTTTTTTTTTATCCAAATTGTTGTCATAATTGAGCATTTAGTTAATTGTTTATTGTTCCTTTATCAGCCCTATCTCCAAGCCACATACCCTCAGACCAGGGATCGAAACCACGACAGAAAGCCAGAGGTGACCAACCAGATAGAGCTCAAATCTCGAAATTCTAAACCACTGGGCCATGCCATCTGCACCAGATAGTGGTTTAAAATGTTTCAACAATATACCTATAAACAAACATTTGAGGGTAGAATTTTATCCAGACATAAGTTAAGGGGCCAAAACAAGAATTTATTAATATTGATAAATATAACAAACCTTTTAATTTTATCACAGTATGTAAATATGGCTTCTTTGGTTATTAAACGATTACTTCTTCTCATTTCATCTAGAACAGCTGTCATCCAATCTTCTACTCTTCCTTCAGCAGAAACATGTGTTCTGTATTCCATTTGTTCTCCTTCAGCAGACACCATGGCACCAACTATGATCTCATTGTTGGCTCCTCGTTGGAATTTCAGGGATGAAATGTTGTCAAACATCTAAACGAAAACTTCAAGTGGTTAATAAATATTAAAATGTCTGCTTGTGTATATATACTAAATTATTCCAGTAAATCTTGAGTCAATGTCTTGTTGATCTAATTCCAACCATAACGCAATGGCTATACATGTGATATACTTGCATGTCATCAGTAATTTTGAATCGATAAGCCTATCTGACGTCAGCCGAAGAAAGCGCTATTATTATAAAATGTCATTATTCTTACCTTTATCATGTGTTCTTGTACACATTCTGGATCACTACTACCCAATATACTCAACAACTCATCATCAGAGATGAAGAAGAAACGAGGGAAGGCATTACGTTTAGAATCCAGATAATCATTCAATGATTTCTGACATTTTTCTAAACCAGAACTAAGATTCTGTAGATCTGACAATCTGTTAGCAGCATGACAAGCTGTCTTTATCGTTGGAACTTTGGCAGTGTCTGTCATTATCTATAAAAATAACAGAATTATTTAGAATATTTTCATAAGAACTTTGAAAGAGATAAATTTTTCTTGTATTTTTTATGTAGAAGATAAAAAAATCTGAATTAAAACTGAAAATCTCAAGTTTATCTTACCTTTTTAAATGTTTTATCAATTTGATCAAATTTCTTGGCTTCTTCTGGCAGTTGAGATCTGATATCACCTCCAATAAATATACCTTCTAGATACATCCATTTTCTTTGTACTACCATCCATACCTACAATATACAGTCAATATAGTCAAATACAGCACAATAACTTCAAACCCAGTCTATTCGCTTGGATGGGCAGGAAAAAACGAGGTCCCATGTACACATTAGGATGCATGTAAAAGATCCCTTGGCAGTTTGAATTCGATATAAGAGTAGGCCGTAGTGACACTGTCTAGGCAAGATCTTTGTCATAGCAAATTGTATGGCGTATGCCCAGACTGTATGTCCGAAGTTAAACCCTATTTCATTTCATTTCATAACCAAGTCCAAATACAAAATATAAGTCAGTGGAATCAGATTAATTTAAATTGTGTGATTTTTAAAATTTTTTCTCTATTCATTATTTTAAGCCGTAGGAATAACTACTGTGTATAAGGATGGACAATAAACAACTGCTTCTAATTAACAATCTTCATAATGTCAATATCTAGAATTAGTCTCTCTAAAAACTTACATCTAAAACTTCTGATATAAGAGACAACCCTTTCTCCCAGTTCTGGACAGAATTTAAAAATGGTCCGACGAATCTGGAAGCAGACATACTCTGAAGATTCATAGCACTATCGTCTAGTATTTGAAGAATTTCATCAACAGCACCCAATATATAACCTCTATTACTTGTACCCTTCATGTACGCCTGTACAGAAAATTTCATATTACTCCATGTCTCCTCAACTTCTTTCACACCCTAAAAAAAACAAAATATGAAATGTTTTAAAAAAAATGTTGTTTTGTCTGCATAAGACCATATTTTTTTTTAAGACGACGCAGTAATTGATGGTGTAGAATAAATTTCTGTCAATGGATTGAGAATCTGGTACCTCTGGATCAAGAATGATTTGTATTACTCAATTCAGCATTTAGGCCAATCTAGTTTAATTTTTAGTTCTTCAGGGTCTTGATTAATAAATAGTACTATTTTTAATTAAATTAGTTTTTCCCTAAGAAATAAGTTTTCTAATAGTAGTAATTGGACTTCCTGAAAACAAATTTTCATATTGGTGACACCTCACGTAATTCTCTAACACTTTTCAAACCTTGGAATAAGGCATATCAATTCTATAGATGAGGACCTTATCAAACATCAGTGGCCGGAGTATCTTTGCTTACCTTTTCAATACCCATCTCTTTGCTAGCACAGGTTACAATCTCTCCAATAGTATCTTGGAAGCGATGCAGCTCCATGGCAAAGACATTAGCCAGGGTAAAGGTTTCAGGATTAATATCAAACTTCTGACCAGTTTTGGTCATCAGATCTTTCCAATGTCTACAAGTGCAATCAAAATACATATATTATATTATATAAAGTAGAATTAAATCGAACAATTTCATATGGCACTGTGAATATTCAGAATCACAAAAATTGTGCTTGTTTAAAATCACATGTGCACTTCATCATGAAAACCATTAAGCATCTTAACCTCTTTAATTTAGTTCAATATAAAGTGAGAGAGAGAGAAATGGGGTTTAACTTCCACTCGACACAAACTAGGTCATTTTGGGACTAACATATGGTTAAATTTATTTCATTAATTCGCTTGCGCATAGGGGTCTTTAGCAGTGGGAAAAAACCGGAGGACCCGGAGAAAACCCACGAGGTTGGACAGGCTATCCTACACGTCACGTACAACCGGGGATTCGTAACAACGCCAGTTGACTCAATGACAGGCCGTATGATACAGCACGCACATGCTAACCATTCGGCCATCCAACCCCCCCAATATAAAGTGTTGAACTGGCTTGATATGATGTTTAAATAGATAAGATCAATGATTGTTAAATAATTATTTTTTGAGCTTCAGAAGTCTAAGTTGCATGTAAATTAGTTTTCTATTTTTGTTTTATTTCTGGCTGAAACTGTGGACTGTGGAACATTCAATCAGTTACATATAAATATTGTTTTGATATACAGACTTTAAATCACACAAAACAAATTATACATCAATTGCAATCAAATCACCACTACATCTAGTTTCAATTCTAATCTTTTCTAAAAGTTTAAAATTTTACGATTAAGATTAAAATGAAATAAGTGAACTAACCGTTCTCGAAGGGAATCGTGTTTCAGATCCACAAATAGAGGTAGAGAATCTCGGAATTCTTTCATTTTTTCTTCTAATGCTCTTGCTACTGGCATACTTCTGACATCTTTTGACATTTTTCTAAGACTCTTTAAGAAGCCTTCAATACCTTCTTGAAGTAGTTGAATATTCAGATTAGCCCATAATGTTTCTGCCCAACTTTCTCTGGCAGCCTGAAAGTAGAGTATACAATTAATGAACAGAATTGTATGGTTCATATTGACAGCTTAAATCTCCAGTGTATGCAGGTTGCTATGTAAAATGATTTCACATGCAGGGATGGAAACCAAGGTAGCTTTTCACCCTGGGGCCTGTTGTTGCTCTCAATGGCCCGGCTTGAACAACTTTGCCGACCAGAAAGAATTCCTTTACTTTCCAATGTTTGGATTTCTCTTTCCTTAAAATGTGTATATCTGGCTACAAATGACCTTGTAAAAATGTAGCTCACAGCTTTAGATCCATGTGAGAATTTGTTAGGTTCTTCAGCAATTTTTTAATGAATAAGAAAAATATAACTTACCGCTTGTTCTTCATATAATGCGTAAATCATCTCTAAACCTTTCATATCTTTAGTAACTTGTACTAAATCAGGATACATTGTTATAGGTAGATCAAATAACTTCTCAGCATTAGCTAATTCTGTTCTCTGGGCTTCATATTGAGCCACTTCTTGGCGATATTTCTTCATAACCTCTAAACCTAGAACACAAAAAAAAGAATTATTAGTATTAACAAAGAGAAATGATCATATTCTTCTTTTTAAATGAATTATTTGTTCTTAGTCTGCATCATTCCTAGCAAAATAATCAATATTTTTGATAATAAATGACTAATGACATGAATAAAAGACAATTTTTTGAAAGTTGGAAAGATAAAATTTACATGATTTTTAATTTTACCTTTGTCAAGATCCAGTCCAACGGAACCAGGTCCTTCTATTTTAAACGTTTCAGCAAATGTTTCTAGATTCTTTCTAAATACTTTAATTTCATCTTGCGTAATCTGCAATATTAAAACTCAATTATTATCAACACGAATTCTCATTGGACCTTATTGTATTGTTTTATAATACAAAAATACAAGAAATAGAAATGGTAATAAAGGGATGCAGACAATAGCAGGCATGTGGGAAAATTTGCTTCCTTCTAAAATTTTCAACTGTCCAGGGATTTTGTTTTAATAAAAATTAGGTTAAAAATAATGTTTATTTTGAAATATTTTCTTTAAACTCTTTTCATATCTACATCAAAATTATATATAAAATCTGTTTCAACATCAAAATGGGGAAAAAAAAAAGTAATTTTTAGTAAAATAAAATAATCAAATAGAAATTTTACCTCAGTGAATTTCTTCTTCACTACAACAAGACTAGCATCAACATTTTTAGATTTAAGAACAAGATCATCCCAGATTTGTGGAAGTCTTTCTTGTAAATCTTTTTCTTCTTGTGGAACCTTCATAGAAAATATTTTCAATTAGAGGGTCTGATGCATAATTTTTCAAATATTTTTCGATAAAACAATGCCTGGATACTGGTCTGCAATAAATACTTGATTTCTTTATTAAATTTTGTGAAAAAGTCAATTTGGGTTGGAAACTGCTAGTTATATTTTGTAAAACCTGTAATTATTTATGTTATCTGTCAATCTATCAATTGAGCATCCTTACTATAAACCCTCGTCCAGTCCCTAGACAAGTAAATATTGTCTCACCTGAATATCATACATATGTAGGGTCCGATAACGTTCTTGTATATCTCTCATCTGTGTTTCTACATCTAACGACATTGTTTTAATATCAGATATTGTGGATAAAACTGACTTTAGATCTTCAAGGACACCCGGTGATTGATCAAGGTCATCAGATTTATCCTGAAATATATCAATATCCAAATATAGATATAAACCTACTATTCAGCAATTAGCTGCTGATGATATTTTAGAAAGTTTGAATATCTTGCCAACAACAAGGAATAGAAATTTAAATATGGTTCAATTTTTTTACAAAGATATGATAAAGAGCATTCACTTCAGACTATTAAAACAAACCAGCACAACCTATAAGTGTTTGGCAATATCTTTTGATGGTCCATTAATCCAATTTAATCTAGCCGGAATATTATCTACCATTGATATTTTGGATTGTACATCTTAGTTTTGACTGAGCTGGGAAAAGTAGATGTTGCCCATAAAATGCACATGACATTCAGTGGCTTTTTACTAACTATATAAACAATTTATAACAATGTTTTCAAATATATCTTGAAGAAATTGTTGTGGCCATTTTACATGTAACTGTAACTGGATTCTTCAGTCAAAAACCAAATCTAATGCCAGATTTTATCCCAGATTCAACAGATTAGTCGGTCGAAAGAAAAGCTTACAGAGCTTACCCTTACACTATTTCTTGTAAATTTGAGAGTAAATTAAGTTTTTGAATCTAAAAAAAATCAATAAACAAATATACTTACATCCATCATATTCCATAATTCATTGAGAGATTCTTTAGCTGAATTATGTAATATGGTACCCAAACATTCTATCCATTGTTTCGCATTTTTCTTCACGTCTGTAGCTAATAGTCCCATGTGGAGTCGTATAAAGTCTTGGTCTTTGACAATTGGTTGTGATGCCACTTCATCTGTAGTTTTATTGTAATATTGTAATTTGTCATCAAAATCTACAACTGATGGACCTTTAGCAAACCATTTATCAGCTATAACTTGCTGTAAAAAAACAAATAATCAAATAATTTTGTTTTATGGGCATTTTCCTATTTTTCATCACTTTACATTTTTTTAGTAGAATGTTCACAGCTGTCCAATCATTTATTTATTAAAATTAACCTAAACAGCATCACTTAAAGTCACATTTGGTCATATTAGCGCAATAGGAATTCCTTGCAAACTACAATATTGCGAAAGGGGCTATACTATATACCGGGAAACACCGAAAAACACCAGAAAACTACCGGAAAACACCATGTTATACTGAATACAGGAAAACACCGGAAAAACACTAAATACTAGAAAACACACTAAATACCGGAAACCACCCTAAATAGGTAACCCGGAGAAGGGATATACTATAAACCTGAAACTAACCCTAACCCTAACCCAGGCACACAGAGGACCAGGCTCCCGGTTACCTATTTAGGGTGCAAGTCTCCGGGTTACCTATTTAGGGTATTTTCTGGTATTTAGTGTGTTTTCCGGTGTTTAGTGTTTTTCCGGTGTTTTCCGGTATTCAGTATAAAATGGTGTTTTTCGGTTTTTTTCCGGTATATAGTATTGCCGTTGTGAAAGATGAATTTTTAATAGGAATAAATCAGTCAAAAAATGGTTCAATTCTATTCAGCTTTTACAAAGATATGTTAAATTGAAATTTCATCGATATGTCTTCAATGACATTAGATTTTAAATCTGACTGAATCAAAGCAGGGATGTTATCTAACATTATTTTTACTTTGTTTTCTTAATTAAATCTTAAATAATAAATCTGAGAAGTGTGGATTAAATCGTGAGAAATTTGATATTTTAGTGTAAAATGAAAATGACACATCCTGACACATCAGTTTTGATCAATTACCATAAATCAACAATAATTTGCTGATCAAAGAGATCAAATTAAAAAGTTGGACGAAACTATGTATCTTTATTTAATATTACTAAATTTCATGAAATAATATCTTCTTTGATTAGAGAAATTTCTATTATTACACGTTCCCACTTTATTCAATACATTGTCATTTTATGTAAATTTGAACTCGATTGACATTAATGATTAATCATACCTTGTCCACTTTCCATATTGATCTATATTTCTTCCAGCGATTCAAATACTTGGCTAAGTTGGTAAGAGTTTTTCTAATGCTCAACTGGATTGTGTTACAAACTTCTATGATTTCCGGATTTGCTGATATATCCGTAAAAAAACTAAATACATGAGGCTCATCTTCCCCTTCTATTTTCTGAGGTAAACATTCAATACACGTTCCATTCATCCATCGTACAAATAATTTAGTTCTGAAATTAAGGACATTAATACAAAATTTGAAATTATTTTGTCCTCATCACTGATTAAAGATTTCTAAATGAGACCCTTTCTCTAAACAGATCAAAGCATGAATCTTTTAGATTATTAGAAGAATCTATGCATATTTTACAATTAATTTCTTAAAGCAGATGATATATCTGCTTCTATATTCTAAAAATAAGATAGATAATAACGACAGCTACTCAAACACTGTTCAATATTAAAGAATGCATTAGTAACATCATCGATACTATCAGATCTTTCAATGTGGTTGATACTCTAGCTTAAAAATGGCAGTGTTTTTGGTACATGTTATGTCTAATTTCACCAGGTCAAGAAAACAATCTTTAATTTAGTCAATTTAGTGTAGCATTTAAATGGAGATGCCTAGAAAACCCTTAAAGTGGATTCTATGAGCTGTTATAGTTATCGATCTAATTGTTAAGATACAGAATTTGACAGACCATTTCCAGTAAAAAATCAAAAAGGACAAGTTTCAATAAGAAAATCTATTGCATCTACTGGGTATATTCGACAGACACAAATATAAAGCTATAATAATGAAATATCTAAAAAGAAGAAACCTACCCTTCTACACCATCTCTCACACACTGTAACGTTAATTTATTTATTTCGTTAGCATGTGGATGAAGAACAACATCAGGTGCCACTAATAATGTCTCAACTTGAAACAATGGTTTCTCTGTAGATAATGCTGTCAAAAAATGCTTGATGTTTTTCATTATAAGCTGAAAGAGAGACACATATATTATTACTTCATTCATGGAAATAGAATCAAATTCAATCTAAGTTGTTCAATAATTGTAAAAATATAATCATTTTTTAGTTTTAACAGCAAACATTGTTCAGTTTTAAAGAGAAAGAAGTACACCCCTCCACTTCTTTCTGTTCATTCATCTATGATGACATTCAATTATGAGGTCATAATACTGTGATGTCATCTGTTTATGACCTCATTCATCTACTTGTCCAATGTGTTGAAAATTGAAATATTAATACAGATATATCCAATTCCTATCAATGTACTTTCTGTGTGGTAATGTTACACAAATTGTAAATTCTATTTGGAAGAGATCAGGGTAGTAAATGAGGATATACGTCAAAATTCCCTGCAAAACAAGGGATTTTCAAATTCTTTTACAGGCTATATGGATTTTTGTCATTTGTACATAGGCATACATGTTAGGCCATACCATTTGTAATAAAATAAAACCTCTATGCAAGTTTCATAAAGTTGTATAAAGATTTTGTGAGGTTATTCAAGTTTAAAAAATATAAACCTCAGAATGCCTCGTTCGGCATTTTTGTCCAAATGTGGCACAAACGTGCTAATAAAATATTTGCCACAATTTTGCCACGTTGTAACGTGGTAAAAACAAAATGCCACGTTTGTCTGGAGTACCACAACGTATTTTTTTTTTAAATTGCCATGTTTTTGGAATGAGGTATTTTGACCAGAACGAGGCTGTTCACAGGGTTGTTTTCATGATTTTTCTAAAGAGTTGGGGGTGGGGCGGGGGCAGCCAAACCAAAGTTTCGTCGAGCGTATCGAGGACAGCATAACATTATTTGGTGACACTTTCAAGCGATTAAGTAGAGAGAAAAACACAAGGCAAAGTCGACTAGAAATGACATTCGTTGCACAAAAGCGTTTGTTACATTCTTTGTTGCAGTTTCATATGTTCACACATTATTTCCATCAAAGAGATGTGAGAAATGAAAAACAGCCAAGTTCAAAGCGGAGCGAACTCAATAATTGTTTTTTAGGCCTTTGAATATTATTTACAAATATGCTGTTCCTTTTTTCTATATAATAAACGATATTATATTTAATATATATATATATCTGGCACTCAGTTGTATGTATAAAAATTGCAAAAGCAATTAAATTAAAATCCATCGAAAAATGAAATAGACACAATTTATGTTTATATAATGACATGCAAAGCGGGGCGATGCGAACAACTATATTAAAAATGATATTTACATTTACATCCTTCAGGTGACCGGCCTACGTCTGGATTCTTATATAAAGGGTCGATCTAGACTATATTTTGGAGAATAAAACTGCTTAATTTTGTGTTAAAAGCCATTAAAATCTTCTACCTTTGGACCGAGCAAATAACTCAATATACATGATACGTTTTCATCGTAAACCTGTCGTTTATTATATAAAAACAGGAACAGTATATTTGGTTTGGCTGAACCCCACCCCCAACCCTTTTGAAAAATCGTGTATCCAACCTTGTGATCAGCCTCGTTCTGGACAAAATACCTCGTTCCAAAAAGATTGCAATTTAGAAAAAAAAAAAATACGTTTTGGAACTCCAGACAAACGTGGCATTTTGTTTTTACCACGTTACAATTTGGCAAAATTATGTCAAACATTTTAATACGTTTTTGCCACGTTTGGACAAAAATGCCGAACCAGGCATTCTGAGGTTTATAGTGTAAATTAGTGTAGTCTAAGTTTCCTGAAGTTCTTCAAAGATTTAATAAAGCTTTTGAAGTTTTTAAAAAACCCTTAATAAGCTTTGTTTTAAAGGTCGTGTAAAAGAAGACGATGACGACATAAACGACAAAAATTGTGACTGCAGGAAATTTCTGTTTATTCATCTTAATATATTATAATAAATAGATAGAACTCAATGACCATTGAATACCGCTCGGGTTATTCAAGGGTTCAAGAGATTGTATCCCTGCGCATAGCAAGGGTGTGTACATGAGTGAACCATTGAATAGCGAGAAAGAGAAATGGGGTTTAACATCCAATCGACAAAAACTAGGTCCTTTCGGGACTAATATATAGTTCTATTTTATTTCAATAATTCTCTTTCGCGTAGGGGTCTTTAGCAGGAGGAAACCCGAGGACCCAGAGAAAACCTACGAGGTTGGACAGGCAAAATACACTGTACTGCATGTATCTAGATTATCAAAAAAAAAATCATCATCAATAATGTTTAAATTCATCATAGGTTCCGCCCTTTTTAATTTCTTTTTTTAAAAATTTGTGGTTGCCTAGTGGTGACGTCATTAATTCTGAAAGTGACGTCATTCTGGACAAAAGTAGTATGTGTCCAAGTCATTGAATACAGCCATAGGTTATTCAATGGCTGTATTCAATCATTTTTGCTTGCATTTGCATCTAGTTATAGAATAACTATCCTTATCACTACAATAAAATTTACCTTTGTAAGAGATTCATACACTCTTCTCTCCCAGAATGCATAATACTGACGTAATTTAGGAGATTTACCACTGTTAGTATGAACTACTAAACCTTCCATTTTGGTTAATAACGGGCCTATTGCACGGTATTTTCTTGCTAAAATTTCAAAATCTCTGGCTCTTTCTTGTTCAATGTGTTCAAAAAATTCCTGAAAAATAAAATACAACAATTTATTTTATACCTTAATTGTACTTACTGTGCTCCATTCATATTGTCAGAAATGAAATGACCTACTATTTTGCACCAACCGGGCTAATGAAGATGGGCATACACCATGCAGTGTGTGCTATTGGGGTAATTTTGCCTTTGCAGCAGCACTAAGACCTATTTTTATTTTGAATTCCAATTGCTAGCGTTCTTTTATATGCTCATCCTGTCAGAGATGTACAATGCAAATTAAAGGGCATGTAAGATTGTTCAAGTTGTGAATTATTTCAAGTAATCAATCACTGAAACAGTACACATTACATCAGAGTACTAGTATTTGTGCTCATTCCAAGGCATATATTACATATTAAATTTTTTTTAAAAACCAATAGCAATATAATTTATAAATCTTTTGTTGGAAAAATATCAAAAATTTAATGTCTTCAAAATGTTGAATCGGGAATTTATTGTGTACTTACTTTACAGCTAGGTAACATATCATTCTTGGGTTGAGGAGATCGAAATATATTTGCGTTTTCTATCATGCCCAATCTTTGATGAATATCACGAGCATTTTTCTGTATTTGATTGACTAGAGATTCAAATTTAGCAATAGCCTGAAAATAAACAGGAAATTATTTACTTAAAAGTATAAAACCATAGCAACCTGAGAAAATTCAGAAATGAAATGGGCGTTTAATGTGAAACTTTTCGGCTCCATCCAGATTAATAAAGACCCATACAGTGTACTATGATGAAAATTTTGTCCAGACAGCAGTGCTTCTTCCTTTTATTTCGAATTCTAATTTGCAAAGGTTCTTTTTTGTGCACGCCAACATGTTCATGGGTTCTTTTTCGTGCACGCCAACATGTACATGGGACCATCCAAATGATTACATACTGTTTGCCAGGCCCTCTCCATCCTGCACCACTGACAATGGGAAACCACGACAGAAACTGAGAAAATTCACAACATTATTTATTAGTCATTAGGGATCTCCATTAATTATCTAATGAATAACATTCAATGTTTTTGTTCATGGTGACATCATTCGAATATATTTTCTACCATTTAAACCGCACGTAAACAAAACCAGACGTTTCTACTTGCATTCCCACTTCGTTAAATCTTTTATGAACAAATCTTTCATCTACTTACCGATTGACATTTTGAAACATAATCACTGATACCCAGAGAATTCCAGTTTAACCTCTTGGCTCCAGGTCGTAGAACACGTCTCAGATCTCGCATATGATCATCTAATAATGCAGCCTAGAAAAATACACAACATTACAAATATATTAAATTAATTTACCACCAATAAAATATAATTCATAATATAAATATCAAAAACCATTTTGTACACTATCCTTGTTCATGTACAAAAATGCAGTAAACATAGAATTAAAAAAATCTGAAGAAGAACATGCCATAATCTTGATAGAATAAATTCTTCTAACTGCACATCTAACATTTTTTTTATCATACAAACTATGATGAGAGTGGGCAATATATAAAAGTCCATTGTGAAGGGCTTTGCTCACAATATTAAACAAATCAACACAGTATGAATATGCCTGTAAGAATTTTGTATTATAAGTTCTTATGGAACTTCACTGGCTTCCAGTAGAGACTCATGCGAAAGTTAAAATCATCAAAACGCACTAACTTAAGGAACTTGTGTCAAATACTATCCTGGTCGAACACTATTATCGATTGACTATGGATGGCCTCCACTCATACTGTCGTAAAGGTTAATAGGAAATTTGCTGATAATTTTAATAAAAATTTAGTTTTCTTAAATCTTAATCAATTTTTACCTCAGCGTGATTTAATGAACCTAATAAACGATGATATCTATCTAACATATGCTGTAACCCTTCTACATACTTTATATATTTTTCTTCCTGAAAAGAAAAAAAAATAAGAAAATTAAGAGATTTTGACCCCCCAAAATTTTTTCTTGGCCAACCACACTGCAGAGCTTTGCCTAAAGATATATCTCTTTAGGCACAATTTTAGGTCACACAGATGCTCCATGAAATTTACTTTAATCTGATAATCTGATAGTATATTTCCAATAAGCCATAGCTTAACCTTTTACAAGTCTCACAACAAGTGTGAGGTATCATCAGAATGGCAGTTATATTATAAGATTTAGATAAAGAGCTGGTCATTCTTAGCTATAATAGTTCAAAAATAGAGAATCATAATTGAATATATTGAAAATTTCATTCAAATTACTTTATTCTGAGCGAAGTTTTGACATGATATAGAGTAAATTGTCTAGATTGTCAAGTATCACTGCTACAAGAATAAACAGAGTCTATATCATCCATTTTAACGTTGAATTATTATATGGCACAAGTGGTTTAATCCATTCAATATCTTAGCCAGAAAAAGACCTGCATTAGGCAGATTTAGCTCTTGCATAATGCATTTTTAAGATTTTTATCTAATGTAACATGTAATTTGATATTTAGAATTAATTTTCCATTTTTTTCCATCTATGCATATTATAAGTTTACATCCTTTGTAAATTTATGTATTTAAATGTACATTATTTTCTTTGTACATAATTATACCTTTTGTACATTTGTTTGATGTCATAATAGATTATGAAAGGCAGATGGAGAAAAAAGTCCATATTCAAAATTACCTGTAATGCTACATTTCTAGCCAATTCTGGTACAGGAAAACTCAGTTGTTCAATATATTTAGTTTCTGCGATAATTTCATGTAACTGGGGATCAAAATCTACCAGATATTTAACTTCAAACAATGCACCTGAAAATTTTTTAAGTTGGTTTGATTAAATTTAATAAACTAAATGTTTGAATGTCTTAAATCATTTATATACTTGTATATATACAAAAGTTTTATCAGGGTACAAATTCTATTCAATTAAGAGTCATGATTTAAAAGTAAATTTCTTAAACATAAATTATATAAATTGTGTTCAGAAAGTAGATCATTTTTTTAAGTGATAAAAATATATGCCTGAAAGAAATATATTTAAGAGTCTTAAATTATATCTGCTGTTATGGTATGAATACCCTGTCAAAACTATTACAGATTTGGAGAAAAATAAAAGTTATTCACTAGGTTACATTTCTAAAATAATTTTAAAAAAAATCTAAATTTATAATATCAACTAAGGAATGTTGGACATATCAATTAAATAAAGATGACATCCCTGAATTAAATGTTATTACAATGTATTATCATTAATTAGACAAAAAGATTGGGCTTTTACTTTTCTTTTTTTTTGTGCGAAAACACTTTAGGCCACATCAATTTGATTTTACGTTCTTCAGGAACATCTGTAAAAAAAAACTTCTTTTTTTTCTTCTGTAAAAGACTTATTCAAAACCGAAAGTACTTGGCTGTGATGTTCAAAAGCTCTTAGTTACAAATCAAGTGGCTATTTTAAATCAAGATCCAAAAGAACAGAAAAATCAAATTTGTGAGGCCTTTTAATTGTGGATTTGATTATCGACCATTTCAACATTCGGAGTAGGATATTGAGTTGGTACACAAAGTGGAATGAATGGGGTTTAACATCTTGTAAAAAAATGCTAGGTAGGAGAATGTTACCCGGACAGAGGCATTCCCACCTACTCTTTAAAGATTTCAAATAGTGGACAATGGGACACTGGAAATTTTCAACTCATCAAATTCACAAGTTTGTTACTCGCTCAAAATCAAAGCAAAGATGAAGTCTTTTATGAGAATTCTTTACAAAATATCCAATATTAATAAAGCTAGACAATCAAAAATCACACTTTCACACAAGTTAAATAGTTTGCAGAAACACACAAAAAATCACACCGCAGCTTTCTGGCAGAATCTGGACTTTTCATGTTAAGTTAATAATTAAATAAATATTAAAGCACTTTGACTATAGGGTTATCAATCTGCTTACCAACAAAAGATTCTCTCGATGGTCGCTCGGGAGATTCACCTGTATTACATATTAATTCATTGAAATAATCGTTACTTTTTAATTTACACAAATATTTTTGCTATTATTAATGAAGCTACATATTATTACCACTCTAAAAAAAAAGAAAATTTTGAAGTACATCATGTAAAGTGTGCATCACTATAACATTGTCGTGTGGGTCCAAAAGACAAATAACAGCAAAACTCTAAAATATCAAAGCCACAGACTCTTCTATAAAACTCATGCTTTGTATTAAAACCCTAATACTATGATATAGTTAAGCCCATAATGTAAAGTTAAATATCTAATTCAATTTATCTTTGATAAATACATGTATCTCTCTTAATTTATAGAACAAAATCTAATATTTCTGACAGATGACTATCTTAGAATTTTGAAGATTGAAAATCTCCATATCCTCCTTTGAATTGAGACCTGTCATGACAATACTATGAATATGATATATTGATGTCAATACCTGATTCTCTGCCTGGTGTATTATCATCAGGATGTTGAATAGCTGGTTGTTGAGGACCACTGGAACTGTTTGAAGGTTTTATTAAAAGATTTCTCCGTAATAAAGATGGTAAAACCTGTTCTACATGATCTCGCCACTGTTCATATCTAATATCTTCAAATCTCTTCATTTCTTTACCAACTTTTAAATATTTGGCTCTTGTCTGAAAATATAAAAATAACTTTGTAAATCTTAGAAGTTGAAAATATTTGAATAACATCATGGTAAAGAAGGACATGTCCTCGTTTAACTGTCAGATTTGAAATAGATCTTGTAGAATTTGTGGTCCATGATCAAACATTGTCACTGCTTTTTACTAAAGTAACAATGCTTTATTTGCATTTTTGGGAAAACTGCAAATTTCTCAAAGCTTTATCCACACTGCTATGTATTCAGAACGATTATTTAACATTTAATTAAGAAAACAAAATCTAAAATACCAATGCTAGATAGTCAACCAGTTTAGATTCAATCAGATTTAAAACAAGCCCATCAATTTGGTCCATGACAAAGATGGTGAACGCTTTGTTACATAGGGAGCAGCATAAATCTGTGGAATTTTGAATACGTCATATCTCCGTACCGGTAAATACTGAACGGAATTGGAACATTCTAGGATCGATATTCCTGGTCTAAACAATACAAATTTTTTTAAGAAGTACATAAAGTGCATATCATTCAATAAGTAAAATGAACTTACATCTTTTCCATCTTGAGTAAGCATCATTTCATCCATGGTCTGGAATCTAATAATGGTGTGTTTAATACGATGGAATAAAGAACGTTCCCAGAATATACAACCACTGATTGGTGGATTATTTTTATGAAGTGGTGGACTGTCTTGGAATTCTTTAAACAGATGATCCATCGTATCAACCTACAACACAAAAACAATAAATACCGGTACATGAAGGAATAAAATCTAAAAAAGTAACAGAAAAAAAAAAAAAAAATTATACTTGAACTGGGTCCCATCATATGGTACAGGGAATGTCATGTAGCTTAAAAGTTATAGTTCTGTGGTTTGTCATAAATATCTGCAGAAGTTAAGGAATATCTCAGTGAATTCAATAGACCAATGACAGTACAATACACAATGGAACCACTGTGGCTCGGTGTGTAGGGCACTAGGGGTGGGGGAACAGTAGGTCGCAGAACGCTGAAAGCATTTTAGTTTTTGATCGATCTCCGATGGTATAAAGCCAGAAATAAATTTGTGAAAATTGAATCACATGTGTATAACTATAATAGTAAATCAAATTGAAATCTGTTAGTTGTATCGCAATAATAATTATTTGGTATAATACATGTCACGACAGTCATGTACTTTTTTAAAATGGAGTTTAATGTCGACTTGACACGGACTAAATGGTTCAATTTTATTTCAATAGTGATCTTTAGTAGTAGGAGGAAACCGGAGAAAATCCACAAAGTTGGACAGACAACCATCCTCTTTGTCACGTACAGGCAGGGAATCGACATCACACCATTTGACTCAAAATAGTTAGGCGACTCTTCTTTTTGTCACATACAATCGTGGTACAAATTTAAATTAGAATATAGATGTACCTCTTTTCCATATTGATTAAGAATATCCTTAAATTTCTGCATCATCTGAGCATTGATAGCTTCTCTTGAACGGATATGTTTAAAATTTAACAACATATCAAATGCTCCTTCAGCTGATCGCAAAGTTTTAAATGACTCATCGATAAACATTTTAGCTTCTCCCTCAATTTCTGCCACTTCCTTTGTAAATTTAGATTTCAGTCGTTTCCATTGAAGAGATTCTTTTTGAGAGAATGGATCAAAACTTATCTGTAAAAATAATCAAAAGGTTAATCTTAGTAAATAAATCAATGGGCTAATCTTAATATTTTTCAGAACAATTTTATTTCTCTCAGAAATGGTTGTTCTATGCTCGTGGAGGGATATTGTTTGCTATATAGCAATTGGAAAGCAAAATCAATCCCCATTTTTCAGACTTATCGAGTTACAACCCATGAACTACGGCACACAATGTTTCCTTAAGCGATGGACACACCAGCCGTATGATTCGACCGAATCGATCGGCCGAATCAATCGGCATCGAAATTTGCCTAGTGTTTTCACTGTCATTCGCCCGAATCAAACAGGTTTGATATATTCGGCCGAATTATATTCGACTGGTGTGTCCGCTTCGCCGAAGCATTCGGCCGAATGTAGAAATCATTAGCCAATCACCACTTATCATCCAATCATATTGAAAAGTCACGTGATTATTTGACGACATAGACGCCGCCATGTTTAATCATGTGACGTGAAAAGTGATGCAATCGACTGGTGAATCGGGGGAAGCATTCGGCTGGTATGTCCACCCATTCGGCCGAATAAAATTCAGCACCGATTGATTCGGCTAATGTGTCCACTGGTTGACAAAAGGTCAAGCTGAAATCAGAGAAAAGTAGTACTGACCTGTTGGATGGGAAAAACCAAAGCATCTACTCTGTAAACAACATCTTCTATTCTTTTAGGATCACCTGTTACAGCTTTTAACTCAGGTCCAAAAATATTATAAAATTCTTCTAGTACCTGAAATAAACAAAAAGCAATCATTAGTTTCAAGAGCAGACTACAATAACCATTACAAACATGTGTCTGCCATGGTATATACATGAACCCTCTTAGAGATGACTGAAATTTCCAGCATGCGCAAACAAAACTGTCAAAAATCTCGGTTAAAAAAAATCTTGAGTTGCAAAACTTTGTTTTTATTTTCATGGATGACTGACATGTTATTTTACTTACCTGTGCAATATCATTTAAATCATCGCATATACTCTTCATATAATCAGTTCGTTCAAATAATTTCTTTCTATCAAACTCCCATCTTTGATCTCGACCCGATGCCTCAATCATTCCTCTCACTTCAAAATATGAATCTTTCCACACTGTTAACATTTTAGAGGCCTCTGATGTTTTTATTTTTACTTCATGTGTACCACTACTACAGACAAAAGGACAGAAGAAAATTCATTTAACATTCTAATGATCAGAAAAGCTAGTTTTCATGTCCAACTAGCCGTTTTAACTAGCTGTGTATATAGGGCTAGCAGAAAATATCGATTTCACCAACAATTTTCGGTAAAGCATTTTGAAGATCGATATTTGGTAAGGAATGCTATTATTTTATTGTCAATGAAACAGATAATGATATTACAGCATAAACTCACATATAATTCATTATTCATATACAAATTATGTATGTTTCAGAACAATTGGAGGTAAAAATAATTCGCCAATATTATTGATTATTGATCGGCGGATGGTCAGCGATTATCGATACTTGAAACCAGTATCAATTGCCAGCCCCTATCACTAGCTGTATAAATACCTTTTAACAATCTATTCAGTTAAAAACCTAATTCATGACATTTTTCACAAATTTGAATTTATAAACTAAAGTACTCTTTCAAGAAACCCCGAAAAGATACTTCTACTGATAGTTAGGGATAAAATTGCAAACAATTGTAACAGCAAATCAGGTTCAAAATCTCTGATATCATCAGGGACACTATGCTGCCCAGACCTGCAGATGATTAACACACAAGCTTCCAACTTACAACAATTTTGATTGGTGCTTCATTTCACATGGTACTTCATGTACATGTACAAAAATCCCATGGGGGGGGAGTGCAATTACAAAATCGAGCTCCCCTGATCTCATGGCTGCCATCATCCCACTGGCCGATCAACAGACAAGATTTTGAGGGAAATATATTAAATGTGCACATCAATAGATAATACAATACAAAATAAACATCTTTATCAATCCTTAGTATTTAGCCTAGAATGGCCAGCAGGGGATGTACATGTAATTCAGTCGAAGGTCAGCGTGAAAGTGTTTATTATTGCTCAATTAAATTGTGCTGGACGGGGGGACGTCTGCTATAATCTAATCTATTACAATTTCTATGATACAGTTAATATAATTTAATTACATGTACTTACTCGAACAATTCTCTAACATCAATAACCTTAGCAACTCGTTCTGCTAATTCCCAGGCAATTCGCTCCATCAGTGGAACCATTCTTTCATCTTTATTATAATGTCTTGAAATAATCCACACCATTCTTAAAGCATTCATCATGGAAGGAATCGTCTCAATGACCACTTGAAATGTAGCACCATGAGCAATATTTTTAAAATGTCTTTCAAGTGTTGAGAGAAAACGAACATTGTCTTTAGCTTCTGTGTCATATTTAGTGAGTTCGCTAATCGTATCATCAAAGTCACTCTCCACACGACTATAAATACTTATCATTTGTTTTACTTTAGGTATTTTTAACTGTTCCGATAGAGCACTTAAGGCAGCATTACGTTCCCGCCAAAAATCAATTTCTGCAAGAGGTCCATTAGCAGAATGCCCACGCTTTAACTGTTTTTCTAAAGCTCCTTGCACTTGTTTTCTCCATTCTGAGCATGTCTCTCGAATTTTTTCTATTAAATCATTATTTTCTAGAATATCATCTACATTTGAACCTAATTCAAGATCTGGCACTTCCAGTCGGACTTCTCCTTCAATTTGTTGTAAAGTTCTGTTAATATTTGCTGAAAATTTTTGCATACTAATGAGAAATTCATCTCTTAATAAAGCTTTAGCTCGAGATTCTGCTATATTTATTTTACTTCCTTCTTCTTCTGTTGTGTCTGTAGATTGTGTAAGACTAGTATCTTGTCGACTAATGGAGGATCTCTGTTCTGATAGTCGCGCTGGATGACTTGATTTACTATCGCTACCCTTGTGTTGATTATAAGATAATAGAGGCATATATACCTGAAATACAAACGTATCATAAAAACTGTTAGCAGTGGAAAGTTTCAAGATAAATAAAGAAGCGACATTGTTATAAAACGAAAACGCATAACCTGTTTTGTGCATATGATCAATCTTTAAGAATCAGTTTCTTACTTAGTCATAAGAATTCTTTTATATTCTGCAAATATGACCACTATCTTGTGATCACAGAAATCAAAATGAACAAAAATTACTAACCTGTGTTATAATTTGTTCCAACATAACTAATGAATGACCATTTAATAATCCAAATTCAAAATATGCTGGCAGCATTTCTTCAGCTTCTTCTACACTATTTGGTAGAGGAACCATCCCAGGTGTATTTCTCAGAAAATAAACACTATTATTATCAGTAACTTGCTCTGGTAAATGCTGATAACACATATGTAAATAGGTACGCCAAACTTTCTGAATGATGAATTTCTGAAAATACCAAAAAGATGAATTTATCTCATCAAAATACTTAGTGGCTGAAAGTAGACCTATATTAGAATCTTATGAATAATTTACCAGGTACATTTAAAGTTTGTACCGATAGAGAAAGAAATGGGGTTTAACGTCCACGCTACATAAACTAGGTCATTTCGGGACTAACTATGGTTCAATTTTATGTCAATAATTTGATTGCACATAGGGGTCTTTTTAGCAGTTAGGGGAAACAGGAAGAACCAGTTCGACAGGCGACCATACTCCATGTCACATACAATGACAGAACTTATGATCTAAAGCGCATGTGTTAAACCATTTCACCACCCAACCCCCCTCGCACCAATAGTAAATGCTATTTAGTAGTCTATGACAATAACAGATGCTCCTGTCAATACAAAATATCATAGCCTATTGATAATTCATGCTTTAAATAACTTACTGTTTTGGGAACTTTGTCTGATTGCTCATCTTTATCTGCATCTTCTTCGATCGTTTCTGTAACTTCTGGTTTAACCTCTTTCTCTAAATCTTTAGCATTTTCTATATCTGAGGTTGGAGTTTCTTTTCCTTTTGCCCTTCTCTTTCCTAAAAATTAGAGAAAGAAAACAAATTAAAAGACATTTAAAACCAAAATTGATTAATGATATACAATGGCTAATATTTTCAAATGTAAGAATACATGACAGTGGCACAAGATTTAGACAGAACTTATGGACATCATAAAAAAGCACATCATTAACACTGTATTGGGTTTACTCTAAAGTCTATAGTATACCATACATCAAGGTACAGAAAACATTAACACGGAGAAAAGAACATCAAGCAACCACACAAGAGAAGCCTAGTCGAAATGTTGTTCAGTAGTAAACAGTAATTGTATTCAATAGAATTGTGGCTTTTGTATCCATGTTTAATTACAAATGCACTTGAAACAAAGAACATCTCTATTACAGTGAGTTCCAAAACTGATATTGACACTGCATCTGAATAAAAAAAAATCCACTTCAAATTTCCAAATAAATTCAAGTGGTTGTTTAATATTCTTGAGTAGAAAACGAAGTAAATAGTGGCTAATTACTTGGAGTATCTTCATCTTTATCAGCTGATGTGTCATTTGGTGTAGACACCGGCAATGGTTGCTCCGAACCTTGATCCACAGATTCTCCATCTCCAGTATCCCCTTCTCCATCTCCCCCTTCCTCATCTTGTTGTATATCTGGTATTTCTGGTTCTACAATTCAAATAGAAATTTATTTAAACAGGCCTATGTTCTTTATCTTAGATTTAATACTAAATATTGGCTGAAACTTTCAGATATATAAGCTTATTTACGATTTAAAATAATGTATTTTTGCCAAATCCCTAAAAGTATAAATGACTCGGATTGGGAAAAGACCCCATCCAACGAATTTACCCAACTGCTAGGTGGCACATAAAAATGGTTTCACTAACTGATTACTTCCGTCTTTGACTTGAGCCACAGTAGTGGATGGTTCTAAGGCCATCCCTTGCTTGGAGAATTGGAGAAGAATTTGTATACAAATTAAAATAAGAGAGAGAGCCAAACTAGGTCATTTTGCGACTAAGATATGGTTCAGGTCTTTAGCAGTGGGAGGAAATCGGAGGACCCGGAGAAAACTCACTCCACACAAACTAGGTCATTTCGGTACTAACATGGTTTGATTGTATTTCAACAATTCGTTTGCGTATAGGGGGCTTTAGCCGTGGGAGGAAACCGGAGGACCCGGAGAAAACCCACGAGGATGTCATGAGGTTGGACAGGCGACCCTACTCCTTGTCACGGACAGCCGGGGAATCGAAACCACACCAGTTGACTCATTGACAGACAGACCTTATGATACAACGTGCACACGGCAAGCATTTGGCCATCCAACCCCTCCTTGAAATAAAAGTAAAACCTTAAGAAATAATTCTATGAATTTACTACGATTCACCTTTCATAATAATACAAGTACGTGTATGTAGATTGCAAGAGATTCAAATACCTCAAATGAGGACTGATCGGTGGTTTTAATTTCATGAATGTTTAAAGTAACTAAGACTTTAGCTCAATATCATCCAAAGTCTTCAACAATGAAAACACAAATTATTTGACAATTTAAATCAAACTGATGTTGTGATCTTAGTGGGAAAAGTTGGTTTTCTGATATCAAATATTTCAGACAAAAGAAACATTTAATTACCATTTGTACACGAATCGTGTACCATAATGTATTTCAGAGCCATTTGTAACAAGGGACTCGAAGATATATTCCGCAAGTCATGTCAAACGGTGACGCCATGTTCTTATCTGGAGAGCATGCACAATAAATACTATCGGTGTAGACTGCGATAACCAGACGCTAGAGATTGCCATTCGATTGGGGCATCTTACATTATTATATGCGTTGCAACCCATTTGTGGCATTTTCTAGGTTCCAAATATTAACGATTTAGCTCCTTTGTTTAATGTTCTGCAAATGACAATGGATAGGTTCTTTTAGCCAGTTCAGCCTTGTAAAGTTTAGGGTAATTTCATGGAATTGGAATGAATATGATTGAATCTACTATAGATCTTTATTAGATATTTAATAATAATGTATCATTACCACATTCTACTTCAACTTCTTCCTCTTCCTCTGCAATAATTTTATAGAACAACATAGCTGATTCATTATCACCAGGAGTATCATTGAGATATTTAAGAAGTTGTCTTTCTGCAATGCCATCATCTCTTTCTAAAAGTTCATCAAAAACTTCTGTGTCTTTTATGTCTATGGCTTGGAACACTCTGTTCCGGATCCATTCAATCCTTGGATCATCCATTTTTGTGAATGTTAAATATTAATAATGATCTAACGGGATCTCTGCATACTACCCAATTGGCCTGATATCAATACTATCACAGATAAGTAATTGTTCTCACCATTTTGTCAACAAGGCTGCTTTAGCTTTCTCACGTTGCTAATGACGCCAGTGTGTTAATACACGAGATATAGTCCCTAACAAAAAGGCTATTAAGATATTTACGAGTGGTTGATATTAAAAAAAACCCATAGAATATAGAATGAATAATTTATTTTGGTATTTTGTATGATACTTTTAAGTGGTACATTAAATGTTTGATATATTTCTTAGCATTGGAACTATTTTTATCACCGGAAATACAGGGACACAAATCACCAGTAGCAACGATGCACAATTTTCGTATTCTATTATATAACTTCTGACATGAACACTCTGATTAGTTTTTTTTATAGTATTATGAACACCCGCTATCTTTTCATAACTCTCTAACCCAAACCAATCTACCAAAAAGGTTGTTTTTTTCTTTAATCGAATTATTTATTATTTCGTTTCGTTTGGGGTTTTTTTTTTAAAGTTTAGAGTTATTTCCCCTGGTGTGCATTGTTACTTTCAGTTTAGTTTTTTAACACGTTAACGTATTTTTTTCTGGCGTTTATTTATTTTCCAACTATTTATTACAACTATATGGCAGCTCTATTTTTTGACAACCAAATTTATTTTGCGCTTATAAACGGTCTGCCAGATACGTTTACTACAAAGGTCATCTTGTCATTTGTAACTGTATTTGCACTTATATTAGTATTCAAAAGACGAAGAAAACATCATCATGATCATCATCAAAATAGTCAAATTTTGTTGAAAGAGTATGATAGATGTGCTTTCCCCAATTGTATTCGTTGTAAACGACGATCGGAAATAATGACAAGAGCAAGAACATTATTTAGACAAAATGTTAACGGAGTAAAACTGCTGACACTGGACGAACACGAAGAAATGAGTTGTCAATTGCAAGAATATAATACTAATAAAAAAAGAGATAGATCTATATCAAAAGGTGCCGTGCAGGATCCAGAAATATTTTACTTGCCACATATTGGCACTCAAACATTTTGGAATGTTTCAGAATGCCTTAATACTAATATTTTGACAGAAAATGTATTTCAAGGAATCAAAAGTGAATATGAAAGTGTTAAAATACATATTTCGAAGACCAATGGCAGTTCTGAAGTCAATCGTGGCAGTTGGAAAGTAAACAATACACCAAATGGAAAATGGTGTTTCTTCCATCTAATTGACCAGGGTTGTGTGACAAAAAATGCACCCAGGTGTCCAAAAACAATGAATTTTTTGTTTTCTGTCAGAGGTTTCATGAATAACACAGTTTTTGGAAATGCAGGGTTTTCTGTGATATATCCAGGAACACATATTACAGAACATTTTGGCCCAACAAATATTCGACTTCGCTGTCATTTAGGTAACTAATTAATATTCACTGATATCAATAGCAGAATCATAGTTTTCCTCTTGCATACAAGTAACTCACATCTCATTTACCACGATATCCCATGCATTAGTTTAATCATATCTGTGTATAAGTGTCATTAAAAATATTATTTTTGATATGTCAGTCTCATTAAACAGTGGGGGATCCAGCTGGATGGGAGCCCCTTGTAAATAACAGTAGATTTGAGGGTGTTTTTTTTAATTGAGTTGGGTTGATGTAGCTGATGAAATTAAATGTTATATTCAAGGCCAGATATTCACTGAAAATCACCATTGACAACTCAGTTGTTTTCTTGGTAGAGGTTACCGCCCCTTCCCCCAACCCACCATTCCCATCTCCATCCCCAATTATCCTGTGTCTGCCACTCATTAATTTTCTTCACCAAAATTTAATTTTGAATTTTCTTATTTTCCAGGCCTGCAGATTTCAGAAGATTGCTACCTCACTGTTGGTAATGATCAGTGCACTTGGAATGATAGGGAATGTTTAATTTTTGATGATTCTTTTCTACATTCAGCAACAAATTATGGAAAGAAAGAGAGAGTTATTTTGTTGTTTGATATATGGCATCCTGATATTCCATATTCAAAGAGGTTATTATTACAAGATATATTTTCTGCTGTCCCTCTTGACGGCTAATCCATTATTTTGACAAATAAACCATACCTCCAGATATAAATCTATGCAATACATACTACTCAATATGACTAGAGAGAGATATGAATTTCCAAATATATTTAGCTGAAGATTTTGATTGGCTCCACTGAAGACTTTATTCACTGTGTGTATTCTCTGGAAAGTACAGTTACAGACCATGACAAAAATTAATCCTTTTGAGGAATGTGCAGATTTTCACTGGTTGGTTTTTTTTTGAAGATTTTTGTGTTTAGGCCGTGGTGTGAAATGTCTAGCTAGTCTGCTTCTGTTTTTCCGTACCAGCAAATTTCGGGAGGAAAAAAAAGTACATCATCTAATTCTTCTGGTATGACTTTGTACTGCCAAACAACTTTTCTGTTATCCAATCTTTGACGTTTGGCAGAAAACGTAAAATAAATACGGGCTTACTTATCAACGTGCGATGGTATTTGAATTTCGCGGTGATTTGGTTTTAACAGATCACATGACATAGCTCGCCAATCAGACACACACGACGAAAAGTTCAAAAGGTCGTTTGGCTAAAGGTCACCTGCACTTTGTTTACGTTTTGTTACAAACAGTACATGGCGGAAGGATAGCTAAAACTGCATACCTATTTTGTTAAAAACACTGAGCTAAAACCTTTCACTGCGACAAGCTGGGAAGAATTAAAGGTATGTGCTAACCAGTGGATCAAATTAGATGGAAATGGCAGGCTTGTGCAGGAGACAAATGCTGATTTGCTTGACAAAGAAATCCAGGAATGTGCAGTCAAAACTCTCACTGGGGTATATTATTATTATACTTATAGGCTACTAAATACAGACTTCTCACATTCCACGTTACCAACGTAAACAAAACTGTGTATGAAACATTATCACGATTCCAAAATTGTTGAAGAAAGTGATGTTTAGAAAAAAAAAAAAAAAATGGTTAATTTGTAAAGGGCAATGGGATCATATCTTAACATTTTCTCATTTTCTTGCAAATGCAAACTGCTGAACTTGAAGATATCTAAATGCATGACAACCCAGAGGGACTACTCGGCCCAAGACCACTCAGACCAATAGTCCACTCAGTCAAAGACAGAAGACCACTATGGTAAAAACTGTGTCACCATGGGGTGAAATCCAATGTGCAGTACTCATATACCCAAGTTGTTATGGAGAAAAATAGAACCGAAATACAAGTGCACAGTGCACTTTCTTTTTTTTGAAAAAAATATGTATGAATTATTTCTGCACCAGACTGAGCTTGCATGAGTCTCCTGGCTGAAAATGTCGCTGCGGCCCTTGCATCCGCAGTCAAAAAGGGAGCATATTCTGTCGCATTCCTCCCTGGTTGCCTTACTATAGCTACGGAAATTTAAACCTGTCTTTTTAAAGTCTATTGAACAAATGACAGGGTAAGAGTGAATAGAGATCAAGCACCAAACAAAATTTTCAATGTGAATGTAAATCAAGCTGCATTACAGATAGATATACTTGTTACAAGTGAAAACTTTCTTGTATGGATTTGTGTATATTGTTAGAATATATTAAGTGACAGCCAAACATATGCTGACAGTGACATTGATTTTAATAGTGATGATGATATTGATGAAATTATGTGATTTTTATGAGTAGGCCTACACCTGTATACATGTATTTTTGTAAGCAGTTTTTAAATATTACATATTTTAAACATGTTTTACTTAAATGTACTGTACATGTCAATAATTTTCGTATTATATTTTGTCACTTTATGCTTACTATATGTTTTTATTTTACTTTTTTATTCTAATTCATGGTGCAGGCGGAGGGACTGACAAGGCACAAGGACAGCAGTCTAGTCGAGGTCCCGTGTATACATTGGTGTGCATGTAAAAAGATCCCCTGGCAGTTGGAATTTGATATAAGCGTAGGCCATAGTGCTGTGCCCGGGCAAAATTTCCGTCATAGCACACTGTATGGCATATGCTCATCTTCATTAGCCCAGTACATGTATAGGAGCAGAACAGTAGTACATTAAACCCCATTTCACGTCTAATTCATTTTACTAGAACCATTTTACTTAGGTACATGTAACTGTTTGTTTTTCTCTTATATGTACTTTTATTTACTGGTTGGTATATATCTTTTAATTTTGTACAGTGTATATGGGCAAAAGACCTGATCTGTGTGTAAATACATGTATTCTGTGAATATAAGAACCTGAACAGCACATAAGAAAATGTTCTCCAGTATTAATACATTTATAAATGATGACATTATTATTATTATATACATTTTTCATTAATACTAGTGGTGTATGGTATTGTTGTGTACAGGAAATTTATATAATTGCATTTGTTTATTTTTTTTTTTAAATAAATGTACATATACTCACTTATAGGGGGGTCGGGTACCCGAATGGGTAGCATGTGTGCACTGTATCATAAGGTCTGTCATTGAGTGCACTGGGGTGGATTAGATTCCATGGTTGTACATGACAAGGGGAAGGGTTGCCTGTCCAACCTCATGGGTTTTCTCCGGGTCCTCCGGTTTCCTCCCACAGCTAAAGACTACTACACGCAAGTCAATTATTGGAATAAAATTGAACCATGTGTTAGTCCCGAAATTAACTAGTTTGTGTCGAGTGGAAAATTAACCCCATTTCTCTCTTTATATAATCTTATAATAAGTCTATTGTTTTCTTTTTTAAAAAAAATTGTATAATTGATGAAGGTGAATTATTAATTGTATCGATCAGATCACATGGTATTATTATTTTTGTTTTTTTCTTAACATTATATATAATTATAAGACCGAACCAATATTTCAATCATGCCAAAATCGTTTTCATCTGTATTTAGTATATATATCTCTCTTGGATATTGTTTCACTGAAATAGTTTTGAAAAAATACTTGTTTCCAGAAAATAACAAATTCATTCAATCATTGCCCGCGCGCGATTGGTGCCATTTCCCTATTATTGGCCATATTTATGCCTCAGATCAGGGGTTAGTCGTCTTCACCGTGTCAATGCAACATTTATATAACAGCTAGGTGGTATTATCCTGCAATCCCGGCATATTTGCAGATAAATTCTCTCTGACAAATGTAAACAAGCCAACGTGTTGCTCCTTGTAAAAGGTATTCCCTGGTCTATTTATGGCTATTGACCCGTGACCCTTTGACGATCTTATGGATACACTTGACATATAGCAATCTGAACGACAGACTCACCCTACCTGCACCCTTTAATTTTCGTACGTTAGTTACGTACGGACATATAGGTAAGCGTTTTTTCCATCCACTGGAGCCAGGTATTTTGACGTCATATGTGGATTGTGGGTTAGAATAAGGGTAAGGAATGGCCCAGGGTTAGGGCTAGCCCTGTCTACATCTCGAGACTCTGACGAAATCTGCGGGCCACAGCCCTTACCCACAATCCACATATGACGTCATAACACCTGGCTCCAGTGGATGGAAAAAACGCTTACCTGACATATAGTTCGAGACGTAATTCTAATGCAAGACGTATTGTGCAATGCATCGGAAAAGAAATGTATGCTACAGTGACGGCCTACTGGTTACTTATGTAACAAAGCTTCAGATTTTCGGGGCTAAATCACAGCCTAGTTGTTTTAGGAAGCAAATTTATGGTATTTTGGGTGTTAAAAGTTATTTACAACCCATAAACAATAACACCAGAATAATGATGAAATGTTTCAGATCCTTTAAGCCGAGCACCACCTAAATAAAATAAATGTATCATGAATGGACAGTGGAGGGGTATCTCCCCATAAAAACCAACATGTTTCCTTGATAATTTCCTTAAGCTTTAATTGTTACCCCACTAAGTCTATTTGCAGGAAAGGAGCTAGACTGGTAAGTTTTGTGTTACTGACTTAACCTCATCCTTAAAAGGAGGCAAGTCGCTAATTCAATATCATCCACAGTCCTCGATATTGCAAACAAGACTTATTGGTCAATTTAAATCAACATTGATTTTATTATCTTACAGTGAAAAGATGGGCCTCTGATATCCAATACTTAAAGAGTTTAATAAAGCGTTGGTCATTCAAAAATAGATGATGAAAAAATTTCGCAGCTAAGTTATCATTGTTTATAGTTTTGACAAGATGTGTGCACAGTGGTAACCAAGGAACTGGTATAATCGGGACTTAGCCTCGCTTTCCCATTTTTAAATTAAATTTGTAATCTAGTTAAAATGTCTAATTAATAGTTTATATAACATTTCGGGCCTAAGGAAAAACCTGCAATAGGCAGAGTTAGCTCTTGCGTAGTGTATGTTTAAGACAAGATGAACATGTTAAAATTGGCACATGTATCGCATGCCAGAATGCTTTCGAGCGGCATTTGTAATGAAGCGACTTGATGAACGAGGCTAAACATACCCTACAGCCACAGGAGAATACTACCGGTGTAGACTGCAATTACCAGATGGAAAAGACTGTCATTCAGTATGGATTCTTGGCTTATTTCGCTGAACATAATTAATTAGAAATTACAGTAAAAACAGAAATGATTGAATTTAAATCAGTTTATATACTTTCATAATACATTATTATATGCGTTGCGACCCATTTGTGTCCATTTCCATGGTTAGTCCACAATTTACCTAGTTTGTGTCAAGGTTAAACCCCATTTCTGTCTATCTCTCCATTTCCAGGTACCAAAGAATAGTGATTTAGCTCCTTTAATCTATCTATTGGTAATCTGATTTGATCAGCCGTAATTTGCTTGGGTGGTGCTCAACATTTTGCAGTGGATTTTATCGGGGTCGCTTCTGAGCAGATCTAGCATCTGGTGGGAGTATCCTTCCACTGAAAATGTCTGGCATTGTCCATTCGTGATACCTAGGATGGTGCTGAACATTTTACACTTGGTGTCATTGGATTCGCTTCTGAACTGATCTAGGTGGTATCTGGAAGGGTTACTCAACCACTGAATATGTCTGACATGTAGCCTACCATTCTTGATACCTTTGGTGATGCTGAACTGAACATTTTGCAACAGGTTTCACAGAATAAATATCAATAGGGTTCGTGGTATATAGGCTAGAGTTAGCGTATTGGTCTTGAACAGGATGCTAACAGCGAAAAACATTCGCGTCGCCCCTGTTGCAATTTCTGATTTTTATTTTCATTTTCCTAAATTCATTTAGCTAAATAAATAAAACCAAGAAAGACTAATTGATTCTGAATATTATAGAAATATTAATCCAGCTGTGAAATCTAATCTGGAAGCCATCCATGGAGATCAGTCAGTCCGAGGGCCTCAATGGCACCAATCGTCATTTCCACTGAAATTTATAATGGTCTCTATCCGAGGTGCAGAAATAGTGAATCAAACTACTTAGTTTCGTTATCTCGTCATGTTACGCATTCTGTAAATTACCACAACGGGGCCCCATCAAAACTAGTTGGTTAGAGGGCCTAGAGCTATCCATGTACCCACCCCCGATAATTTTAATACGGGACTTATTACGGAATTGTGAGTTAAAATGGAAACCGACATCAGAGAAGATTGGATACCAGCCACAATCAGTCGATTACCAGCCGGGTTAAATGTTTCCCCACACACTGTTGAGAGCCAACAAAACAAGAATTGATCGATAGTGCATATGAGGTCGATTGGTTTTTAGTATTTCTGGATTTGGTTGGAACAAGGGAAGATCAGCAGGAAAAGAGGGCAGAGTATATTGTAATCGGGGCAATGGGAATATAATGACATTGACGTGAGCATTTCCTTGAGAATTCGAGGGCACTTTTTCGGAAGGGAGGGCACATAGCCCCCCCCCCCCCCCAGAGGTGTAGTCGTGAAATATATATTGGGGGGTCCGCAACCCTAACCCTAACCCATTTTTTAAAACCCCTAAAACCTATAAACAGACACCATGTGGCCATGCTGTCTACCAAGACACCGCATGCAAAAGCATAATTATGGTTACGTTGCTGGCTGAGCTGGCGGTAAATATTTGGTTTAGGCGGTTATGTTTTTGGGTACCTACATGCGATTCACTCTGATAATTGGCAGAAAAAAATGAACAAAATATTATTACTGACAGGCAAACTAGACACAATTTTATGGAACACAGATTAGATACTTTTCGCTTCACACATGTTTCCAGGATGATTATCTCGGTTTTATTTTAGCAGTATAAACCATATTGGGATGTCTACTATGTAAATTTTTTTTTTTGGGGGGGGGGGGGGGGGGCCAAGTATATTCAGACACCCCCCCCCCCCCCAGAAAAACAATTGGGGGGGGGGGGGGGCGGACCATGGCAGCAAATGCCATCGGATTTGAAGGTTTACTTGACTGTCAGAATCATTTCCGGTTACTTTTGTTTTTTTCATTTACGCCACGTAGGAACTCGATATTTACCCAGAGGCACGTTAAAATAGGCCCTCAGGTCATAATTGAAGTTACAATGATCGATCTGAATAATTTTTGACGAGATTTTAAAAAAAAACACCCCCCAAAAACAAACGCCTTTTTATATCGTGTAGCCTATGTCTTTGACTCTTAATCAGATATCTTGAAGAATCGGTAAGGTGTAGAATTTAAACTCAGTACATGTAAGAGCTTACAGTTTTGAATAATTGCTTAATTGTTGTAAAGAAATGAAATGAAATGGGGTTTAACGTCCTACTGTTCTGCTCCTAAACTGGGCTAATGAAGACGGGCATATGCCATACAGTGTGCTATGAGGGAAATTTTGCCCGGGCAGTGGCGCTACAGCCTACTCTTATATCGAATTCCAACTGTCAGGGAATCTTTTACGTGCACTCAATGCGCACACGGGACCTCGGTTTTTCGTCCCATCCGAACGACTAGACAGCTGTCCTTGTCAGGCCTTGTTGTAAAGAAGAACACTGAATCCTGACCAATAGTTTCTTTCATGGATCACTCACAAGCCCGTAAAAAGTTTCGCCCCCACCCCTGTGAAAAAATTGTCCGTCACTTTTACAGCACCCCTGAGAACACCCCCCTCGTTTCTCTGAGCTAGTTACGACCTAGATAACAAACCTTAATCCTCTCAACCCTCCGTGTTTCGAGTTAAGAACTGAGACCATGACCTATAACGTTGCAGCTCCGGGAGCCCAGGCAAAATTTGCTTTATAGCACACTGTATGGCGTATATGCCCAACTTCATTAGACCATTTCATTTCTAATTCATTTTACTAGAACCATTTTACTTAGGTAATTACTGTTTGTTTTTCTCTTATGTACTTTTATTTACTGGTTGGTATATATCTTTCAATTTTGTACAGCGTATATGGGTACAAGACCTGATCTCTGTGTAAATACATGTATTCTGTGAATATAAGAACCTGAACAGCACATTAGAAACCGTTCTCCAGTATTAATACACTTTAAAAAATGATGATGTTATTATTATTATATACATTTTTCATTAATACTAGTGGTGTATGGTATTGTTGTGTACGAGGAAATTTATATAATTGCATTTGTTTATTTTTTTTAATTTCTTTCTTTAAATAAATGTAATCTTATACTCTCTTATAGGGGGTTGGGTAGCCGAATGGGTAGCATATTATAAGGTCTGTCATTGAGTCCACTGGCGTGGTTTAGATTCCACTGCTAAAGACCACTACACGCAAGCGAATTATTGGAATAAAATTGAACCAAAATTACCTAGTTTGTGTCGAGTAGAAGTTAAACCCCATTTCTCTCTCTCTATACTCTTATAATAAGTCTATTGTTTTCTCGTTTTAAGAAAATAGTAAAATTGATGAAGGTGAATTATTATTAATTGTATCGATAAGATCACATGGTATTATTATTTTTGTTTTTTCTTAGCATTATATATAATTATAAGATGGAACCAGTATTTCAAGCATGCCAAAATCGTTTTCATCTGTATTAAGTATATATTTCTTTTGGATATTGTTTCACTGAAATAGTTTTGAAGAAATACTGGTTTCCAGAAAATAAAAGATTCATTCAATCATTGGTGCTATTTCCTAATTATTGGCCATATTTATGCCACAGATCAGGGGTAAGTCGTCTTTACCGTGTCAATGCAACATTTAACAGGTGACATTATCCAGTAATCCCGGCATATTTGCAGAGAAATTCTCTCAGACAAATGTAAACAATCCAACGTGTTCCGTATCATAAAAGGTATTCACTGGTCTATTTATGGCTATTGACCCTTGACCTATGACGATCTTTGCTTTTATGGTTTCTGATTGGCTTAGAATTTGATTTTTTCACCGGATTATGGCTACACTTGACAAATATAGTTCGAGACGTAATTCAAGTGCAAGACGTATTGTGCAATGCATCGGAACAGAAAAGTATGCGACAGTGACGGCCTACTGGTTAAATTATGTAACAAAACGTCAGATTTTCACCCGGAATTTGCTGGGACGAGATGAAACGATTTTCGGGGCTAAATCACAGCCTATTCGCCCCTAATGGCTACTGATTGGCAGGATTTGTTAAAATGAAATGCTGCCGATTTCAAAATGGCCGGCGAGTTTTACCAGAGATAAACGGAGGGTAAAGTTATGGAATGGAATCGGGGATGATATCCAAAAGTCCAATTCATGAGTTAAGTCTATGGAGCTAAACCAACATTAACAGAAAATATGCGTAAAATTGCAAAACCCTACATAAATATTGCAATTTCGCCAACTTTTTCATCTTTGCCATTTTAACTATCAGAAATTTTTAATTGTAATTGGATGCAGGTGCAGTGCGAGTCCTGAATATCAAGATCCCCCATGTACATTTGTACATGTCTACTGCTTTCGGGACCCATTCATGCGATTTTATACCCTTGCTGTTTAACTTGCAATGTCTGTGTATATTGTGTTTTTGGAACAGAGACTGGTCGCTAACCCTTTAAGGCTCCGTCAGTTCAAGTCAGATCGACATTCTTCTTTGAACATACTGCATCGATTTGGTGAATTAGATTTTTGGATTTCATCCAACAACATGGACCAGGGTCAGATCCTGGTCCATAGTACGATCGTACTTGTTTATATGGGTTTTATGTGTGTTTGGCATACCGGTAGTTGTTAATTTTGGACGATATTGAACTCAAGACAGTTTTCGACATTTTCGCTAGTTAGAAATCCGGAAATTAAAGGGCATTATGTAATTCATGGTTGTAGCTTTGACAAGCTGTGTGCATTGACCGAACTATCGTAATGGTCATTCCAAACCGTTTTAATCTACTTAAAATCGGTGCCATCCGATGGTATCGAGAGTTGATTATGGTCTTGTCATGTTAATTAATGTCTAATTATTAATTTACATAACATTTAAGGCTCAAAGATAGACCTGCAACAGGCAGATTTAGCCCTTACATAATGTATGTTAAAGGGATCAGCCGCAACAGGCAGCTCGTTCCAAAGGACTTGCACAGCAGGGTGGGTTCCTTATATTTTTCTCAGAGGATTAAAGATTGCTGTGTGAAATCTATAGAAACTAATGTACATGTATATTAAAGATAGGTTGCCAGGCAACAAAACATACGCCCACAGCAGCTATATCGTCCGGGCAGTCAACAAGAGTTGTCGCATATTTTTACTTTTTTCGGTAATGAAACATTTATAATACATTAAAATCTGATTAAGAGTAACAACTCATTAAGTAATTATCAGAAAACCATTAGAATTTGTAGTTTTTTTTATAAAGTTCTGCGCCATGCTAACGTTTAGCATACAAAACTTTTAACATCATGGATTTAGCTGTTCAAGTCATAAAGATTCATTGAAAATCAATATACTTGTTCGTCTCAAGACCTTAAACACTGTGTATAAATTTAAAGTCAATCGGATATTAACTTTAGCCTCTAGAGCTTCCACAAGATTTTTCGAAGTGATCAAGGGCCATAACTCTGGCAGTAATTATCGGAAATCGCTGAAAATCAATAGGCTTCTTCGTCTCATGGCCTTAAACACTGTATATAAATTTAAAGTCAATCGGATATTAACTTAGCCTCTAGAGCGTCCACAAGCAATTGTGGACGCCGGACCGACGACAATATACGACCACATTTCAATGTGGGCGTATAAAAATGGCCACAAGTTAGATTCAATTGATGTTTTTTTATTTAAGAAAAGTACTTTGATATGAAACTTTTTATATGTTGGAGCTTTAATATTTACTTTAGCAAAGTTCCAGATAAAACTAATATTATTTAGATACTTCGATAGGCTTCTTTGAGTCAATAATTTATAAAAATTTATTAAAGCTTCTCTGTTTTCTTAACTAGAATAATAAAAACAAATTTCATACAGATAGGAGGATTAACTTGTCTTTCAAGCATTCACAAGGTTCTATAAAGTGAAACAAGGGGCATAACTCTAGAAGTAACAAGTCATTCACCAAAGGAACTCCCCACACCAAGTTTGAACATTCTACCTCAGTTAGGAGAGTAATTGTGTTTCAAGGTCTCGACCAATCGAATTGCTTAACGCCCTACTTACCCTGCGCAGAAAATGTTCACTATCGAACTTAGTCAAGGTATTGATGTAATGAAACTAACATGAAGTTCTCTCACTTAATTAGAACTTAAGTTATCGTGTCCCAAAGCATCAACCAATCAAATTGCTTATCTCTGCTTACCCTAAGCAGAAAATACACATCTTCGAACTCCATCAAGGCATTGACCTAATAAACCCATTTTAATAGTCCCCTGCTTTCTTCAAAAGGTGGGGGACAATAAACAGAAATCGTTGGAATAAGACGAACTTCTTTGCTTTATTAAGGGTTGTTTCACATTTATTAGTTGTAATGTTCAGATGGGACAAAAAACAGGTCCAGTGTACACATGGGCATGCCGTGCACGTAAAAGAACTTTTGCCAGTTGGTATTCAAAATAAGAGTAAGCCATAAGCACACTGTATGGGGTATGCCCGTCTTCATTAGCCCAGTCGGAGCAGAACAGTAGGACCAACTCCATTTTATTTCTCATATTTTCATATTTATTCTTTTGTTGGTAATGGGAGCATTTACAAGACACTATATATATATTTCCTACAGATCAGATTATAATTATAATCAAGAGAAATTGTTGAAATTCGATAGGCTTTTCTGTTTTACCAATTTAAATAATGCTTATGAATTTCATAAAGATTGGAATTGTATAATTTTTGTTCTTCTACAAAGTACAAAATGAAGCAAGGACCCTAACTCTAAAAGAAAATTGTTAATGATCAAATGATAAATGTAGCCTCAATCATTTTAACGAGCCAATTGTTGATGGACGGATAGTCATTAACATGTTGGCGTATAAAAATGCTCATTATGGTACAGGATATAAAAGACATTGATGTAGTTAACCTATACACCAGGTTTCATCAATGCCTGTCAATTTAAAGCAGCTGTATTGTATTCTAAAGTCTCAACCAATCAAATTGCTCAACTCTGCATAGCTGAAGTCATTCAAGGCATTCACATAACAGATATACTAGACAAAGTTTGAATATCATTCTATCTCAATTAGAAACACTGGGTAACTTGGTTCTAAAATCTGTCAAATTACTCAACTCCGCTTACCCTAAGCAGAAATTGCTCATCATTTAACTCAGTTGTGACAGTCAAATAACACATATCCTCCTTCCTACATGTACATGTACATATATGTTGATATTCCGACAAATTCCATGTTGATTTTACAAGCCCTTGAAAGAATGTGCGAACTATGTTAGAGTGTACATTTGTAAACCGACCAATACCTCCATTTTAAAAGAAAAAAAGAAGACAAAAGTAATTTTCAAAACAAATGTTCTTACATATTTTGTTCACATATACACAATTAAGATTTCAAGAACAGATTTTAATGGTACATGGAAAATTAATTACAATAATTGATCATTTCCAATCATTATTAGCCCTTGATTGATTTCATCAATACCCAGGTGTTTTGAAAATAAGGTATGTTAACGTTTCCATTCTTAGCCTACAGAAAACATTTGTGTCGAAAGGTAATCCCAAATTTAAAGCATTCAAATGTATAATCAAAAAAGAAAAACAGCACTAAAACAAGATACAAATATATATTGGAGTTTTTCGTGATTTTCCTAATATGTTATTAAAAAAAATCAATAATCGCTCGATAGTGTCCACCAGCTGAATTAATTTAATTTAAAAGATACAGATGACCAGATCATAATTCTAAATTTCAATGGTTAATAAGCATATAAAAAAATTAACTCAGTGGTATATATAACTTTGACTAATGTCAGTTGGCAACGTTTTAAATATGTACCACTGAATTCAGTTGTAACTGTTGTGATGGAACGATTCTTGGTAAAATGGAGCAATGTTTATTTACTGTTATAAATTTCTTGTAGCAGTTCCGGTTTAAGATCTTCCCACTCATTCAGTTGAACATATTTGCTGCTTCCGTCACAAATCGCTTTCACACCCTGTGCACTAGAGGCATACACCATTTTCTCTTTAATTTTACAACTATCTGGTATGCTGTTAAACAAAACAAAAATTACATAATTAGGATATTTAATACAAGGGAAGAATCACAACAAAAGACTTGTTTCATGTCAGTTTACCAACCTTCCAAGGAAGTATTTAAGTTTTTGTCCAATTCTTCCTTCCTGAAACACCATTCATGGCAATGTCTGTGTAGATGACAGGTTTGTTGTATCGTTTTTTTCAGGAGTGTATCTTATGCTCTCCCGGGATTTTCAAAGGACGAGGCCTGTACGTACAAATGCTTATTTTGTCAGACAGCCTCAGTCGGATTTTCACGAAATTCAAACCCAATCGTAATTACATGTACAGTATGGTGTAGCGGTGATATATTTGAACGTTTTTTAAAATCAAATAAAGATAGGTTGCCAGGCAACGAAACATACGCCCACAGAGATATATCGTCTGGGCAGTCAACAAGAGTTGTTGCATATTTTTAATTTTTTTGTTTTTGGTAATGAAACATTTATAATACATTAAAATCTGATTAAGAGTAACAACTCATTATGTAATTATCAGAAAACCATTTGAATTTGTTTGGTTTTTATAAAGTTCTGCCCCATGCTAACGTTTAGTATACAAATCATTAAACATCATGGATTTAGCTGTTCAAGTCTTAAAAATTCATTGAAAATCTCAAGACCTTAAACTCTGTGTATCAATCTGAAGTCAGTAAGTATAGAAAATTGTTGAAAATCAATAGGCTTCTTCGTCTCATGACCTTAAACACTGTGTATAAATTCAAAGTCAATCGGACATTAACTTTAGCAGTGTGCGAAATTAGCACTGGCCCGAACACCCGTGGCCGGTAGATTTTTGATCTGGCCAGTAAAAATTTAAAATTTTGTGGAAACTTTTAAAATTTTCAACCATTTTTATTCCAAATCACTCGAGAAAGGAAGATAAATATACACCTTTTTCTCAAAATATTATGTGGAAAAGACATTTTCCTTTGCAAGGTCACACGATCTGTCGTGAAACCGCGATGGGGTTCTCGATTGAAAAATTAGTCATGGCTCGAAATGTTCGCCTATCTTGTCGCCGAAAGGCGAATTTTACGTCTGCTGTGACAGGTAGCAAGAAAAACTGTTTTATGTTCAGTAAACTGACTTGAGACAACAATACTCATGTGTACGCCACGTACATTTAATTGTTCATTTCTAAATACCGCGAAAAGCCGCCATTTGCATTGTTTCCATTGCGCACTGTTGGACAAGTTACTCACACAGTTGGAAGTAGCCAATTTTATAACAATAAATTTCATACCATCCACGCTTGTTTTCATCTGTTTAACACTAGTTTATAGCATTATGAATTACTGTCTAAATAAATTAAAACGCACCCCCAGGTCATGTGACCTACTAGAGTAGTACTTATTCTACCATAACGACCCCACAGTAAATATCTGGAATGGAAATGCACACGGCTCGTTGTCTGGTGTATTTAATCATTTAAAAAATTTAAAACAATGTCCATAAATAAAGGCTATAAATAATTTACTAGAAAATTTGACAAAATCAATAATTAGGTCGGGGAAAAAATTCCATATATAAATATAATTTGTAGCGTACAGATAGACATGGATGTGGGAAAGGAATTCCACTGGGCGTTACCCGTTCTCCGCACGCGGTACATGTAAATATGCAGCCATGCACAGCCACAGGTGTCAAGTCGTGTTTTGATATTAGATTTATTACGGATATTTAAGAATCTGAATTCTACACCTCAACGGCGAAGTATTCAATTTAGCACGGAAGTTTGGCACCATGATACTTGGAGAAATTTACGTGGATACTGATTATAGAATTGCACGAATCTGGGTGTCGCCGAGGCAAAGCAGATTCGCGGACTTTCAAGAATTTTTAGGCATTCCCATAGGTTTCATATTACGATATTTATATGAACAATGTACGTAAAGAGTGTTTGGGGACCTAGGCCTACATGTATGGATATGTGTGTGATGTGACTGGTCTTTGATAATTTAGAGTTACAGGTTAGTTACTGAAGCGACATGTATGAAGAAAAGCTACATGTACCTGTGCAATTAATTCGAGGAATAAAACTATGGCACAGTTCTTATACCTTTGTTTATAAAATGGGTTGTTAAATATATATTATGCAAGAGCTAAATCTGCCTATTGCAAGTCTTTATTTAGGCTTCAGATCTTATAGAAATTATTAATTTGACCTTTATTTACACAAGCTCAAACCCAACCCTGTAGACCCTCGGATGGCTTGGAAACAGCTTGGATTTAAACAGTCGTCCATTTAAATTAAATCAAGAAATGATCGACCAAGCTTACATTTACTGTTAGTCATTCATTGACGTCACTACCGGAAACTGGGGATGGAAGGCATACCGTGCGACTCTAAGCCCTATACTACATGTATAGTCACTGGGAATGTTACTTAATAATCAAGAATATGTGGGTGGAGCGTCATCTGTCAATCAAACGATCAACATTTCTCATAGATGGTGCAGACAGAGTTGATGCCCATTTCTAGTCCAAACTTCCAACCGTGACAACTCTGTTCAGAATAAAGTACTTTGACTGAAATTTTCAATATTTCCTTTTTTTATCATCTATTTTTGAATTATTATAGTAAGAATGGCCAACTCTTTATTTAAACTATTAACTAATCTATCTTTAAACATACATTATGCAATGTCTATTGCAGGTCTTTCTTTGGGTCTAAAATTTTATCTAAATTATTAATTAGACATTAATTAACCTATTCAGACCATAATCAACTCTAGATGGCATCGCTCGCCTGCGATCTTTAGTGGATTGTCAGCCTTCCTTCACGATTTAATGGATAATCAAGACTATCCTGTTTATCGTACTGACTTTAGTAATGATGATCAAGGCTAGGCGGAAATTCAAACGCTTTGTTCTCGGTTCATAGTGGATCAATTTGAATGAAATGTTCAGCAAATTGGCTTTACATTATCTAGTTTTGTGAGGACTGCCAACTCGTTATCAAATCTCGGCAATCTCCCATAATGTATCTTTAAGTGAGGTAGTTTGTGGGGCCAATGTCCCTTTTTGCCCAGGGACCATGACCAGTGTCAGTCTACTCCTGACCAACAATTATTTCTGAGGAATGGAAAGGAGTTCACTGGACGAATGACCCATTCACCAGAGGAATAACAGACTCAACAGAAGAATTAACCAGACAAAGGACAAAAAGAATGACAGAGGTTCATCAGACCAATGACATAGGTAAATGTACAAATGAAAGAGAATGACAGGTTCACCAGAAGAATGACAAATCAGATGATAAGAGTCTCAGAAGAGTAATTACAAGCAGAATGGTAAAAGTTCACTGGGAAAATGACAAAGCTAATGACAAAGCTAATGACACAGGATCGCCAGACTAATGACAAATGACAAAGAGGTTCACCAGGTGAATGCCACGAGAATTACAGTTGGTTCTCTAGGCAAATGACAGAGGTTCACCAGCAGAGTGACAAAGAGAATGAGTATTGATACACATGTTCATCTGGCTAATGACAAACAGAAAGATAGAGCTTCAGAAAATGAATGACAAAGCGATTGATATACATGTAGGTTCAGGGCTAGAAATTTGTCATTTTTTGCGAGAATCTAAGAGGATTCTCATATATGGAATCTGCGCGAATCCTCCGAATCTTAATTAATAATACGGTCTAAAAAAACAAAATTGTGTTTATTGTGATAATCTATAACACCAAAATACAACAACAATGATAAAAAACCCAATCAGATGGAGTTTTTGGTAAACACTTAAATTGTGTCAAAAGTAATATCCAGAAAATGCCATAGTCAAAATAAGCTGATACAGCACCATGGCATTTCTTCATAGCACAATTTGTAGTCTTTTGTTCATCACGCAACTAGTCACGTAACTTGCAAAAGTTTTTATTCATTCGTCGATGATAGACAAACTGCACAATGATCACGTGACAAAATAAACTTCGGTACGACTATGATATAGCCTTCAATAATATTTTTAAAATTAAGTCTCTGTCAGCATGTATATAAAATAAAAAATCATAACGGAAAACGCTATTTAGAACTGGTTTATTGACCTAATTCCAACCAATATGTCACGTGTCATTGGAATTCGCCATTCGAGATTCTGTTGGGAAAATATCTACTGTTTCTATCTCCGTGTATTCGGTGTTCTATCAGGGGATTATATTCAATGCAAATTTAAATTTAACTAACAACTGGTCGGTGAATCCATCAATGTATGATCCAGTTATTATTTTAATACCTGGAATTCACACGGACGGAGCGTGGAAGATGCGCGATTCGCAAACCATGCCGAGATCGTCTTCATTCACCACGTGCGTATTTTACTGAACCTAGTATGAATTAACAGCAAGCTTGTTTTGTTTTTTTACCGGATTATCAAAATCACCGTTAAATGTGCTAATTATTCGGATTATGAACCACATATGACCAATTCGCACTAAGGTATGACTGTTGTTGTAGCCGACACTTCTTTATTAACAAGTAAGTAATAATTAACGCGTTGTAATATTAGACAAAAAAAGACAAGTAGATTGATTTATGATACCATGTGGCCGATTCATTGTTTTACCAATCGGCTAGATTAGACATCAATCGGCTAAATCCCACAATTAACCCTGACTGACATTCAACAGTTAAAGAGAATTTTCCGAGATTTTTTTTTTTTTTATAGATTCGCAGCGTAAGCTCTTGCGAGAATCCTTGCGTGAATCAGATTCGGAGATTCACGTGAATTTCTAGCCCTGAGGTTAACTATATGAATGACAAAAAGAATGACATTGACAGGGGTACACAAGATGAATAACAAATAGAAGAATGATAGAGCTCCAGAGGAATGACAATGAAAGTCTGTCATTCCCTACCTAGTCATTCACCTGGTAAATCTCTGGCATTCTCTTTGTCATTCGTCTGGTGAACCTACATGTATGTCATTCTCGTTTCCATACATCTGGAGAACCTGTCATTCCTTTTGTCATTCTTCCAGTAGGCCCCTGTCATTATCTTTTGTCATTCATCCAGTGAGCATGTCATTCATCCAGTGAGTCTCTGGTATTCTCTTCATCATTCTAATTCATCTAGCGAACTTGTTTATCCTCTTGAGCCAGTCATTCTAACAGGGAGCAGTGGTGGTGGCTCAGTAAGCAAGACGTCAGCTCGCGTATATGGAGGTCCCATGTTCGATCCCAAGTAAGCTCATTAAGATTTTCTGGCATGGTTTCCCCCTTCTTAGTGGTGTAGGGCGGTTGGCCTAGGGGACAATGTATAGTCGTTCCAATGGGACGAAAATCTGGTCCCATGTACACCCTGACAGTTGGGATCCAATATCAGAGTAGGGCGTAGCACCACTATCCAGAAAATTTTCGCTCATAGGAAACTTAAGTTTCATTGGTCCTAGTGCAGAAATGTAGGAGGTTAAACTCCATGCATTCTAATACATGTACAAACATTATACATTACACTCTCGAGTTCCATAAAATAACCAAAATGTTGGCATAAGGGATAAATTATTGTTTAGAAATTTCTTGTCATTCGTCATTCAGATTTAGATAGTCCCTGATAATTATTCATAACACGTCCAGAAAGTACCAGTAGTCCACAGACATCCCAAATTCTTTTCTATGGTGTAATCCCATGATCACACATTATTTTCCTGTGTAAGAATTGGCCATGTGATTCCAACTGGTGCCCCATTTGCCATCACACAATATTTTAATCATTTTCCATTCAATGAGCAACAAAATATTCTGTAGACTACAAAATATATCCATACTGATACGAAGCACTCACTTTTAATAGCTGTCACCAGGTAATTTACTTCTGTAACAAGCTACTTTCCCACTATCTCGCATAGCTAACTACCGGTACATGTACAAATGTAGTAGAAAACTTCATTTTGGTGAGAAAAACTTGTCAATAAAGGCAATGGAAGCTTACTGACCCTATTTGCTGCAGATAACTTCCAGTGACCTAATTTTGGCCCATTAACCCCGATTAAAAATGTCCCATGAACAAAATTTTGAAACCTGATATTTATAGTAATTTATAAATGTAATATCCATCAGTGATAAATGGGATGGCTAAACATTGTATAATTTAATTTTCCCCAAACAAACCAGTTATTCAAGTGATTATATTTTTTTCTCATTATTTGTTAGTACTGATCCATTATTTCACAGAAATGGATTGATTTTTTGATAGTACCGGTTTGAGTTAATTTTTGGTGGTATTGGGTGATTAAGGGAGATAACTGGAATAGCAAAACATTGATGCTTACATTTTCATTTAGTGAAGTCTTCGGTTAGTTTTTTCACAATAGCCCCGTAGCCTGGCCGTAGTAGTCAGGCCCTACCCATAGTATTTCCCAGTATTGGGTGAGTAGAATTGACATTGGGTAATTTGGGTAAATCATCCTGTCCCACATTTTGCACTAAGTTGACTAAGAAATGCATGGATGTGTTGTCTGCTGTACAACAATTTCAGTCTACTTATTTGTACTTTAAATGTTTATAACTTGACGACTTGGCCATTTTTATTCAGTGATGATGGGGGGGAACTAAGTTATGGGTTGTGCCTTAACCTTATGTATGAATATTCTGGTAATAATATAGGCCTATTTGGACATATTTTTATGGTGGGGCACCCTACTAATGGGATTAAACAGGGTGTATAAAGTTTAATTAAATCGGATATTAACTTTCGCCTCTAGAGTGTCAAGAAGACAAAAGCGGCGACGACAATATGACATTATTACCGGTATATTTGCCGGTAGTTCCGGTTGTCAATGGACGTTTTAGCCAGTTTAGTTAGTAGACAGACATTAAATATATTCAAATCTGGCTAGATTTTATACTCACAATTGTATCATGAACAACTGATCCTTTTTAGAAGTTTTATCCGTTTTGCTCAAGACAGGATAGTCGAAAAAAATGAACCTTGGGCTATTATCCTTGATGAGTTCAACCAAATCAGTGAGGGGGTCGCCGTCGCACTCCTGGCCTTTCATCAATTCTTTTTCTATACCAAAAGTTAACGTTTTCATTCCAGTATTCTCATCCTCCAGTTCCACTAACCTCAGCGAAACAAATCTGAGTCGTTTCTTCATTTTAAAATGTTCATATTTCAGTTGAATTTCTTCAGTCACTTTTACACCAGAACTCATCTTGTTATTTTGTAAAGACAGAACAAAATGTCAACCACCTTTTCTTTTCCAATCTCAGATCGAGGCTGAGAAACACGCTAGTATGGCGTTGTTATTATACACACCCTAATCAATGGACTCTCTACAAAATAAATAAATTAATGTAGTCTTTATACATAATCGATGTTGTATTGCTAAAATTTTGCTATAATAGTTGTGAACTAATAAGAACTAATAAACTTTCAAACCGTTCTAAATTCTGTTTCCCTTCGAACCTCCTGCTTTGTGGACGGTTTACTCTAACATTTCATTGGCCAGCTTTCACAAAATTTATATGGGTATGTGACTCACTGAGGTCGGAGGGGAAATCTCCATATATGGCAAAAAGTTATAGGAAGCGCCCATTCTCAGAGGAAGGGTGGGCAATTGTGTAGAGTCAGAGATATCACACTGACCCTTTGTAAATTTTCCCTTGGTCGCCACTACCACAGAGAGGAACAAAATAAGGATAAGTTAACGAAAATTCGATATAAACTTTGATTCACGGTCGATAAATTTTAAAACTATTTTTGAAATTAATTTTAGAAATTCTTACATCCACGAATGTAATCCCTTCTATTTATAGTCTTCTCTCACTTCCCCTTTTCCATCCAACATCCTTCCTATTGAATCCTATTGCGTGTTGTGTTTTGTTGACTTTTTGGCGTAGAATTGAAGAAAAGGGTTTGAATTTACATTTTCTGGCAGTTTTTGGTGAATATACATGATTTTGAGGCGGAAGGATAACAAAGTTCAGAGGTTGAAATGGATACGCAGCAACGCTGTTGAAATGAAAGGTAGCATAGTCGGTATTTCCCGGGTAGACTAATCACCGGAATTCACCGGAATTCATTTACAATCACCGGAATTCACCAAATTCACTTCTAAAATCACCGATTCGTCCAACAAAACTCACTTATTTTAATTGTATAATACGAGATGTATAGGAGATGTAAACACTACAGGGCTAGTGGTAATATTTAACCTCAGACCTAATCCTAACTCTAACCCACAATCCTCGGCAACAAGAACGTGCCCTAACCCTGTTTACATCTCGTAACCTTCAAGAAATCTGCAGGTGGCCTTGGTAAATAGATCTGATCATGTTTTTGAGTGAAAATACCCACACTGATCAGAAGTGAATATTTGCTAGGCGGCTACAATTACTGAGAGGCATTACGTTGGAGTCGACTGGATAACATGCTCTAATACGCCAGAGTTGCTCCTACGACTACGTCACCTTTTTCTGACCAGATGAAGCAAGACTAGCGCCGTGAACAAGCCTGACGACATTTGAGCAGGTTATCCAGTCTAGACATCGGTGTGGGTTAATTAGCTCGCAATATTAAAGATACATTATAGTGGGGCGGTTAAGCAAAAAATCGTGCACTTTGGGTTAAAAGCATGAAACTTGGCACATAGATGGCATCAACCCTACTGATTATTTTGTGATCTGGATCCACCTCAGCAGCTCCCCATGGTGGTCGTTACGGCTATCTTTTCCAAAATGGCCGCCTATTCATTGATATACATATAATAAGGGGTGTCACAATAAGATATTTTTTTACAAATCATTTCAGGCCAGCAATTTCCAGATGCAAAATTGCTAGCTGAACACGATTTTTGAAAAAAGATTTATCTAGGACGTCCATTTTCGTTTGGGGTTTGCCTGATTTCAAAAATGGCCGCCAAAATTTGAAGAAAAATGAATTTCCATATAGGATGGGTGATTATCACGCAATGTATGCCTTGTAATATATCAAATATATGGTTTTTGTTGTAATTGAACTGAAAAATAATCTCTAAAACTAGTTTCCCCAAATCCAAGATGGCGGAAATTCAAAATGGCGGCCAAAATATACCCAAAATGGCGGATTGATCAGATTAAAGTCATTTCACTGTTTGATTTGGTTTGTAATATATAATTTAAAGGGTTTACATTGTCACTGAACTTAAAATTAATCAAAATAATTTTTTTTCTCCAAAATCCAAGATGGCGGAAATTCAAAATGGCAACTAACATTTATCTAAAATGGCCGATTTGTCAGATAAAAGTCATTTCACTCTTTGATATGGTTTGTAATATGTAATATAAAGAATTTTCAAAGTCATTGAACTTAAAATCAAACTAAAATAAAAAAGAGTTTCCAAAATCTAAGAAAGCGGAAATTCAAAATGGTGGCCAGAATTTGCCAATAATGATCAAATTTTAGGATAATCGTGAATTTTCTGTTTGATATGCCTTGTAATATGTCCTCTATTAAGTTTTCAGAGTCAGTGAATTTGATAATTGTTGATTGATTTTAATTTCAATGACTTTGAAAACTCTTTATATTACATATTACAAACCATATCAAAGAGTGAAATGACTTTTATCTGACAAATCGGCCATTTTTAGATAAATGTTGGTTGCCATTTTGAATTTCCGCCATCTTGGATTTTGGAAACTATTTTTTTATTTAGATTAATTTTAAGTTCAGTCACAATGTAAACCCTTTAAATTATATATTACAAACCAAATCAAACAGTGAAATGACTTTAATCTGATCAATCCGCCATTTTGGATATATTTTGGCCACCATTTTGAATTTCCGCCATCTTGGATTTGGGGAAACTAGTTTTAGAGATTATTTTTCAGTTCAATTACAACAAAAACTACATATTTGATATATTACAAGGCATACATTGCGTGATAATCACCCATCCTATCTGGAAATTCATTTTTCTTCAAATTTTGGCGGCCATTTTTGAAATCAGGCAAACCCCTAACGAAAATGACGTCATAGATAAATCTTCAAAAATCGTGTTCAGCTAGCAATTTTGCATCTGGAAATTGCTGACCTGAAATGATTTGTAAAAAAATGTCTAATTGTGACACCCCTTGTTATATGTATATCAATGAATAGGTGGCCATTTTGGAAAAGATGGCCGTAACGACCACCAGGGGGAGCGGCTGAGGTGGATCCACATCCCAAAATAATCAGTAGGGTTGATGCCATCTATGTGCCAAGTTTCATGCTTTTAACCCAAAATGCACGATTCTACCAAAAATTCTTCCTTAACCGCCCCACTATTATGGGAGATAAGATAAAGAGATGGCAGTTCTCGCTATAATAGTTAAAAACTAGATAGTGTAAAGGTAATTTGCTGAAAATTTCAGTCAAATTGATCCACTATGAGCCGAGAAAGAAGCGGGTGAAATTTTTGCATAGTCTCGGTGATCATTACTAAAATCATTAATACAAAAAGCATAGTCTCGATTATCCACTTTTATTGATTCAATTATCAATAGCCGTTAGCGGCATATAGGAATCTAATCCAGCCAACATCGAAGGCTAGCCTTGACATCGAGAGTTTATTATGGTCTGGATAAGTTAATTAATGTTTAATTGATAATTTAGATAACATTTCAGGCCTAAAGAAAGACTTGTAATAAGCAGATTTTGCTCTTGCATAATGCATGTTTAACTTTTTTCTATAAAGTATTACAAAAATAAATAAAGTTGTTTAAAGTATACCTGGATAGAAACTTCCTGTAAGGCATCATTCTGCCCCGACCAGTTGACCATACGGATACAATGCACGCGCCCTCGAGCCAATGATTGACGCCGCGTGGTGTGATATCACGTGTAGAATGCATTTGAAAAAGGCCAGTATCTTATACAGAGTTATAAGAAGCCGCTTTAGGAATACCTTTGTGAAACAATTTAGAAAATACCCTCGTAGCAATAGCCAAACTGATCAATGCGAATAAATTAGCTCACAATAACCGTTTTTCCTTCTACAAATTAAATTCTAAAACATTTATTTGAAGTATTAGAAAAATAAATAAAGTTGTTTGAAGTATTTCTGGATAAAAAATATTTCTTATTCAGTGTACACAGGTACATAAAATAGTGCGCGAAGGCGTAAAATGAGAAACCACAGCTCACCTGGCATTTCACAACAAACATTATGTTAGCTATTAATTGCAGGACAATTGAAAGATATCCTATTCACATTCAATGGTCGACTGGACAGTTTGATACGGTACTACATGTTGGTCGATGGGGTTGTCGATCTAAAAATAATTCCATCCAATAATACTATAAAGTATGTAATATTCAATTAATATTGTTTGCCTTCGTGCATGCATGCTGTTAGTCAATTATTTTATAGCTACTATAATTTTTCCCGCGTTAAGACGGCTCTAACTAAAATAGTTGTTTGGCGCACTTAGCGAAAATTTAGCCATTTTTATAAAATTTCCCTTGATTGAATATGAAAAACAGAAACAACGAAGCGATGATCATGTCGAATCAGTGAAAAAAATTTAAACCTTTTTTGATCATCTCTGTTAATTGTTTTTGTAACCACTTAGATCGTCTGTGAAATTTTAATCCAGTCAGTTTATCTCCATCGCTATTGTTGCTACCAAGAACGACAATTTTTGCCCCATTTTATAATTTCAAAATCAGCATTTGGTAAGAGAACAAGTGCAGGGGCGCCGAATTTTGGTGCCCATTGGTCCTTCCGTTCTGGTTATGCCCCATGCTTTTTACGCGTAATGTGAAATATGTACAAAATTTGTGACCATGATCAGAGCCCACAATAATCATTTTTGTCCGATGTAGATGAAACGTAAAATATATTCAAAATGCGATCTGCAGTAGAAAATAGAAAATAAAGAGCAAAAGAGAACACTCTTATCCAAAATGGACATTTTCGTGTGGGAAACATATACCGCTCGTGCTTTTTAACAGGTCTAATACGTCCACCTTTTCAACTTTAAGTCGTAAATATTCTACTTTCAACAACAGAATTTCTACTTTCAACAACAGAATATTTACTTTCAATAATCAACTTTTGACATTCGACTTTCAACTTCAGATTTTCTGCTCGAGATTTTTTCCATGCATATTGCGGAAATAAATTTGATCACGTGACTATGTTGTTAAAAGTAGAATATTTACGACTTAAAGTTGAACGTATTAGGTTGAAAAGCATCACGAAAATGTCCATTTTGGATAAGAATTTTCTCTTTTGCTTTTTATTTTCTCTTTTGCTGCGATCTACCGCAGATCGCATCTTGAACCTGTTACCCCGCCATAAAGGATAAGCAGCGTTCCGCGAACGTTTTCAGAAAAAGAGGGTGTAGCTCTACAGTGGTAAGTTCTCGGGTTCGTCCACTCATGCTTCACAGGAGTAGGGTCGCCTGTCCAACCTCGTGGGTTTTCTCAGGGTCCTCCGGTTTCCTCCCACTGCTAAAGAAACCTACGCGCAAGCGAATTATTGAAATAAAATTGAATCATATGTTAGTCCCGAAATGACCTAGTTTGTGTCGGGTGGACGTTAAACCCTCTCTCTCTCTCTCCCTTTCTCTCTCTCTCATGCTTCACAATCTAAAATTGTACAAAGATTTTAGATAAAGGGAGATAACACTGGAACGGAGAATCGCGGAAAGTTGAATATCTATAGGGTTTATCCTCTCATGACCAAATTTGATAAAGATAAAGGATCATTCTCGAAATCTGATCATTATAAATTAATGTTCACAAGCTTGCAAAAACAACAAGGGGGTTAACTCCGAAACGATCAGATCATTAAATATTGTAGTAGCTTCTATTGTGTTCATATGACTTTCGGAAAAGTGGGCGTAACTCTTGAATGGGAGGTTGCACAACGATGAATATCGATGGGGTTTGTCCTCTCATGGGGGTATATGGAAGTTTAGTCTCCTCCATTACATTTCTTGCAG